GAAGCATAGAAAAGAGGCCAAAAACATCCATCTCATCAGAAGTTGAGGGGAATTATTATTATTTTATAAATTGATCTTAGAGGAAGGGGTGGGGGGGGAGAGAGAAACATTGATCTGTTTTACTCATTTTGCATTTATTGGTTGACTCTTGTCTGTGCTCTGACCAGGGATTGAACTAAAACTTGGCTCATTGGGACAATGCTCTAAGCAACTGAGCTACCTGGCCAGGACTGAGGGGAATTATTTAAGCAAGGAAGACACAAAATTTTTATTTTGTGTAAAATAATTGTGCTTGCTCTGTCACTTTTCATTGTTGTACTTTTTTGACAGTTAAAAAATTTTATTGATTTTTGAGAGAGAGACAGAGAGGGAGGGAGGAAAAAAGAGGGATGGGGGGGGAGAGAGAGAGAGAGAGAGAGAGAGAGAGAGAGAGACGGAGACTGAAACATCAGTTGGTTGTTCCACTTATTTATGTATTCATGGGTTGATTCTTGTATGTGCCCTGACCTGGAATTGAACCCAAAACCTTGGTGTATCAGGATGATGCTCTAACTGAGTAAACTACCTGGCCAAGGCTGTACTGTCTTTTTTTTTTTTTTTTTAATCCTCATCCAAGGATATGTGTATTGATTTTAGAGAGAGAGGAATGAGGGCAGGTGCAGGTTGGGGTGGGGGGAAAGAGATTGATTGACTGATTGATTAGTTGCCTTCCATATACGCCTGGACCTAGGTATGTGCCCTGACCTGGGATCAGTCCTGCAACCTCTTGGTCCATGGGTCAACGCTCCGACTAAGCCATCTTGTCAGGGCTGTACTGTACTTTTTATTGAGGAATTGTGATATGATACTATAGTTTACTTATATAATCACCATTGTGAGGGTTGTAGATATAGTTTAAAGTAATTTTAGAGAAAGTTAAAGGTCAGATAGGCACATATAAAATATATTAAATATTTATTTTAGATCCTGGTTAGATTACAGCATCCCAAACTTGATAGAAAAAGTTACTTTTTCCCATAACTTTACAATTGGTCAGGCTATCTAGACCCTACTACCTCTTTCTATAACTCATGGACTTGAAGAGGCTCATGCTCACAGCAGTATTTGGTGGTGTAGTGATAGTAATGAAGCGATCCTAGGGTTGTGGCTGATCAAGTTGTGAGACTGCATATGGCAGGGTGTCAGACGCATTTTCACTGGGGGCCACATCAGCCTCACGGTTGCCTTCAAAGGACTGAATGTAATTTCAACTCCTTAACAGTTAAGGAGTAGTTACATTTATACAGTCCTAAAATTATTTTGGCCCTTTGAAGGCAACTGTGAGGCTGATGTGGCACCTGGCGAAAATGAGTTTTCACCCCTGGCATATGGCTACAAAAAACCAAGATGGTAGAGAGACTGGCTATTTGACTGTTGTAGGGACTTAGTTCTGCCCTGACTCCTGGGATCTTGTGTAACTGTGGCTTACTCATTGGAGTTGGTGGATAGAGACCATTCTCACATTCTTGTCTAGTACTAGAAAATACTGAAGGAAGATTACTCTACTGATTTGGTCAGTATACTACTAATTTTAATAATCCAGAACCATTATCTGTTATTTTTGTTGCCTTTTTTGGGACTAGAACCAAAAATTATTTTCCAGATGCACTTCATTTTGTACAAAAATAGGATAATTTTCCCCCTCTCTGCCCCCATCTTTGATGGTTTTCTATAATCCTTAGAAATTTGCAAGTAATCTGTGGTTCTCTTCAGGGAAATTGCAGCTGCTGCATGGGATTGATGTGTCTGGGCGCTGCCCAAACTGTGCTGAAGCCTCCTGTTTCAATGATTAGTTTTGTGGCATCAAGGCAGTGGGGTACCATGAGTGTTTATAAAGTTCTCCTTCCAGATCATTTAAGAGAGAAAGTGAGATCATGTCTAGCACTAGGAAGCAACTTGTTTAAAATGTTCTGTCCATACTTTTTGTATCTAGGGAAATTGCTTTTATCCATACCTTTTACATCTGATCTTCAAAAACAAACCTCCGTTCTCAGGTAGGCTTGATTGTGTAACTTGAAAACTTAAAGTCAGTTGTGTAAGTTCTCTAACTATGTGACTAGTGGAAATCTCAAAGCAAACTATTAGGTTAGAGATAAGTGATTTTCCCCCTTATAGAAGTCATATTGCCATTGCCCAGTGTCAATTTATCTTAAATATTTAACCCTTTTAGATACGTTGTTTAGGCTGATGAGTGCTATTTTTAGATTTGCATTACTGACAAGTTACTAGATCTGTAATTTCCTTGGTTTCTGTTAGAATTACCTTGTAGTTCCTCCTATCTTTCTTTTCCATCCTGTGATGAGCTAATCATCTACAATAGTTTTTGGACTTGTACATACTGACACTTTGAGTCACAGAGTGCTAATTAGTAATAAATACTTTTTGAGGTCTCTTTGAGCTTTGATATATCTTTTGAGTTATGCCTTGGAATATCTGTCAGGATAGGAAATGTAAGGTTGAAAAATTGAAAATATTTTATTATTTTCTGCATCAGGACTTATGAACAAAAACTTGATATTGAGTCTAGGTTTATTTTATATTTAAATTCATAATTAACAACCAAAAGTAAGATTTAGAACTACGTTTAAATTTTCTTTGGAGCAGTGTTTCTCTGGGAGTTTGAAAATGGGGTGTTGCTGGTGTCAGGAGCACGGGGGTACTGTCGGCATTAGTGGAAGGGCGCCAGGGACACCGTGTGTCTTGAACGTGGGGACGGTCCTGTACGCTGGTGTTTTGTTCTCGGTTGCTGTTAATGTCACACTGAGAAAACCTAAAGATAACTCCAAATACATTCATATCGGATAACATCAGCCATATTCATGAGTTAAACTTACACATTATTTTTGTGTTTTTTTGAGGTATAATTGACATGCAGTAAACTGCACATATTTCCCTGGCCAGGTACTCAGTGGTTAGAGTGTTGTCCCCATACACCAAGGTTGCGGGTTCAAGCTTCAGTCAGGGCACATACAAGAAGCAACCAGTGAATACGTAAATAAGTGGAACAACGAATCAGTGTTTCTCTCTCTCTCTCCCCCCTTCCTCTCTAAAATTCAGTAAGTAAAAATTATTTTTAAAAATCTCACATATTTACAAAGTGTTCAAGTTGATAAATTTGGGTGTGTTACATTTGTGAACCTACCGCTACAGTGAAGGTGGTAAACATACCTATCACATCCAAAAGTTTTCTCTTCCCCTTTGTAATTTTTTCTGCTTCTTCCCCTTCCCCTAGCTATCTCTGATCTGCTTGCTGTAACTGTATTTTAATTTGCATTTTGTGGACTTGAATATTAATGAAATCATATACTATATACTCTTACTTATTATTATTATTTTTAATATTGCTGTTCGAGTACCGTTGTCTCCAGTTTTCTACCAGCACTCCCCCCCACCCTCCCCATCCTCACTTCCTACCTTGATCCTACCCCCCTTTGGTTTTGTCCATGTGTCCTTCATACATGTCCGTGACTCTTTTTTAAAAATTTTTTAAAAAATTTATTTTTAGAGAGAGGGCAAGGGAGGGGGAAAGAGGGAGAGAAACAGCAATGTGTGTGAGATACAGTGATCGGTTGCCTTTCACATGCCCCCAACTGGGGACCTGGCCTGCAGCCCAGGCACAGCCCTGACTGGGAATGGAACACGCGACCTCTCAGTCCCCAGGCCGGTGCTCAGTCCACTGAGCCACACCAGCCAGCGCAGTGTGCTCTTCTTATGCCTTCGTTGAGTGTGATTATTTTGAGACTCACCCATGTCCTGTTTTGTTACTAGTAGTTCATTTTTAAATTCCTGTGTAGTATTCTGTTGTACAATGCAATAACGTGTATTCACATTTACTTGTTAATGGACATTTTGAATTGTGGCTACTCTTCAGCTTTTAAAAAGAAAGCTGTTTACAAACTTTTGTACACATGTATGCTTTCATTTTCTTGGGTAAACACCTAGGATTAGAATAGCTGGGTAATACGATAGGGGTATGTGCCCACCCATTTTCCAAAGTGGTTGTACTGTTTATGCCCACAAGCAGTTTCTTTATGTTCTTGCCCGTTTTTATCTGGTCAGTCTTTTTCATTTTAGGTAGTGATATCTCATGTTTGTAACTGGTATTTCATCAGTTACTGGTGATGTTGAGAATCTTTTCATGTGTTCACTTGTCATCTGTCTTCTTTGGTGAAGTGTCTGTTCAAATTTTTTGCCTATTTTAAAAATAAAGTTTTTTTTAATGATTGAATTTTTCGAGCACTTATTAGATAAGTGCTTTGCAAATATTTTAGTCTGTGGCTCATCTTTTTTTTTTAACAGTGCCTTTTGAAAAAACAAAAGTAGTTAGTTTTGATAAAGTCCAGTTTATTATTTTTTTTCTGTGAATTGTGCTTTTGGTGTTGTATTAGAAATATTTGCCTAATCTGAGGTCATAAAGATTTTCTCCAGTTTCTTCTTCTGTTATATGTTTCATGGTTTTAGATTATACATTTAAATTAGTGACCTGTCTGGAAATAATTTTTGTTTATGGAGTGATATATGGATCAAAGTAATGTTTTTGGCAAATGGATATCCAATTATGTCAGCAGCACTTGCTGAAAAGATTATCTTTTCTCCTTTGAATCTTTGTCAAAAACTAGTTGTCCTTATGTAACAAGTCATGAAATAAGGTATTGTTAGCTCTCAACTTTTTTTTTTAAAGCTTCTTTGAGTTTTCTAGGCTATTACATTTTCTAGGCTATTACTATATTAATTTTAGATTGAAATGATCAATTTCTACAAAAACATGCTGAGATTTGGGGATGGCTTTGAATCTATACATAAATTTACCATTTATTTAAATTTTCTTTAATTTTTCTCTGCAGTGTTTTATAGATTTCATTGTACATGTTTTTCACATGTTTTGTCAGACTTATCCCTAAGTATTTAATATTTTCAATACTATTATAAAATACTGTTTTTAAAACTTGCTTTCCAATCAGGTCTTGTCCAATAAACATGTGGCTCCTGATCATCTGTTGCAAATCTGCCAGCGCATCGGTCCCATGTTGGATAAAGAAATTCCACCCAGTATTTCAAGAGTCACTTCTTTACTTGGTGCAGGAAGGCAGTCTTTGCTACGTACAGCAAAAGGTACCTTAATTTGAAGAAGTGTTCTGCTTTGTATTACTAGCTTAATAATTATTATAATTGTGAAGTAATGTGAGCATTGTGGAAGAAAGGTGATATGTAACTATACACCGTACTGTGGACTATAAAATTCTCTGCATTTAGCATAGACATTGAATTTTATTACATAAGTGTTTAATGGGTCCTTCTGCATTTAAAAAAATGATGAAGGTATAGATGTTAAGCTAAAAAGTTTGAATTTATTCTGAGATGTGTTTGAGGTTTTATCAATGTGAGTTCTTAATTTTCCATTTTGTAGCTCACTTATAACTTCATTGAATGTAACTGTATGTGTCTAATAAACTCTTTAAATGCTAGAAGTATTTCATTTGATATTCAGATCTTTGAAAGCCCTTTGTTACAAAGGGAAAGTGATTTTCTAAATTTGGTAGCAGTTTGAAAACAAGCACCCAAAATGTATAATTGCATGGTTCTCTTTTCACCAACTTAATTTTTTTGCTAAGTTATGTGGTAGCAAACTGTTGGAATTGCTGTTCTTTTTCTGTTAGCTTGGTATAAATCACTTAGACTAAGTATATGTATGTGATATGATCTATGTATACAACATGGCTTAACTGCTAATGGGCAAGAATGTTGGCTCTTCTGATCCTGAGCATACGTGAAGTTCATCCCCCGCGATTATTTCTAAGATCTGTTGCTGATGTGATGCCGCCTCTTAGATGTACCACCAGTATAAAGTTTGACTGAGAAAGAACCAGCCTCCCTCTTGGTTCCATGCCAGACCGGTTTGTCAGCATTAGTCGTTTCTTTGTGCTCTATGGCCATGCCACACTGTGGCTTGAATTAGGAAACTGTTCACATTCTTCCTTTTTCTGTGTTCCTATTTATCTTGTAATTATTCTGTTTTAGGTTGTTACATAGTAGTTGCCTGGGTAGCCTGTTTTCTTTACTTGTGTCAAGCTCAATGTCGTTTTGTAATGAGCACTGCTTTAGAACTGGCAGACCTTAGAAGAGACTGCAGCAAGCTGTCCTAGGGTAGGGGCCATATTTTGCTGTTCGTTTTGTACTAGTGCCATGGGAGGATGCTCTTTGATCATTATAGTGGTAATGAATCCATTCATGTAAAACGTTAACATGCCTGTTAGTTTGGGGCACCCGAGGCTCAGTAGAAGTTTAGTAGGGTGTCTTCCTTCCTGTCCCCTTTCAGTTGTGAAGAAGCTAATTTCTAGCACAGAATACTCTGTGTTCTGCTACTCCTCCCTATAGAGGGGAAGACTTTTTTTTTTTTAGTATATTTGCTGGTAGGTCAAAGAGGGATGGGACTTTAGAATTAGTGTTTAGACTCATATATCCTACATATGTGCTCTTGTGTAAAGATCAGCTATGACCCTTAAACAAGAGGAAAGCCATTTAATTTTGTCTTTATTTCCGAAGGAGATTAAAGTCGTAATAATATTGGTCAAAATTGATTTTAAAACCTAATGATATTTAAATAGTTAATTAAATCAAGGATCTTCATATAAATCAAAGAAATTGAAATTTTCCTTACGAAAATTTTTGTTTTTTGGGAAGTTGGATCAGTTGTGATTAAGACTTTATCATTAATAATGTATGGTATAATTCCACTTTGAAAAATAAAAATTTATTTGGCATTGACTGGGACTTGGAGCCAGAAGATCTGGTGTTGTGGTCTATCTTGACTAAGCATTTGCAGCGGGTCTCCTTAAAGGTCCTGGAACCTTTGAGCCTCAGTTACCTCACTTGTAAATTGGCGATTAATACCTACCTCACAGGGTTGTTGTGAGGATTCCATGAGATAATGTATGTGGAAAGCACTTTGTAAATTGTAAAGTGCTGTACAATGTTAGTTGTTGTTGTTGTATCTGAGATGTCTTAAAATTTTTTTCCTTCAGAAATAGTCTAATAAACTTCTAGGGCTTTTCTGTTAAAGTATATTAGTTGGTAAAATTTTGAATAAACAGTTTATTAAAATATACGTAAGTATTCTATAAAATCTTTCTTGGGGTTAACTTTCAAGATTTTATGTGTATCTAAAATTCATTTTAAAGACTGCAGGCACACAGTTTGGAAGGGCTCTGCCTTTGCTGCTCTTCACAGAGGAAGACCTCCTGAAATGCCAGTGAATTACGGTTTCCCGCCAAGTCTTGGTAAGTGAGGCTGGCCTTTCAGATGCCCGAAACCGTTCTCTTAGTTTCTTGACCAAGTTTGTAACTGCTCTGTTAAGATTTTAAAGGAAATAGTGGTAGTAGCATTGTCTCAGTAGTAACGAGGATCAATTTTCACATTTGTTTTCCTAAAATATTAAAAGTAATAAAAATGAATGAAAAACCAATTTTATTATTATTAAAAAAAAAGCCTATACTAGTGATTATAATAGACCCTAACTGAGAAGAAACTTGTGTCCTTAGGATTTCTTGAACATAGATTTTTGTTTTGGAGATTTTCTTAGCTTTTTACATACTGGCACCCCCTTAACCATTTTTGTTGTTTTTATTTCCTAGTGGAGATACATCGAGGCAAACAACTCACAGGGTGTTCCACTTTTAGCACAGCATTTCCAGGAACTATGTACCAGCATATAAAAATGCACAGGAGGATTCTTGGACATCTATCTGCTGTTTACTGTGTAGCATTTGATAGGACAGGACATAGAATCTTTACAGTGAGTTAACATTTTCACCTCAATTTGTTATCATCTGGAGCACTTTGGTGTTCATCAGAATCTTTTAAGAAGAAATCTTTTAAAACACATAGATTCCATGTTTCCCATTCTCAGGGATTTTGACTCACTAGGCGTGGTGTGGGGCCTGTAAATTTGCATTTTTATTTAGTGTCTCAAGTGATTCAGATGTAGATAGGCCTTGTGTAGTGGTTGTGAGACTTGATTTAGAGCAGTGGTTCTTGGGAATGATCATCAAGGATGCTTAAAGATATACATGCCTAATACTTCTTCAGCCCATTGTAGACCTACTGACTTAGGTCAGTTTCCACTCTGTGAATTAACCGAAACCAAACCAAAACCCCTCCCACAAGTCTCTCAATCTTTCCAGGTGATTCATAGTCACATTGAGTGCTCATTGATCTAGGGAAATTGATTATTCAAACACAAATATTTCATAAATATTATAAAATTAATTGTAACTTTGGAATTTGATTTACATTTTTAATGTTGTAGGGGAAAATTAGGATGGGCAAAAAGTTCAAATTTTAGGTCCTGGTTGGGTAGCTCAGTTGGTTAGAGCACCATCTGATCTGCCAAGAATGTGAGTTTGATCCCCGGTCAGGGCACATTCAAGAAACAACCAATGAACGCATAAATAAGTGGAACAACAAATCAGTGTTTCTCTTTTAAAAAAAAAGTTTGAATTTTATTTCTCAGTTGTGAGATTCAGAGTAGATACTATTTGCAAAATGCTGGTACTATAAATTTTAGACTCTGTTGTTTGGTTATTTAAAATGAGGGTGCTAGTCCCATTATTTTTAGTTGTGTTTGGGAACAAACTACTCTTGTATCTCAGTCTGTGAAATGTAGATCTGTCCTAACAGTCATCAAATTATTTAGCTTTGTTTGATATTTAACCATTGTTATTAAAATAAGTGAGCCATGAACTTGTAGTTGGACTTATTATTTGGCAGAAAATTTTGAGAAGATAGTATTTATAATATGGTCTGATCCATAGAAATGAAAACTGAACAGTATCTTTATGTAGACATTGTTTGATTTTAAAAACTGTTATAGGTGTTCTCAGCATGAGCCAATCACATTGTTCTACAGTTGGAAAGAGGAGTTACAGATACTTGAGTGACATGTAAATGGTATTTTTTAAATGGTAAAGGACTTCTCTATTGACATTTATTGGGGGTGTATTTTTTCTTAGGGTTCAGATGATTGTTTGGTGAAGATTTGGTCAACGCACAATGGTCGCCTATTATCCACATTAAGAGGTCATTCTGCAGAAATTTCAGATATGGCAGTAAACTATGAGAATACGATGATTGCTGCAGGGAGCTGTGACAAAATCATCAGAGTGTGGTGCTTGAGGACCTGTGCCCCAGTGGCTGTGCTCCAGGGACACACAGGGTCAATTACATCTTTACAGGTAAACTGGTGTTTGTGGGCACTTTGTGTGTGGGCTCCTTTTTCTTTAAAACTCCTCTTTGGAAATGAGAAATGGTAAGATGCTTAGTAATTATATGCTGTATTTTAAATTTAGTAATCAAGAAAGAATATAATTAATCATAGTTCCATGATTCTTGGAAGGATGATTTAATAAATATGGGATGTGGTTAGAGCTTTATATGAAGGCTTAATGGATACTGAATGAGTCAATTACAAACTGATGAGTTAATGATTTTTCTACTTTAAAACTTACAGATTTTGGTAAGCTAATTAAATTTGCTACAATATATTTAAACTCACTTTTAGTCCATATTCTAGAATTTAGATTTAAATAGTCACTTTCAACATTGCTACCCTTCATTTTGTATACTTGAAGAGAGCGCTTAGAAGAAGCTTCTTCGAAAAGTCATAGGTTAAATCCTACCTCCATTAAAAAAGTATGTGAACTTGGGAGAAAAAGTCATAAAACAGATTATAGCCCTAGCTGGTGTGGCTCAATGGATTGAGCGTGAGCCTGCAAACTGAAAGGTCACTGGTTCGATTCCCAGTCAGGGTACATGCCTGGGTTGCCTGCCAGGTCCCCAGTTGGGGGCGCGTGAGAGGTAGCCAATCAATGTCTCTCTCATGCATTGGTGTTTTTCTCCCTCTCTTTCTCTCTCCCTTCTTCTTTCTCTCAAAGCAAATAAAATTATAAACTATACTCTGAGATACAAGGGTAACTATGTGAATCTTCGAAAAACCCCACCAAAACCAGTCCTTCCTCTTTCTTTTCTTCTCATGGTTTTCCTTTCCTAAGCTCCTTGTCATGAATGTCTCATGAATCAGCAAGGTTTGTTGCTTCTTCCAGGTTTCCCCCCCCATTCTGAGGGAAGAAGGAACAGTTAAAGTTAAGGTTCTTCGATTAGTTGGATTGATTGGATCAGTTCTTGGTTCTTTATCTTAACTGTTTCTTTTCAGTCACTATTTGTACATTGCCGTCAGACAAATCTTTTAGTTGACCTCAGAGTTTTATTTGATAACTACAGTTACCTCTTAATTGCTGTTATTGGACTTGGGTTCTCTGCTCATTTCAGCACCACTTCCACGCCATGTAGGTCTTGCCATTGCTATCAAATACTAAATTCCCTGTCACGTTTGTACTTTTGTTCATATTATTTCTTTGCCTAGTGTGTGTTTCTTGATGTCTTGTATTTTCCTCTTAATCTTTTAAGCCTTCTTGGGTATCTCTTGACAAGATCGAATTTTCTCTAGCTTAGTTGTGTAGCACAATTGGGCATTAACATTTATTAAATGCAAATGTTAGCCCTATTCTGAAGTCACAGTATAATTCTCACAGTTTCTTCAAATACTTGTATGATTTAAAAAAATGTTTAAATTGTGTTCACTTGGAATTTATTCTGGGGTGCAATCTGGAGGGTAGATCCAGCTCCCCCCGCCTCCCGGTTGCTGCACAGCTGTCCCTTTACCATTTATACAGTTGTTCACGGTTTCCCTGGTGGATTTGAGTTGGATTTTGGATAAATATTTTTTTGTTGGTTTTGTTAATGTACCAACTGTGCCCCATAGTTTTGATTTTTGAGGCTTGGTGATACACTTTCATACTGATAGGACTAGATCTTGACTCTGTCTTTGTAAAAGTTTTCCTGACTCTTTTGTTAATTAGTTTTGAAAATAATTTTTTACTGATATCATATTAATGTTTATGTTAATTTAGATATAGACTTTATTTTTTATTTATAGGTTATGCTTTCACTACAGTAGTGTCACCTTTATTTTTGGATGTCTTATATTTTAGATTGTCAGTGGAAGTTAACTTTGAAAAACTGTTTAAACTACAACTTTAGTAGAAGCTTAGGAAGTTGAGTTGTATATCTTATTGTTTTTTAGTTTAGCCCAATGGCCAAAGGCTCTCAAAGGTACATGGTCTCTACTGGTGCTGATGGGACAGTTTGTTTTTGGCAGTGGGATTTAGAATCTCTGAAATTCAGGTAAGTGACTTTAATCATGTAATAAGTTTTCTTTTTTGAAGTCTGGTTGTAAAGAGAAATTGCAGATAGTGGTTACCTTTTTACTTTTGAACTTAGTTTTTTAAAAAAGATTTTACTTATTTATTTTTAGAGAGAGAGGAGAGAGGGAGAAGGAGGGAAAGAAACATTTATCGGTTGCCTTCTGCGTGTGCCCTGACTGGGGACTGAACCCACAACCAGGGATGCATCCTGAGCAGAACTCGAACTGGTGACCTTCACTTCACGGGTGGACACCCAACCAACTGAGCCACACCAGTCAGGGCTGAACTTAATTTTTATTATATACAGCCCATGTGGCAAACACAAGGCCCACGGGCCGAATCTGCCTCTCCACCTTGTTTTATCCAGCCTGGCACTTTACCATTGTTTCTACCCAGCAGCAGCGCCGAGCTTCTTGCTCCTAGTTAAGGAGTAGTTACATTTGTACAGTCCTAAAATGACATTCGGCCCTTTGAAGGCGACTGTGAGGCTGATGTGGCCCCCAGTAAAAATGAGTTTGATGCCCCTGATATATAGCATATATGCCATATTGACTACTTACTGTTTCCAGTTTTCTATTTAGATAGTTGGGTATGTAAAAGAAGCGTAGCTATTCTATCTTAGTGCACATGTTTTTGTGGAAAAAAAGGATAGTATGTATTTGAAACATTTGAAAAATATTAGAAATGTATAATTAGATACATAGAAGTTTAGGCAGGATCATTTAAGAATCAGAAGACCTGGATTTTGGACCTTTGTTGTCCAGTACAGTATCCACTAGCCACATGTGACTGTCAAACACTTCAGATGTGACTAGTGTAATTAAGGAACTGGATTAGTTTAAATTTAAACTGATAACTGGATTCAGTTATTACAAAACTCTTAAGTATATTTCAAACCACTTGAAAATGTGAATTTAGTTTTTAGCTATGAGAACTGAACATTTGATGGAAACATTCAAGTTGAGATGTATTATAAATGTCCAGTATACTCAAAAAGATTTCAAAGATTTAATATGAGAGAAAGAATCCAAAGTTCTCATTAAAGGCCTTGGTGGAGCAGCTCAGTTGGTGAGAGTGTTGTCCCGACACGCCAAGTTTGTAGGTTTGATCCATGGTCAGGGCACGTACAAGAATCAACCATTGGACGTATAAGTAAGGGGAACAACAAGTTGATGGTTCCCTTCTCCTTTTCTCTCTCTCTAAAATCAATAAGTTAAAAAAAATAAAGTTCTCACTAAAATGTTATTAATACTGTGATATGTCAGCTATTTGGGGTTAAATGAAATAAAACTAATTTCATTTCCTTTTAATGTGGCTAATAAGAAATTTAAAGTTACATATGTGGCTTGCATTTTTTTCCGTTGGACAGTACTATAGCCTGGTGGTTTTATGCCCTGCTCTGTAGCCATGGTGATGGGTTCACTTAGGGACTCTGAGCTGTAGTCACCTCAGGTGCAAATGGGAGTTAGTAGGGTTGGTATGAAGATGGAAATTACAGTTTTCTAACAATCCATCCAGCTGTAATAGCATATATGGAAATATTTGGTGTACTGTGAAGCACTGTAGAAATAACATAATATTTAAATATGCTAGCTTAAAATCAATATTTAAATCATGTTAATTATAAAACTAATGTATTTTAAAACATCATCTTTTAAAGTCCACGTCCCTTGAAGTTTACTGAAAAGCCTAGACCAGGCGTTCAAATGCTTTGTTCTTCTTTTAGTGTTGGTAAGTACTTCTTTTCTTTATTTTAGCATTTATTGAATGACTGCATTATTGATAGATAGTAAGTTACTTTTGTTCATTTCATTAGGTTTAATCTGTGATGTTCATTTTATTGGCCTTTTTTTTCTCTTTCACTCCTTTATTTTGCCTTTTTTTTGATTTTGATTAGTAATCAGTCAGTGACAGAAGAGATAGCTGGCCAACAGGAGGCTCAAAGTGTTCACACCAGCAATTCCCGGGCACGTGCCCCTGGTGTTATGCTGTACCAAGATTGTGATTTTCTCTTAACAAGCTAACCTGTATATTTTTTTTGTAGGTTAAATTTGTCGTCTACACATCTTGGTGAAATTATTCCCCATGTTCTTTTCTTGCATAGTTAACTCATGTGCTAACCTTTCTGTTTAGGAGAGGTCAAGGATTTTTTCCCTGTAAAAGTCTGAAAACTTCAACAAGTGAACTTCATATTCCATAGCTAGGTTTAGGTATGAGAAGTTGTCTGGAAAGCAGAGCCCCTCCTGCCCAGCATTTTTAGAGCAGCAGCATTTAGGGCAGCACTTACTGCCACCACTCATAAAGCAGAGGGCAGCAGTGAACATTTCCAGATTGAATTAACTTTTAAAAATTAAAACCCAGCCTGGCTGGTGTAGCTCAGTGGATTGAGTGCGGGCTGCAAACCAAAGCATCACAGGTTCGATTCCCAGTCAGGGCACATGCCTGGGTTGCAGGCCACGGTCCCCAGCAACCTCACATTGATGTTTCTCTTTCTCTCTTTCTCCCTCCCTTCCCTCTCTAAAAATAAATAAATAAAATCTTTAAAAATATATTAAAAAAAAATTGAAACTCCATCAGATTTTTTTTCCCCCAGCTCCACCAAATAATTCTTGGGTGTCCCCACCATCTGGGCGTCCTACAGTTGAACCCAGTTCTGACACGGTTTACCTAGAGAATAGTGAGAGATGCCACAGGCTAAGGGCTCGTTCCTACATGATTCCCCCTCCCCCCACCTCAAGCTTCAGACCCGGTTGTCACCTGTGCTTCTGACCTGCTGACTATTAGGTTGGAGGTTTCCACACACTCCTTTGAAGTTCTCCGAAATCTTTCTGGGTTTTTATGGAGGCTTGCTTACATAGGAATGATTGAGTCAATCACTGGCCGTGGGGATTGATTACCATATTTTTTGGACTGTGATACGCACCCCCGCCCCAATTTGGAAGGAATAATGGTTGTTAATGCTGCTGTTCAGTTCTCTTTACATTTACATTGGTGAAATATGTTATTTGTTATTAAATATTTTACCATATTCTTTGCTTCGAAATTTTTTTTTCCTATTTTTCTCTTCTAAAACCTAGGTGCATCTTATGGTCTGAAAAAATACAGTAACTTCTTTCTCCCTCCCCAGAGGTTGGACTGAAAGTTTCAGTCCTCTCTTCACATGGTTGATTCTCCTGGCAGTCAAGCACCCTCCCCCTGCTCCCCCAGTCCTCATACAATGCTTTCTTAAAGTCACTTTGTTGTTATAAACTCTGGTGTGGTTGAAATGGGTTTGCTGTGACTATCAAGACACCTTTATTGCTCAGGAAATTTGAAAGGTTTTAGGAGCTCTGTGCCATGAACAGGGACAAAGGGCAAATATATTATTATAAACCTAATATCACACTACATTATATTAATTTTAACATGTCTTTATGTAGTGAATTGGAAAATGGATCTGTTGAGATAAACTTTTGTAATAAGAGCTCTAGCTTTAATACAGAAATTTAGTTTGTGCAGATATTTGTTATAAAGTGGATTTTTTAACGCTTAACATTTTATTTCAGGTGGTATGTTTCTGGCCACTGGCAGTACTGATCATGTAATTAGAATGTATTTTTTGGGTTTTGAAACACCTGAAAAAATTGCAGAACTTGAAAGCCACACTGTAAGTATTCATGTTTTAAAATTCTATAGGTTAATTTAAATAATATTCCTGTTGGTATATAGTAAAATACTGCTAACAGAAATTGATATGGATTCTAATTTTAACTTAATTATAGGAGGAATTGCATTTAGAGGTGAAGGATATTGACAACTCAGGTAGCACCTTGACAGTGCTACTATTTTCCAATGGTTATTTTAGCTTTAAGTTCAAAGTCTTTAATTACGACAGTTGATTTGGGTAGGTTAGGTTCAGGTGGGCCAGTTTATCTTAACCAAGCTTGTAAAATCAGAGTGCTACTTTATTTATGTGTGGTAAGATCCATAGCTTGGTGGTCTGGAATACTGGTTAGTGGTCAAGTCATGTTTTCTCCTAAATGCAGTTTTGTGAGGTTATTTGATAAACATAGGTTTGAATCACTTTAAAAGAAAAAAACCTTTTTGGATATAAATAATCATAAAACATGCATATTTAGCCTCGTTTTCAGCTGTTTAAACCTTTATATTTTGATTGCTTTACAAATGTATCAATTTTTATACAAATATTTTACTGCATATGTCTTTGAGACAAGAGTCCTGTTAGATTAATAGATTCTTTGCACTTAAATGTGTAATCTGTGTTTGAATAATAAGACTAAGCAGCACAAGTGCAAATTTCTTGTTCTAAACCAAATGTTCTTCTAGCTCTAAAGCTGTTTTTTGTTTCTTTGTTTAGAAACTATTTAAGTGATGACTTATGTGGTTTTTTTTCTTCCTGATTTAGGATAAAGTTGACAGTATCCAATTTTGTAACAATGGTGACCGGTAAGTGTGTTTGTATTTGTACGTGTTTTTAGGCATATATAACTGCTTCATATCAGCACAGCTAATGTGTCGCTTTGTATACTGCAGGTGGTTGTTAGTAAGTAGTATATTAATTGAATGAAAAGTGCCTGGGGCAGTGGGAAACACATGAAATATAAGGTTTTAGAATTGTGGTTTCTGCTGTCTCCTGTGACCAAATGTAGGTCCCCTTTAGCTTAAATCAGCTAAATTTTTGATTTACAGAAAAATTATGTGAAACTTCTTATGTTTGAATAGTTAAGTCTTTTCTCATCAACTACTGTGCTGTATCCTGAAATGTAATTATCACTTAAATCTTTTTTTGTGATTCCCAATGTCTCTCAGTTGTCTTTTCTAATCTGCTGTTTCTAACACTGTTAAAAGATTATTTTTACACAGTGGCCAGCATGAATTAATTTGAGTTTAGAGTTAAGGTGCTTAGAATGGAGGTTTTATTCTTACTATAGTAATTTTCCCACATCTTTAATTCTTCCTATTTTCCACCTCTCCAGGTGCTATTGTCTTGTCAAAACTAATCTATTTGACAAGCTATTGATTGAGTTTGAAGGGTGCTTTATTTCACAGAGCCAGGCAAATTATAACAAACCAGATTGTTTCCATTTAGATACACCCTAATGCTCTGACTTTTCACTTAACACCTGGAGATTTACCTGCAGTCAGGACAGCTACATTACATTTTTTTTTTTGCTTGTGATTTTAACTGTAGCTCTTGGCATGTGTGTGAGTATACATCTTCTTTGAATATTTTAAGGTTTTTAAGTGGTAGCAGAGATGGAACAGCACGGATTTGGAGATTTGAGCAGTTAGAATGGAGAAGCATTTTATTGGATATGGCTACCAGAATCTCAGGGTAAGTTGAGATGGTTTGTTTTAAGTATGATATAGCATAAGTTTTTGATTTTTCCTGATTGGTTGATGGCTTTGTTCAGGGGACTGGAGCCCCACCCCCTGTTATGAAAGCTATAATAGAAGGGAATGGCAGAAGGATGGGAGTGGGTGGAGGTGGAAGAGGGTATAAAGGAGGATGACTGATAATGGAAAAAAAATACAATAAAAAGAAACTATTAGCCTTGGCTGGTGTGGTGCAGTGGATTGAGTGCTGGGCTGTGAACCAAAAGGTCGCCAGTTTGATTCCCAGTCAGGGCACATGCCTGGGTTGTGGGCCAGGTCCCCAGTTGGGGTGTGTGAGAGGCAACCAATAGATGTATCTCTCACACATGGATGTTTCTCTCCCTCTCTTTCCCTTCCCCTCTCTCTAAAAATAAATAAATCTAAAAAAAATAAACTATTAAGAAATGAAGTAAATGGCTACCTCCTGTGTGTCTGAAAGACATGTAAATCTCATCTAGCCAAAAGAATTTATTCTTAACATTTACATAGCAAAGAACAACATATTATACTGTTTCTCAAAGCATTGACTTCTTCTTAGATGTTGTATTTAAAACCACCTACATTTTTAAAAAATTATAAAAATAACTCAGGCATGTCAAATGTGAGAATTTTACTTTTCTGTAGATAGGATTTTTTGGAATATTTTAAAAATTGGCTCTGGCTAAGTCTGATGAAGAAAGGATGCATAGTTTATTGTTGAGAGGAGAAAGTTGTGGTCAAATGGGAGAGATTTTTTTTGCATGCTAAAATTTTGGCTTGTAAAATGGCTTTGGAGGCAAGTTTGTCCTTCTATCCCCCTCCCCCAAAACTCCAAAGTTTCACACTTCTTTTTAGCATCTTATTGGTAAGTTTAGTACTTCCCAAGGTAAATATTACCAATTTGAAATACATTGCCTTCTTTTGTTTGTATTGGGAGGCAGTATAGGTGGTGAAAAGAGCACATGTTTTCGAATCAGACTTTTGCTCAGATACTACTTAGATTGTTTATATCTGTATAATTTTGAAAATGTCATTTACTAATAGTCTGTTTCATCATCTGGAAAATGAAACAACCCACCTTTAAGTATTATTGGAAATTTTAAATGATAGGACGAAAGATGCTGGCATGCTGCCTGGTCCAGCATTGGCATATCAGTATTCTTTTGCCCGGTGTAAATACTACTTTGGTTACACTGTAACAGAAACCTAAAGTTACACATTTCAGTTTACAGTTTATTTCCAAGGCTTAACTTTATACTTTTTCATACCAGTTTTTCTGAGAAGTGTTACACATTTTGTCTTATGGAAATCCTCATGTCTGCTCTATTTTCAATAATTGTAAGAGAAATTAACTCATAATCTGTGCTATGGCTCAAACAGTAGTACTTGGTTTCAAACTAAATTGATCTTAATATTTTTGTGGGATGATCTGTGGTAGAGTATGGAAGGACTATATATTAAAAATCTGACAATCCTTGTTCATAAATAGATCTTTTTTTTTTGGTAGATGTAGTATGTTGTGACTTTATCTATTTTAACATTATTTTTAACATTATTTTTTATTGTATTCTTTCCATTACCATTTATCCCTCCTATACTTTCTTTTTTAAAAAATATATTTTATTGATTGTGCTATTACAGTTGTCCCATTACCCCCTTTCATTCCCCTCCACCCTGTACACCCTTTCCCACCCACATTCCCCCCTTTAGTTCATGTCCATGTGTCATTAAGTTCTTCAGCTTCTAGATTTCCCATACTATTCTTGCCCTCTGTCTATTTTCTACCTACCATTTATGCTAGTTATTCTCTGTACCTTTTCCCCCTCTCTCCTCCTCCCACTCCCCTGTTGCTATCCCTCCATGTGATCTCCATTTCTGTGGTTCTGTTCCTGTTCTAGTTGTTTGCTTAGTTTGTTTTTGTTTTAGGTGTGGTTGTTAATAATTGTGAGTTTGCTGTCCTTTTACTATACATGTTTTTTCTTTATCTTCTTTTCTTAGATAAGTCCCTTTAACATTTCATAAAATAAGGGCTTGGGGATGATGAATTCCTTTAACTTGACCTTATCTGGGAAGCACTTTATCTGCCCTTCCATTCTATGTGAAAGCTTTGCTGGATAGAGCAATCTTGGATGGAGGTCCTTGCCTTTCATGACTTGGAATACTCCTTTCCAGCCCCTTCTTGCTTGCAAGGTCTCTTTTGAGAAATCAGCTGACAGTCTGATGGCAACTCCTTTGTAGGTTACTGTCTCCTTCTCTCTTGCTGCTTCTAGAATTCTCTCCTTCATTTTTTACCTTGGGTAATGTAATTATGATGTGCCTTGGTGTGTTCCTCCTTGGGTCCAACTTCTTTGGGACTCTCTGAGCTTCCTGGACTTCCTGGAAGTCCATTTCCTTTGCCAGATTAGGGAAGTTCTCCTTCATTATTTTTTCAAATAAGTTTTCCACTTGTTGCTCTTCCTCTGCTTCTGGTACCCCTATAATTTGGATGTTGGAACGTTTCAAGATGTCCTGGAGGTTTCTAAGCCTCTCCTCATTTTTTTGAATTCTTACTTCTTCATTCTTTTCTGATTGTATGTTGTTTTCTTCCTTCTGGTCCACTCCATTGATTTGAGACCCAGTTTTCTTTCCATCACTATTGGTTCCCTGTTCAATTTTCTTCATTTCACTCAGTGTAGCCTTCATTTTTTCATCTAATTTGTGACCAAAATCAACCAATTCTATGAGCATCCTGATCACCAGTGCTTTGAACTGTGCATCTGATAGGTTGGCTATCTCTTGGTCACTTAAAAGTATTGGCTCTGTGGCTTTGATTTGTTCTTCCATTTGAGCCATTTTTTGTGGGGGGCGGTCTGGTCACTCCTGTTACATATTGAGGGGTGGAGCCTTAGGTGTTCTCCAGGGCGGGGCAACCCAGTTGCTGGGTTGTGATGCTGTATGTGGGGGCAGGGTCCGAGAGGGAACAATAGTGCTTGCTCTGCTCTCCGTGGACTTCAGTCTCTTCCACCACTTCCCCCAAGCAAACTGGACCTCTCTGGTGCTGATTCCTGTGTGAGTGGGCTTGTGCACCCTGTGGGTCTTTCCAGCGAACTCTCCTGTGAGGTGGGGAGTCTCTCCCTGTGCCTCAACCCCCACAGGTGTTTTCAGTCAGTGCCCCGAGGCTCTGTTTCCCAGCGTTGGGATCCTGGGTTGTGCACAGTGCTTTGCTTCATCATCACCGCCTCCCTGGGTCTGCCAGTTGCCACCCCTTGGCCAGGGTTTGCCACCTGTCACTTGAGTGCACCCAGGGTCCGCCTGCTGCGGTCTTACGAGCCGGGTCCCAGTGCTCTTTGTGCCATGCGACCCCTCTTCCTCCAGCTGCCTGACTCCACCCGTCCTACCGGTCTAGATGAACGTGTCTATTTTAACTCCTTGGTTGTCCAACTTTCATATAGTTCAGTTGTCTGTCAGTTCTGGTTGTTATTCTATTTCTAAATTGTTGTTGTCCCTATCTTGGTTGTGTGGGGAGGCACAGTGTGTCTACCTATGCCTCCATCTTGGCCAGAAAGCCATAAATAGATCTTTATCATTATTTAAAAGTGTTACACCTGTATACTCAAAAGAATCTTAGTGTGAAAATGAGTACTGCTAACTGAGATTATGAAGGGGAATGGGAGTGAGGATAATTTGGAACCATATTCACTTATGAATGATTGCTTTATTAGCAAAATAGGAACATCAGTGTAAACACTGGAATAAAAATTTTAAAAATGAGACTGAAAACTGCTTAGTTTTCTTGCTCCCATAGTCTTTTCACGGAGGGAACTTTTCCTATAATTTTTTCATGGTGGGAATGTTCTTTTTCATTTAAAGTTTTACTTCTTACAAATCTTCAAAAACAGTTTTCTGTATGTAAGAATTGATGGATATATAATAGTTTTAGTGTTCTAATCATGCTTCTTCAACTTGATGAACTGTAATAGGTCTGTTAGTAAATTACAGGTTATTAATAGGGAATACCTTTTAGTTTAAAGGGGAGAGTGGAGTCTTAGTCTTCTTTATATTTCCCCTCTTTTATGTTATACTTTTCCCCTGCCCTGTCTAGTTAGAATTATTCTCTTATTTGTGTTCCATTGTGTTTACATCGGTAGCTATTACATAACACTTATTCCATATTTTATAGCTGTTTTCTTTAATGAAAATGTTTAGTACATGTTTGTAGTTCTCAGAATATGTTAGATGATTTCAGAAGCTGAAATCATTAGGCTTAGGCTTTTCCTCACCCTCCCACTATTTACTGCTGACTATATTTTACAGAGAAACTTTACAGCTCACTCTTATAAAGGGTGTCTGTTGCAAAGCATTGCAGACATAGGTATCCAAGACTATTCTTACCATGGCACCCATAGGAACAGTCTGTAGGGAAGTATAAAGAGATGAGTACAGTTTCACAGTTCACCAAATTGTGTGTCTGTGTCAGGCACTTTTCTAGACATTGGGAATATGAAGATAAATTGTTTCTTTTGTCTTCCTAAAATTTCTTGTTCTTTCTGGAGAGAGAAACAGTTGAAAGTATTACTATTAGGGCTGGGGTTTAGGAGAAAAGAGGTAGAGAGAAAAAGTTTTGCTTTTATGAGTAGCAGTGGTATCCTGAAATCTGCCTTAATTTAGTCTCTGAACTGCTTCTGAATCATTTCCTACCCTCTGGGTTTTGCCCTAATCTGTTTATATAGATTATCTGTTATAGGTTAGATATGACCAACCTTCTATAGAGTTGGTAAGGTAAGCCCATGAACTGGATTACTTTAGTTACTTTTGTATAGATGAGGGATTGTTTACATTGTATTGCCTACCATCCAAGTGTATTTACACATTGTGTGTGTGTTGTGTTTTTTTTTTTAGGGACTTAACTTCTGAAGAAGAAAGATTCATGAAACCCAAAGTAACAATGATAGCTTGGAATCAGAATGATAGCATTGTTGTCACAGCTGTGAATGATCATGTCCTCAAAGTATGGAATTCTTATACTGGACAATTGCTTCATAACTTACTGGTAGGTAGTTCTTACCCAATATAACAAACTAAGATTTTTTTGAGCTATAATTTTATTTTTCAAGCTATGAAATTAATATATTAAACATGTTTCTTTTTTTTAAGATTTTATTAGAGGAAAGGAGGGAGAGAGGGAGAGAAACATCAGTGTCTGGTTGCCTCTTGCACACTCCCTACCGGGGACCTGGCCTGCAACCCAGGCATGTGCCCTGACTGGGAATTGAACCAGTGACCCTTTGGTTCTCAGGCCAGCACTCAATCCACTGAGCCACACCAGCCAGGGCTAAACATGTTTCTTTTATTTATATTATCAAGTAAAGAGAAGTTTGTATATATACTGGTAAAAATTACTGTCAAATACATTTTTTTCAAATACATTTTTAAAAGCCCTTATACACTATGCAAATGTGAGTTTTTAATTAGAAACTTATAAATTGCAAACTCCCCTTAACTATATGACTTTGTTGAATGAAGGGACATGCTGATGAAGTATTTGTTTTGGAGACACATCCCTTTGATTCCAGAATTATGTTATCTGCAGGACATGATGGCAGCATATTTATATGGGATGTTACAAAAGGTACCAAGGTGAAACATTATTTTAATATGGTAAGTGAAGTCTGCTATATCTTCATGCGTGCTTGCATTTGTTCCAATTATCTAGATTAAAAAGTTTAGCCAAAAACAGCTCTGCATGTTTTGGCAGTTTGTATTTCTAAAAATCAGGGTATTTAATGCCTAATAAATATCTGACAACCATATATACATATGTACATGAAATTCTCTGTGTAACTGAGGGAAAGATTTTCAGAAGTCATCCATTTAGCTTTGTGTGTATTGTGAATATCTCTGTGTTTAAATTGGCAGAATTATAGTGATTATACACAACTTGAGACTGTGCAGCAATATAAATTTTACATGGTGATCACTCAATCTTAGTAGAAAGTTTAAACTCTAGAAAAGTATTGATTTTTAGTTATAAATACTATATTAATTTTTAATTAGTTATTAATTTTTAGTTATTTACCTTGTAGGCTATCAGTCAATAGCCTTTTGTTATGTATTAAAACAAAAGTTTCTGAAGGTGATTGTCATATATTTGTCTGAAAAAAAAGCCCTCATTTTGGATTCATTTAATCATTTTGAGAACTGATTCTTAGATCTTTCAAAATTTCTTCAAGGGTAGCGGTATCTAAAAGTGAATTTTCTTTACTGAAAATGTAAATTGACATGGTTAGTGAAAAGACTGTTTTTAAATTTATTTACCTGAATCATTATATTGTAGCAGGGCAGCAACAATGAAAACAGTTGATACAGCAAAAACAGTTGCATAAACTTGGTCATAACTTTATTCCTTTTTTTATGGTTAGCATGTGCCAGACTTTTATTCGACTCATGAATGAGGCTTTTTCCCTCTGTGTTTCCTAGATTGAAGGACAAGGGCATGGAGCTGTATTTGACTGTAAGTTTTCACAGGATGGACAGCATTTCGCCTGTACAGACTCTCATGGGCATCTTCTGATATTTGGGTTTGGATGCAGCAAGCCATATGAAAAGGTTATTTTAATTTTTTTTTAAAAAAGAGACATTTATTCAGCGTCATGATCAGACTATTACACTTAGCAATCAACAGCATGGGTGCAAAAAGAAAAAAAACCTACATTAAAAACCCTTTGTTGGAATGCTTTACACTTTCCACAGAACAGAAACTAAAATGACCTGTTACACAACTAGTCACAAATACAGTCCTCGAGTTTTTTGCCCATTCATATGAGCATTGTCTAAAACATGTCTTCTGTGTAGCAGCTAGGCCCTGCCATCACTATACTTGGCTGAGTTCACAAATCTGTTGTAACCTGTAGTTTCCCGGTCACTTCTCTGGCTCTCCTCTCCTGCTAAGCTTCGTTTCCTGGCAATAATTAAAACCTTCTGCCACTGCCATACTGCTGCTGCTGGAAGCGCCATAGCCACTTTGGTTTTGTGGTTTGGCAGAGTATTGGCCTCCACCACCATAGGGGCCAGAGCTGCCATCTCCCAAGTTTCCTCCTTTCCTGGGTCCAAAATTTGAAGACTGATTGTTGTAATTGCCAAAATCATTGTAGCTTCCTCCACCTCCAAAATTGCTTCCATCATTGCCAAATCCATTATAGCCATCCCCACTTCCACCGTAACCACCACCACCACGGCTACCACCAAAGCCACCTCGACCACTGAAGTTTCCTCCATGACCAAAGTTGTCATTCCCACCAAAACCACCTCCACGACCCCCTCTGAAGTTTCCAGAACCACTTCGACCTCTTTGGCTGGATGAAGCACTAGCCACCTCTTGCTTAGATAGGGCTTTCCTTACCTCTCAGCTGTGGCTGTGTACAGTATGATATTTCTGAACCACACTCCTGTCGACAGAGTCATGGTCGTCAAAGGTTACAAAAGCGAACCCTCTCTTTTTACCACTGCTTCGGTCAGTCATCGTTTCAGTCACTTTGTAGTTTTCCCATGCTGTTCAAAATAATCTCTCAGGTGATGTTCTTCAGCGTCTTCTCTAATACCACTGACAGCTATCTTTTTCACAGTTAAATGGGCACCTGGTCTTTAAGAATCTTCTCTTAAGACCGCCCGCCCTCTTTGGTTCCACAACTCTTCTGTCCACCTTGCGTGGCCTTGCATTCACGGCTGCACCCGCCGCCTCCGCAGTGGCCTATGTGACAACCCCAGAGCCTCTCATGGGCGTGGTGCTTGGACCGCTCATCGCCACACAGCCTGTGCGCGTGCTCCATTGCCCAGAATGCTGCCTCGGGCTCCCATCTGCTGTGCAGAGCTCAGACCTCTGAGACAGAGCTGGCGTGGCTGTTCTGGCTCCTTAGGAGACTGACCTGGACATGACGACTGCAGGACAGGGAGCTTTTCCACAGTGCTTACTCAGCAGCGTTCACCGGCAGAAACGTTAAATGTTTTTTACAGCATGTAAAATAAGTAGTTACGAAGGATATTTTGAAAATAGGTTAGTTGTATTATATTTCCCTGTCTTTTCTAATTATAATTAACTGCTTAATATTTTTCTTCTAACATGTATACACCTCATAGTATCAAGTATCAACATGTAAACTTCCTTCCCTTTTTTTTGTTTTTAACTTGCCTTTTCTAGATTCCTGATCAGATGTTCTTCCATACTGACTATCGACCTCTGATTAGAGATTCTAATAATTATGTCTTAGATGAGCAAACTCAGCAGGCTCCTCACCTTATGCCTCCGCCATTCTTAGTAGATGTAGATGGAAATCCTCATCCAACTAAGTACCAGAGATTAGTACCAGGCCGAGAAAATTCTGCAGATGAGCATTTGGTTCCACAGCTAGGCTATGTGGCAACAAGTAAGTACCAAGTCTTTTTTTTTTAAACAAAACAAAGCAACTTTATTTGAAAAATGTAAAGAAAAATACAAAGAACTCCTATCCTTTCAAATTCACCAGTTAATAGTTTGTAATAATTGTTTTATCATTTATCTCTAGATAGAATTGTTTTTGATTCACTTGAGGCTCAAGTTCAGAACCTCATGTTTATTTACTCCTAAGTACTTCAGTCTATTTTCTAAGAACAAAGATATTTTCTTTTCTTTTTTTTAAAGACTTTATTTATTTATTTTTTAGAGAGGGAAGGGAGGGAGAAAGAAACATCAATGTGTGGTTACTGGGGGTCATGGCCTGCAACCCAGGCATGTACCCTGACTGGGAATCAAACCTGCGACACTTTGGTTCACAGCCTGCTCAATCCACTGAGCTGCACCAGCTAGGGCTCCTTTCCCATCTCTCTAAATATAAATAAATAAAATCTTAAAAAAATTTTAGTGATATTAAGATGAATCTAATCGTAGATTATTTAGTGATACTAAGTGAATCTACAGACAATTAATGACATTCAGCTCTTGTAAGTTCCTCATTGATTTCCATAGTGAAATGGAAGTGTTATCAGTGAGCTATAAGGGAATTAACTTAGTAGGATGGAAGTATTTGTTGTTGTTGTTGATATAGCAAATAACATTTTTCAGTTTCTGGGTCTGTTATATGAAAGTGAATTAAATCTTTGCATTTCTTTTGCTTAATATGCTAACTAATTTCAGTTAGGGTTTTGCTTAAAAGTTGGTGAGGGGCTGGTCTGTGTTATATATTATGTTCAAAGAAGATGCATTTTATGGTGGGAGGGCTATGTAAAGAATATTTCACACGAAAATGTTAATGTTTTGATGAATTTCCAGATCCACAACTGTTGATGGGAGAGACCTGGTTCTTCTTGCTGATGCATGTAAAGAATTACAGATCAGCAAATCTATTAGCATGTAATCAGTTTATTAGTGACCCATTCCCATGGAAGAGAACAGGAGTGGGTAGAGTAGGGGGTGAAAGGGAAAGTTTCAGGGCAAAGCAGGGTGGCAAAAGAGCAGCTGAAGACCCAGGGTGGCAGCCCCCAGGCAGCCTGAGGCCCGGTGGCCAGAGGCCCAGTGGCAAGGGAGCCAAGAGTGTCAAGAGTGCCCCAAGCTCCCGAGAGGGAGCTCTTGGTTCTGAGGACTTATATAGTTGGTGGGATCGGAGAAAAGAAGTTACATATTGGTTAACGGGTAAATGTGGTGCCAGCTTTCCTGGGGGAACGTGACCACCCAAACTCAGGTATGTGTGGGGGTCTGTTAGCCCAAAGTCCTTATCTTGCTCCAGACTCCGTTTGTTTATCTTGCTGTGAAACAAATACGTGACAGGAGGCAGTTAATTAAAATTGGGGCACTTTCCAGAGTTATTTATGGGCTCTTTCTGTAAGCATCAGGGACTCCCTCATAACACAGATAGTGACCAGAGGTAGACAATTAACCAAAGTTGTTTTATGAACTCCTTTGGGCACCTTGAACCCTCTCCCACATTCTGGGCCTTGGGATGAAAGCACAGTTTCAAGGCTTTCTTTCCCAGATAGTGCAAATGCTATACAGAATTTCAAGGACTTCCCTTCTTTCTTGCTAACATAGTGTTTCTTGTGATGTTGGAACACCTGGCAATATTATTGGACCAGGCTCAGGACAGCTGAGTTAGTATGTGAGACATGTCTCCTTCCTCGCTGCCTTGGTTTATTACTTAATCTACCTAATTGGTAGATTAGGTAAATGCCTTTTACCAATTAGGTAAATACCTAACATGGTAAAAGGCATTTTCTGGCAACCAGAATGCTAGATGCTGGCCAATAGCAGTATTGCAGTCTCAGAGTTCTTCCTATGCTGTCTCCTGCCTCACAACTACCGAACACTTTTATTCATTAACACTTATTCTGAACTTATCAAATATCTCTGAAAATGTATTATTTGAAAAATGAAGAAAAGACACTTAAAACTATCTGATTTTGTACTTGAAGTAAGAATTATGGGTATTGGCTATGCTAAAAGCATATCTCAGGGTGGGGGAGAAACTTAAGCTTAGTGGGAGAGGCATGTATAGCTACTTCCCTCAAAGGCACCTGCTCTCTCAGGATGCTTGGAGAGGGGGGAAAGCCAGAGTTACATGGTTTGCTGAAGGTTAAAGAGGTATACTCCCCCTTTAAAAAATTTTTTTAAACAGTGGAGAAGACATGCCACTGCTTTTTCTCCCTCATAAATCATGCATTGTTGCTGTGTTCTAGTGCGAGAACTAGAACACAGAACTAAAACTTACTCTTTGGGAATAAGATTTTAATTTTAATGAGGCATATTTTGTATAAATGAGGGGTGTGGGTTAGTGTAAACTAGCAAAATAAAATTTTCACTGAAATGTGTTTCCATGTGCTCACTTGCTGGGGTCTCAAAGGCTCTACTGAGGTTTCTGTGGCATTTATTATTTTCTAAAGGAAAGGTCTTGTCTGACTTAGTTATGAATGTATAGAATATCTTTTTTTATAAAATAGGAACTCTGACAATTGCTAATGTAATTTTAATTGTAGCCTACTGGAAGTTTTTTTTTTCCTGTTTATATATGGATTATGATTTTATCTTCATTCATTGAATTTGCAGGTGATGGAGAGGTAATTGAACAAATTATAAGCCTACAAACTAATGATAGTGGTGAAGGAAGCCCAGAATCCAGTGTTCTTGATGGGATGATAAGACAGTTGCAGCAGCAGCAAGATCAGAGAATGGGAGCTGGTCAGGATACTAGTCCAAATGGACTTCCAAATGGGGAAGAAACACCACGAAGAGGTAATAAATATGTGAGATATGTTTTACCTTAATATGGCTGGATTGAAATTGAAGAGTAAATGAAGTCATTGTCAGTTACACGTTATGTGAAAAGAAAAACTAAAGCAGTGTTTTTTTTTTTTTATAATTTAAGTACTAGTTTGGATAGCTTTATTAGATGTAGAGTTGATATGCTGACAAATGGACATTTGATTTTCAAGTACTGTGAAAGGTTTTATAAAGGAAAACTACATTTCTAGGTTTTCCTTGCTTTAAACACTTACAATTTTTTAAAAACTGAATTTAATTGGGACCTGGCCGGTGTGGCACAGTTGGTTGGAGCATCATCTCATAATGGAAAGGTTTTGGGTTTGTAGCCCAGTCTGGGCATATACCCAGGTTGTGGGTTCAGTCCCTGGTCTGGGCGCAGGCACCTGCAACCCCTGGATGCAAAGGATTCCCAGTCCAGGGGCCAATCCCCGTTGGGGCACCAGTCCCCATTCAGGTCTGGGCAGCAACCAATCAGTGCTTCTCTCATGTCTCTCGATGTTTCTCTCCCTTCCTCTCTCTCTGAAAGCAATAAGAAAAATGTCCTTGGGTGAGGAATTAAGGAAAACTGAATTGGGTAGAGCACTGGTTGTGTTTTGTGAATTAGGAGGCTTGAAGTGAATTTTCAGGGCCAAGTACTTGATATTGGAATATAGTAGTAAGTACATTAGTAGTGGAAATAATCTGGAGGAGGCTGATAATTGTTATGTAAATGAAATGTCACTCTTGGAGAGATAATTATGGAAGATTATTAGAGAAGCTTTGAGAAATGTCTCAAATGCCATAAAATCCCAGCAGTGCCACAAAGATAATATTGGTCATACCATACCTGCATGGCCACTTGGCCGTGAATTTCAATACCTTCTTTTTTGGCCGTCTTTCTACTTGTCTGTTTGTGAATTTGCTTTTTCTTTTATGTAGACTTTTAATTTTTATTTTGTAATGGCAAAATAATTTACTTCAAAGAAAGCTACTTTGGACAAATTAATTTATAGGTAGTAAAGGTATGCTTTTGTTTGTAGAAGGAAACTTTAACATGTATTTGCCAAGTTTACTCTATTTCCTGAGTCTCTGTTATTCAGTTCTGTCCTCTGGACAGTTTCTTCACAGGTGTCTCTGCCCTGTCACTCTTGGTCTGATCTGCCACGTAAGTGGTCTTTCGATTTTTATTTGCAGTGGCTATCAAGTCTAGAAGTTCTATTGATTCTCTTTAAAACCTCACTTTAAATTCAGTGATTTTTGCTTTAAATTTTACTTTTTTAATGTGTTTTATTGTTTTGGATCCTAGCTGCTCAGAATTGGGTCTGTCAGTCCTTTGTTTATGACCTACTCTTACCAGTTGTTTACATGAGGTTCTCTTTTATTTGTTTTAAATCATGTTGATAACCTACATCTGTTTATGTGAGATAGCAATTATTTCAAATCTTGTTTTGGTCCTTTCTTTGCCTTTTTAAAATACACTAAAAATACATTTGTATATGTATTACTAGAAAGCATTTGTTTTCAAACTTTATAAAAAGATTATTAGGTTATATATGCTCATGTGAGACTGACTTTTTTCACATGATGTTGTATCTTCAGATTGCTCCACTGTTGCATCAGGTTCAGTTTGACAGTTGTGTATTACTCCTTGTGTGACTATATCTAATTTATACATTCTCTCGGGCTTTTGAGTAGTTTTGACATTTTGCCAGTCATGAAGAGAAATAATATTAATAGTCCTGTATGGGTCTTGTTTACATTTGAAGGATTTTCTTTTAAATATTAATCTTAGAGTGAAATTGTTGCATATAGATATATTATGCCAAACTTGTCCACAGTGGTTGTAGGATATATATGAAGGGTGCTATTGATTAATTTCTCTGATATTTGGTGGGTTTCTTGATTTTTGGCATTCAGATGGGTGTCAAATGGTAATGCAGTCATAATTTGAAATTTAAAAAATTCACTAATGAAGTTGAATTTTTTGGCCATATTTTCTTTTTTCTTTATAAGTTATTTTATAGTATATATTTCTTATTGTCTGCAGTTCTTTGGATAGCCTAATTTTATATTGTCATGTATCTGTATTATATATTATTATGTATTATTTTGGATTTTGAGTTCGTCTGTAGTAGGAAATTATCATTCCTTTGGGAATGATGAGGGCTTTTCATTCCAGAATGGTTTAAATGATTCTGTAAGTTACCCAGGTTTATCACCAACCATCAGGCCCTTTTTTTCAGTGAAATATTTGTTTAATCTATGGTCTTACCTGTTTCAGAAGTCTCGTAAAACATTGAATTAAATATCCGACAGATTGCCTTTTACTGGTAAGAAAAAAATGATGTAAAAATCAGGCTACCCCAAAGACAGGTAGTAACTGTATATAGGGTAGTCTTGGTGGAAGGTGGCATTGAAATATGCAGGTTCCACCAGGACCACTTTGTATTTTACCTTACCTTCTTTGTGGGGTTTGGATCATTGGGTTTTTGGGGGATTGGCTTTGGGGGGATCTATTTCTCATTTGTAGATGTGCACCTGGTATAGGACAGAGGCCTTATTTCTGATGGTGTGAATGATGGTTGTTCTATAGTTTAGTTATAATTTTGATGTTATGTGAGGAGGTGAGCCATGTTTACCTATGCCTCCATCTTGATGGAAAGTTCTAGAATTTGTTTGTAGTTCTCCATTCAAAATTATTTGCTTAAACATCAGTACATCTTAATATAAATGTTTAATGCCATTTTAGTAGTTTAACCAATTTGATGCAGAGTGGTTCCTTTGGTAAACAGAATGCAGAACAGAAGAATGCAGAATTTATTTTACTTATGTGGATTTTACCCTAGGCCAGGAGAGCTGGCATGGCTTGAGTAGAATTTTATAGCCTCCAGCAGGAAAGGATATAGCCCCCCAATTTCTCTGGTGCATTTGTAGCAGGAGCCCTTTTCCCTGTGTTTTAAGAAAACAAACACTTGCCCAGGACTCCCTTCTCCCTCAGACAGGTCTGCATATTCTATGACTTGCACCTCCTGGCAGGTTGCCTTGCTTCCACTGCTCACCTGATCAGCTCTGCACAGGCTCAGAGCTCACTGTTGTCTGAGTTGCCCTTTCACCCACTCGCCCAGCTTCAGTTCGAGTGCTGCCAGCATTTCCCCACTTGGCAGTTTTGTGAATTTTTAATACCCGCTCTGGCTGCTGCCTGCCTGAGTGGCTTGGATTGATTATATTATCTCGGAGGTTACAGTTAATGGTGTTAGAGCTCTTGTTATAAAGCCACTGCAGTTTGAGGAGTCTGTCTTCAATGCTGATTTCTCCAAAAAGATGTGTTTTTAATGTGCACTTTTGAAGAAGGCAAGGTTTTTAGGAATGTAAATATAATGTAATAGAAAATGCCTGCACATTAAAAAATTTCAGAAAGTCTGGTAAAAATGGAAATTGAGGTTAGTAGTTAATGTTTGTTCTCTAGTCTATGTTTTGAGCTCAGTCACATGAAGATTTTTCAGACTTTTTTCTGTAGATTTTTGTTTTTGGTGTGTGTTTCAGAAGGACTGTATATGCTTATTACATGTTAAATGCATATAGATTGAATTTTGTTTTAGAATCATTTCTTGATAATTTTTTCCTAGGTTTTAGAAGACTAAGCTTAGATATCCAGTCCCCTCCAAATATTGGTCTGCGTCGTAGCGGACAAGTTGAAGGTGTTCGCCAGATGCACCAGAATGCTCCCCGTAGTCAGATTGCTACAGAGCGTGACCTGCAGGCCTGGAAACGGAGAGTGGTTGTGCCAGAGGTACCACTAGGCATATTTAGGTTTGTTTTAGGATATCTATTTACATTGTTTATAATCTATGAAAATATATCTATATGATTATTTACATATCTTAATCCATTAGTGGTACAAATAATCATGTAAATATATTTTAGTAATAGGTTGGAGTCTTTTAATTGTGGCAAGAAAATGTCAAACTTGTTCTCTAACTCTTTACTATGGTAAATTTTTTTATAACCAGTCTTGTTTCATCTACATCGTTTTGTCCAAAATATGTGAGTATAAATTTCAAATGATAAGGGATTATCTTAAAATATAACTATAATGCCATTATTATATTTTATAAACAATTTTCAATAAAACTATCTTAGTGTTTCAGTTTCAAATCATCTCATGTCATAAATGTTTTTAGTTCTTTTGTAAAATTTCATTTGTACGTTAGGAATAATTTTGTTAGAAGGCTCTTAAAATCTATATTTTTCGTGATTCTAGCAGGCATTGGTGCTCACTGCTTAGACTCATTATTTTATTAGGGATTAGAGTGATATTTCAACTCTATGAAGTCTTCATTTATTACTTTGAATATTTCTAAAAAAGAAATTTTCCCAAGTCTAATATTTGATAATTCAGTAGTATAGTTTGTATATATAAGACAGGATAGATGCTTGATTACTTGCTGTATTTGCCTTCAAAATAAAGATTTATTCTCTTTCATCTTTTAGTAATGGCCCAGTTTGTGTGTGTTTGTGTTTTTCACTGTATAAATCATACTGCTGTGATTTAGCTTATTCTGATATTCCTTATTGATATTTAAGTTTTCCTTTATCTGACCTGGGTCTCTTCAAATTGGCTTCCTAGTCCTTTTGAAATGAACGTAGCAGCCTTCCATTCTGTCCTTGCTGTTAGGCACGGCAAGATGTCATAGGTTTGTCTTGTGAATTTCTTGACCTAGACTTGGAATTAGTCTTTTCTCTTAAGCAGCCCCATTTTCTTTTAGTGAGAAATAATGTTTCATAATTATAGCCCAGGCAGTAAGTAGGGTCTTTCTGGTACTGAGTTGTTGAAGTAGAGGCAGCAAGTACTGTTTTTCATTAATATCTAAAATCTTTTCAATATTTTGTCATATTTGTGTCTCATAATAATACTTTGAAGATCATTTTGAAAAAGTATTTCCTTCATGTGTTTATTAGCAAGAGTTTCAGTGATTGGTAGAATAATATTGCATAATACTTATAAATTGTACAGTGAATTTGAGGTATTTGAAGTATATAATAAAATAGTGAAAAGCAAAATCTGAAATGGGGATAAGAAGTATAGCAAATCATTATCGTTTATGTAGAATGCTATAATTGAGCCTTACAATTGTGTCTGAGCTGTATAGTTGTTAGAACAGGAAGTGTCATTTCGGGATACTTTTTGTTGTCAAAACCATGGGAAGTAAACAGATATAAGGAGTGAAAGACCTGAAGAATGAGTCCCTAAAACGTTGAACAAGCATCTGTTCTCTTAACATAAAGGAAGACTGGAAGTAGTTTAAGTCTGGAATCATGGTTCTGGTTTATTAGGGACTCATGTGCCTTTGTTTCTGGTCTTCATCTTAGAGTATAGCTTTTAATCCTAAGGTCAGCTCAAAGTCCAAGATAGCATTTGTGATGGATGCTGAGATTTAGACCAGAAGAAGGAAGAGGAAAGACAGAAGGCAGATTCCTTTATTTAAGCAGCCTTAATGACCCCATGTGACATTTCTACTTATAACTCATTGACTAGAATGTCATCGTATGGCCATACAAAGCTACAGAAGAGGCTAGGTAATAGTTTCCATTTAGGGCAACATAGAGCCTAGATAAAAATTGAGATTGTTTCTAAGGAAGAAAGGGAGAATGGATTTTGAGAGTCAGCTGTCTGCCACAAAATAATTTTTTCAAAGAAGAGCACTGCTCTTTCTACTACTGTATTCTGCACATACATTGAGAGTTTATGAAGGAGATGCTGAGTGACAGAATAGTGGTCAGTGCCCCTGACAACAGCCCTTATAGTGGAGAAGAATGGCAAATGTCATGTGAGATTAGAGTGTCATTTGATAAGGATCAAGAGAGACTAAAACTTTGTTTTCTGCCTATAAAAGGAGTTTGTATCCATACTGAAAAATTGAGGTAGTAGATAGAAGTGAGAAGATAGATAACCCTTTTGTGCAGAAAGATGAGCACACTGTGTTGCTTCCTAGTAGAGAAATTCCGTTTGGGGCTATCGTTCAGGCATATCACTTGTCTTTATCCAATAATGGTAGAAATTCTGTTCATTCTAAAACCTTCTATAATATCACTTTTCATAGCTGAGTGATACTGGCAATTCATTAGGCTTGTAATTGTACTCACAGGTGATAGTTTTGCAGCCTAGATAGTTCCTTTGTTTTATTATTGATTGAGAATGAATGGTATGTAGTGTTTTATCAAAACAAATATGTGGTAGGAGTTTCATTTGGCTGCAAGTGAGAAACCTCATATAATTTCTTAAATACACATAAAAGTGGTGAAATTGACAACTTGTGAAGGGTTGAGTCTAATTTAGAATTTCCCTGTGGAAAGAATAATGTTTCACTGTCTTTTGAGCATGGGCTGCAGATGAAGCTTGAGAAAAAAGGTGGTTTCCTTAGAAACCAGTTTTTGCCCTTACAGCATTTGTGCTTGTACTCATTTGAGTGTCCAGTTATATCTTGGAGCATGACCAAGATGCCAGTTTTGAGTTTTTTTCTGGTGAGGTTTTAAAAAAGTGAACAAAAACAAAGCTGTGTATTAATAATGTTCAGATTGGAGAATGAAGACATTCATTCATTCTCTTAACCATGGGGAAGGAAAATAATAATCTGTCAGTACCTTCCTCCTGGTAGAAGGTCCCTTGCTTTGAAATTGGTCACAGTAACATTATAATGTTTCTTTTATATCATGTAAGTAAAATGTAGGTGATTAGAAGAAGTACTAACATTGCTATTCTGGTTTTCTACAAATTATAAAACATTCATTTTGAGTAGTTTGGAGGAGGATTCTGCTCCTACCCGTTCATTTGAGAAAGGCATTGCAATCTGGGAAAACTACAGGGACATTTTGAGTAGCTAATTTGAGAGATCCTGTTAGAGTTGGTCCTACTAGAGCCAATCAAAATACAAATAACCATTTCTGTGTAAAATATGAAAAATAGGCCTTCCTAGCTACTACTGAGATTTTATTTTTATTCATACTAAATTTCTAACATAAAATACAACTTGACTTAAGTTATGCTATAACTAGGTACTTGACTTAAGTTATGCTATAACTTTAGGTACTTAAGTTATGCTATAACTTTAGGTATTTCCTATATTAATTTAAAAAGTATATAAACTTATGATTTCTAGAATCACAGTGATTACTTTTCTCTGTTGATATCCTCTACTTATCTATCAGTTTAGTAACTAATATAACTGGGTTACTAACTTTGTAGGAAATTGGAAGACTTCAGAATAGAGAAAGGTGAAGAAGAAAGAAATCTTTATGTAATTGGGAGAAAAAAGAAGACTCTTCAGCTCTCACAAAAGGTAACCTAAATTCTGCTTTTCTTAGGAATGAGTAAATTAGAAATAAAACTGGAATTTATAGTTTTCTTTTCAGTGAGAATATTAGTAATTTTTACCTGAAGTAGAATAATGTATCTTGTTGAAAGCCTTCTGTTTGGGATTTAAAATGGTAGACATAAGGTTGTACAGCTGTTAGGAAGGAGTAATAATTTGAACAGTTAGGAAAAGTAGTCTAATACCTAATAGTGCTAATGGATTCTAGAAAATTACTGCCTAATGACCACTTAGGTCAAGAACTAGAACATTACCAGCCCTTTAAAAGCATTTTGTGTCCATTCCCAATCACTACACTCATTTCTCCCATAGGTAACCAGTTGTTTTACTTCTAAACTGTTGATTAGCTTTGTCTGTTTCTGAAGTTTATCCAAATCATGCATTTATAAACATTTTTAGATGTTACAGTGGTTGGTAATCCTTGAAACTCAAGACAATCTTATTCCTTAGCATTTAATTTTCTATTTAGAGTTTCTTGAACATCACATGAACAGCATTAACATTGAGTTCGTGGAAGATGCACACAATGTATGTAAGATTAGTGCTACCAAACTGGTGAAAAATAGTTGTGTATTTGCAGGATTTTCTCAGAATTCATCACAAGGATGGACTTTAGTGTTTGGGATTATTTTGTCTAATTGTTCATAGCCTAGTTAGGTATATAATGCCCTCAAACTAATTTAAAAAAATATGTATTTTGACAGATTGCTTGTTTTTCTGAGTAGTAATTTTTTTTAGGGCTTGTGTATTTCATTTTTATTTTTTAATAGTTTATTTTTTATTGTATTTTCCCCCTTACCATTTATCCCTCTTATATCCTCTTCTACCTGCACCAAACCCCTTCACTCCTCAAATCACCACACTGCTGTCCAAGTCCATGAGTTCTTTTTCCTTTTGATCCAACTGTTTTTATGTATTACCAGTAATGAAACTCATGAGTTTTTGCTTTAACATAAATTAGTACTGACAAATTAATGAAAACATAATTGATTTTGGAATCAGCCAGTGATATATCGAGATGTTGGTACACAGTACTGATTATCAAACAAAAGACACTAATATACTCTTATTGAGTGATTTCATATATGACTTTGGGGTTTGAGCAATATAGGTTGCTCCTCCCCCCTTTAAAATATATTCTGTTTGGCTGAATTTTAGAGTTTGATTATTTTGTTTTGATTAAAATATGATATTTTCCATGGGTGGGAATAGTGGAGGGAAAATGGAAACAATTGTACTTGAACAACAATAAAAAGAAAAAAAATACGATATTTTCAAAATTCAAGCAGAATTTAAAAGTACTGACAACAAATCATCCAAAAAATTAAAACTTGGACGTAACTAAGGTTAATATTGGAGGATAATTTCAGATATTTCTCTATACCTGTATATGCACAGAATGATATATTTCTCAAGGTTGGTTATGCCTCATAATATGTATTTTCACTTCTAAGATATATATTTCTAAAGTGATGAACTTTTTGAGTTGTTATTTCATTCATGGTGAACCAATTAACTGACAGTTTTATTTGGAAAATACTAAGCTAATGTGCCTAATTTAGCTTTGTGTTCCAAGTATCTCAGAACTACCAAGGTTGATTTAACAGCATATGGCAAAAATAAAATCTATTAAAGAATATTTTATTTTTTTCATCTATTATTATTATTTTTTTTTTTTGCCTTAAATCTTTTTGGAAATTTGAATGCCTGTTTTGTTGAAGATTGTACTTATTTTGGTGTTGATTTTCATCTGCCCGTTTTCTTCATGTTGCAGTCTGAGTCGGTGGTTTTGATGTCACAGTCTAGGCAGAGGACATGCAGGCGTAAATATCCAAATTACGGTAGAAGAAATGTTGGACGGATTGAGTTATCTTCTGGAAATGAGTCTTCAAGCTCTATAAGACATGTGAGTTTTAACTTTAAAATATACAAGATAATCTTAAATAATTTTTCTTAACTTTGACTCTACCCTGAAATTATATGAAAATCTACTATTCTTATTTTTTTGTTTTTAAAATAAAATAATTATTTATTTTTAGAGAGAGGGGAAGGGAGGGAGAACGGGAGGGAGAGAAACATCAATGTTTGGATGCTTCTCCTGCACCCCATGTTGGGAACGTGGCCCGTAACCCAGGCATGTGCCCTGACTGGGAATCAAACCAGCAACCCTTTGGTTTGCAGACCAGCACTCAATCCACTGAGCCATAGCAGCCAGGGCTGAAAATATACTATTCTGTAGAGATTAAGATGAAATTTCACATTTTGAATTTAAACAAAAATTATGCACAGCTTTGTTGAGATACTCATTATACTAGTGTACCATCCAGTAGTTTTTGTGTATTAACACAACAGTGCCATTATCACCACTATTTAATTTCAGAATACTTTTATTACCTCTAAAAAGAAACCCTATACTCCTCATTCCCATCATCCCCCAGCCCCTGGCAACCACTAATCTACTTTCAGTCTCTGTGGATTTGCCTGTTCTGGACATTGCATAGAAATGGAATAATATATGATTTTTTGACTGGATTTTTCACTTACCTGTAATATTTTCAGGGTTGATTCATATGTAGCATGTATGAATACTTGATTCTTTTTCATTGTCCAATATGTGAACATACCACATTTTCTTTATTCACTCATCTGCTGAGGGACATTTGTATTGTTTCCACTTTTGGCTATTAATGAACAATGCTTCTTACTACCATCCATGTGTGGGTTTTTGTTTGAACATAAGTTTTCAGTTCATTTTAGTATTTACCTATGAGTCATATGGTAACCCAATGTTTAAACCTATTGAGGAATTTCCAAACTCTCTTCCTAAATGGCTGCATATTTTATATTCCGTCAGTATTGTATGAGGGTTTCGGTTTCTCTCCATCTTTGCTAACACTTGTTATTGTCTGTCCTGATTTTAGCTGTCTTAGTGAGTGTGAACTGGTATTTCACTGAGGTTTTGGTTTGCATTTCCCTAATGACTGATGATGTTGAACATGTTTTCATGTGCTTATTTTCCATCTGTATATCTTTGGAAAGATTTCTGTGCAAATTTGTTGCTCTTTTTTTAGTTTGGTTATTTTTAATTGTTGTAAATGTTCTTTTGATATTCTGGATATAAGTCCTTTATTGAGTACATGACTTGCAAACATTTTCTCATTCAACAGTTTGTCTTTTCACTTCTTTGATGGTTTCTTTTGAAGTGCAAAAGTTTGACATCTGATGGAGTCCAGTTTATTTTTCCCTTAGTTGCTTTTACTGTTGTATCTAATCTCTTTCCTTGACTTTGAGTAATCGTATGTTAGTCACTGGTCTTCATTTTGATTTTCTTGGGAAACCAATATTTTTGGTAAAGTATATTTAAAAATTAATAATAGAATGTTAATATATTACTTAAGTAATATTTTGAGGAATGAAATGTTCCATATGGATGAATAATTTATTTTACTACTTTATAAAGCATTAGGATAATAGTGAACATACTGGGTTCTAGTTTAAACCCGAATTCTTCCACTTTAATAACTTGTTTAACCTTTCTGTACCACTGCCATGTCTGTGAAAGTAATTGGTAGTAGTGTGTCCTCAGAGGTGTGGTGAGAATTGATTTAAGGGAAGTGCTTAAAACAGTGCCTAATATCCAGTAATGTTACCTGCTGTTATCATTAAAACTGTTCATTGGCACGATTTGATCTTTTTCTGTCACCCTTTATTCCTTCATACCCTCTTCCACCTCCGCCCATCCTGCTTTCCCGCTGCCTCCACCACCACACTGTCGTCCCTGTCCCTGAGTTCTTTCTTTTTATTTTCACTCTTTTGCTCAGTCCCTTACCCCCAGTCCTCCCGTTAAATGGTCTTGCTTTAGATATTGTGAGACTATTTTATCATTTTATTGACTTCAAAAGATATTTCATGTTTTAGAACAGTTCATAGGATTTACAGAAAAATTGCACAGTAAGTACATCAAGTTCTCATACACTCCCTTGCTGCCCGAACACTGACTTGAATTACTGTGGTATCTGTGCTGCAGCTGATGAACCAAATCAGTTTTTCTGTGGTCATAAATAGTTTACTTTAGGGAGCAGTCCGTTGTGCAGTTCTGTGGGTGTTGACAAATGTATAATGTTGTGTATCAGAACAGTATTATACAGAAAAGTTTTACTGCCCTAAAGTCCCCCTGTGCTGTATACTCAGTCATACCACCCTCCCTGCTGAGCCACTCGTAACCACTAATCTTTTATTTATTTACTTTTCATCTTAAATTTATTATTTGCTTCACATTTTATTATGTCCTTTTTTTAAAAACTTTTTTCGATCATCTTTTTTATTGTTGTTCAAATACAGTTGTCTCCATTTTCCCACCACCACTTTCCCCTGCTCCACTCACCCTGGCCTCCCACCCTCAACCCTACCTCCCTTTGGCTTTGTCCGTGGGTCCTTTATACATGTTCCTTGATGACCCTTCCCCTTCTTCCCATCTCCCCTCTGGTTACTGTCAGTGTTCTTTGTTTCAATGTCTGTGGTTATATTTTGCTTGCTTGCTTGTTTTGTCGATTAGGTTCCTGTTATAGGTGAGATCATATGGTATTTGTCTGTCACTGCCTGGCTTGTTTCACTTAGCATAATGCTCTCCAGTTCCATCCATGCTGTTGCAAAGGGTAGGAGCTCCTTCTTTCTTTCTGCTGCATAGAATTCCATTGTGTAAATGTACCACAGTTTTTTGATCCACTCATTTACTGATGGGTGCCTAGGTTGCTTCCAGCACTTGGCTATTGTAAATAGCACTGCTATGAACATTGGGGTGCAAAGGTTCTTTTGAATGATCTTTTAACTGTTTCCATAGTTTTGACTTTTCCAGAATGTCATGTAGTTGGATTATATAACATGTAGCCTTTTCAGGTTAGCTACTCTTTAATGATAAGAGTTTATGTTTCCTTTTTGTCTTTTCATGACTTCTTAGCTCATTTCTTATTCATGTTAAAACTCTTGTCTGGATTTACCACAGTTTGTTTATCCATTCACCTACTGTTGGACATACTGGTTACTTCCAAGATTTGACAGTTATGAATAAAATTGCTGTAAACATCCATGTGCAGCCCTGGCTGGGTAGCTCAGTTGGTTGGAAGTATCATCCCAATATTCCAGGGTTGTAGGTTCAGTCCCTGGTCAGGCATGTGTAAGAATCAACCAATGAATGCATGTATGGGTGGAACAACAAATTGATGTTTCTCTCTTTCTTTCTCCCCTCCCCCTATTTCTCCTTCCTCTCCCTCCTTCTTCCTTTTCTTTCTTCCTCTTTCGAAAACTAATTTTTAAAAAATCTGTGTGCAGGTTATTGTGTGGACATAATTTTTCAGTATATTTGGAAAATACCAAAGAGCATGATTATTGGATCATATACTATAACCAGGGGTGTCAAACTCATTTTCACGGGGGGCCACATCAGCCTCACAGTTGCCTTCAAAGGGCCGAATGTCATTTTAGGACTGTATAAGTGCAACTACTCCTTAACTAGGGGCAAGGAGCTTGGTGCTGCCACTGGGTAGAAACAAGGTGCCGGGCCAAATAAACAAGGTGGAGGGCCGGATTCAGCCTATGGGCCTTGTGTTTGCCACCTGTGCTAAGCCCGTGTTTAGATTTGTACAAAACTGCCAAACTGTCCTCCAAAGTGTCTGTACTATTTTGCATTCCCATCAGCAGTGAATGAGAGTGGGTGAAGTGGGTGGAAGGAGTCAAGAGGTTCGAACATACAGTCATAAATAAGTCATGGGGGTATAATGTACACAGTGGTGACTATAGTTAATACTGTATTGCATATTTGAAAGTTGCTAAGAGAGTAAATCTTAAAAGGTCTTATTACAAGAAGAGAAATTCTGTATTGTGGATGTTAATCAGACTTATTGTGGTAAACATTTTGCAATATATACAAATAGCAAATCATTATGTTATATACCTAAAATGAATGTAATGTATGTCAATTATACTTCAGTTAATAAAATAGTTCTTTCTAACTTCATCTATAGATTCAACCATCCCAATAAAAATTCTAGCAAGATAATTTGGTGGATATTGACAGTGATTCTTAAATTTATAAGGAGAGGAAAAAGATCTAGAATAGCTGACAATACTGAAGAACAAGAAAGTTGGAGGACTGATACTACTTGACATTAAGATTTGCTATAAATCTACTGTTTTTGAGACAGTGTGGTATTGGTGAAGAATATACGAATAGACCAGTGGAACAGAATAAGAAACCTAGCAATAGACCAATGCAAATACAGTCAACTAGTCTTTGACAAAGGATCAAAGACAACTCAATGGACAAAGTATTTTCTTTTTCTTTTTTTTTTTTTAAGATTTTATTTATTTATTTTTAGAGAGGGAAGGGAGGGAGATAGAGAGAGAAACATCAATGTGTGGTTGCTGGGGGTCATGGCCTGCAACCCAGGCATGTGTCCTGACTGGGAATTGAACCTGCGACACTTTGATTCGCAGCCTGCGCTCAGTCCACTGAGCTACACCAGCCAGGGCTGACAAAGTACTTTCTTTTCAGCAAATGGTGCTGGAACAACTGGATATCCACATCCACATTAAAAAAAAAAGTTAATCTAGACACAGAACTTGCACAAAAATTAAACATGGATCATAAACTTAAAGCATAAAATTATAAAATTTCTAGAAGATAACGTGGTAAAATCTAGGTACCTTTGGGTACATTGCTGACTTTTTAGAAAATAGAATACCAAAAGCACTGATCTATGAAAGAAAAACTTGACAAGTTGCCCTTCATTGAGATTAAAATCTACTGCTCTGGGAAAGACTGTTAGGAGAATGAAAAGACAAGCTGCAGAATGGGATAAAATATCTGTGTAACTCCTATCTGATAAAGGACTTGTATTCAAAATATACCACAACTTCTTAAAACTTATCAGTAAGAAACTGCATTTAAAAATCGGCAAAAGATCTGACAGACACCCCTCAAAGAAGATATAAGATGACAAATAAGCATATAGAGAGGTGCTCGACATCCTATGCGCTAGGGAATTGAAAGTGAAACAATGGTGAGATGCCATGACGTACCTGTTACAGTGCCTGAAGTCCAAAACACTGAGAACATATACACAACTTTTTATTACCTTCACTCAGAGATCAAGATTTTTATTTTATTCTCCCCCCTCCCCCCACCAATTAGGAGACCTCCTGTGATCAGAGTGAAGGTTCTTGTTCTTCGGAAGAAGAAGAATGGAAAAGTGATAGAAGAAGTGAAAGTGACAGTGAAAGTTCAAGGTATCTGTTTTTGATTGTTTTGATCTTTTAAGCATTATAGTCATAGCCTTGGTTGGAACTGTATTTGGATGGCATGGGTTTGCAACTTTGGAACAGTTTACATTGAGTTTTTAATACATTTAAAAGGAGAAGGAAACTGGGTTAACAACTGTTTTTATAGGTAATACTTTGTCTATTTTTATTTGACTGTAAACACTTTAGCCAGGAGTGTAAAATATGTTTACTCAAAACATCGATTGTCTTTGGCTGCATTTATATAAAGAGTAGTATCCAGAGTATGTAGTAAAACGATTATTACATTCATTACTAGTTATTTTTTGTGTTTTGTTTACTTTTGATAACCAGATTTCATTGGACCAAGATGTTAACATCTATTTTTTTCATGATTGCGTGATCTCTTTTTAAATTTTTAAAAATTTATTGTTCAGTTACAGTTGTCCCACCCTTTTCCCCATTGCTCTCCGCTACCCCGTCCCCCCACTGAAACATGGAACGCGTCACGAATTTGCCTGTCACCCTTGCTCAGGGGCCATGCCAGTCTCTCGTTCCAATCTGAGTATATATGCTACAGAAGTGAGCACTTGTCTGTGTTTTATCTTGGTAAATGTCAATTTTGTTTTGACAGATGCTTAAGCCATATACCTGGACATAATTTTCTCTTCACAATGTATCCATCACCAAGTCTAGAAAATTTCCTTTTAAATATGACTCAAATAATCTCACTTCTGTTTCCACTGATACTGGGCTAGTCCATGTTGTCATACTATTCTTTCTGCTTGCTTTCTTGTCTAATTTTATCCCATTATGAGTAAGAGCTGAAGTGATTTTTAGAACACTTGTCTACTCTTAAGATTTTTTTTAATATTGTGACAAAATTTACCTAGCATAAAATTTACCATCTGAACCATTTTTAACCATACAGTTCAGTAGTGTTAAGTATATTCACAATGTTGTGCACCCAGTCTCCAGAACTCTCTTTATCTCGCACAACTAAAGCTGTATGTCCATTAAACAACAGTTCTCTGTCTTACCCCTGCCCCTGGCAACCCTCATTTTCCTTTCTATTTCTACATTCATTGTTTTTCAGTTCAGCTTTTCTCGGATGTTATCATATAAAGTAGATGCTCTTATATTTTCTCAAACACCTCTTTTTACAATAGAAAGCTTTTGGAAATGTGTTTGTGTGAGTGTGTTTTATCGAGCCTGTGAGGTAAGTGGTTGGCCAGTGACGGTCTCAATAGAGGCCTCCGTGTGTTTGCTGAAGCTGGTAGTGGATCTATATGGCTAGTATTCTGTGTCTCATTTCCCATTTGACTCTGCTTTTGCTCAGGGTAGGCGAGGAGTGGTCCCTTTCTTGGGTCTTCTGTCATAGCTGGGAAGGTCCCTTTCTTGGCAAGAAACTGACCTCTTAGCGCTTTCTGGTGGGGCTGTGTTTTCCTTGGGCTTCTCAGTGTGTTCACTAATGGTTTGTCAATCCAGTTAAAATTTCTAGTCTATTCCTGAGCCGCCTCTTTCTAGTGTGGAGCGCTACTTCCAGTTCTGTGTGAACACTACTGTTTTCATCACTACACTTTATTTTTTAAAAGGGGAATTGTTAGTTGGCTCTAGATGTTGTCTTCATGAGACCTTATTTATGTTATAATTTACAGAAATCCCTCAGGCTTACATTCTTTCCTAATTCCCAGTGTCTGTGAAGGTTTCTTTTTCACGATCTTTGATTGTTTCAGTATTTGTTGATGGAGAGGGCAGATCGTTCAAGTTGAAGGTTCTTGGAGGTCTTTTTTCTCCTCCTCATAGTCTCTCAAGGCTTAGACTCTGGTTTCCTACAGCTTAAAATGTTTTTCTTTTTTTAGTGACTCTTCATCTCAATATTCTGATTGGACAGCTGATGCAGGCATCAATTTGCAGCCTCCTTTAAGAACTTCATCTCGTCGGCGTATTACCCGATTTTGCAGTAGTTCAGAGGATGAAGTGTCTACTGAGAATTTATCTCCTCCTAAAAGGAGACAAAAGAGAAAGAAAGAAAATAAGCCCCCCAAAGAGGTAAGAAAAGTATATCTTTAGAAATAACATACATCTATAGTTTTATAGAGGTGTTTCTGTCCATATTTAAAATTAGAAATCTTTTTTAAATTGGAGCTCTTTTTTTCTGTTGACAGTGTTATGTCATCAGGAGTTAAATGTAAAAATGCAAACTTATTTATGGAAGAGCTACTTTGTTATTAAACTTCTCTTTCTAATCTGCTCTGAGTTGGACTTGGGGCTTAAGCCCTTCTAAATCTGAAACTGAAAGGGAAAGTTCTGTTTTGCTCAGGATCCTACCCTTACACATTTTTTCTATTAATTTCAACACCAGAAATATACTTCAAGGCATTTTAAGGATTTTTCTTGTTGTTTTGTCTGTTACTGCCATGTTTCCCATTTTCATTTGTTGTGTTCTCCCTTCATACTTTTCCTTCTAATTGTCATATCCCTATTCCTATGTGTATAGTGCGCGTGCTCCTGTTGTGCAGGTAGCTTTCATTCTATAATAATGCCATGTCTTTGTGTTAGTTATCTGTTTATTTTTAACATATCACCCTGAAACCCAGCTGTATAAAATAGCAAATGTGTACTTCATGTTTTGATGGGAAAGGAATTTGGGAGCTGATTAGCTAGGAAATTTGGGCTCATGAGGTTGCATAATCATTTGGCTGGGGTTGAAGTTGTCTGAAGGCTTGATCGGGGCTAGATAATCATCTTTGAAGCCCATTCATGTGGCAGCTGGCTGGTGGCCTCAGTTCTCCACTGCATGAGCCTCTCCATAGGGCAGCTTGAATGTCTTCAAAATGTGGAAGCTGTGTTCCCCAGAGCTAGTGACCCAAAAGTGTAAGCAAGGGGTATACTCATATGCTTTCTATTACCTAATCTTAACGTCACACATTGTCATTTCTGCTTTACTCTTTGTGTTAGAAACAAGTTGAGCCCATATTCAAGCAGAGGAGACTTTGGAGAGGACGAGTATCAATGAACTTGGGCCTTATTTGAAAATTGCCAGTATTAAATCCTCAAATCAAGAGGAGATTGCCTGTGCCTGTGATGATTAGTCTGTGGTGAAATTCAGAGTGGTGTCTCAGGCAGAGCAGGCTGTGTATTGAAGAGGATTTAGGGTGGAAATTAGTTCCTTTGCGTATAGCATGTCAAGTGTTATAACAATCTGTTAAATTCAGGAGATGCCAGAAAGTGCCAGGTAGATCTACAGTGCAGACTAGCGTGTGTCCCTGTGTGTGTTCAGGAACCAAACATGTATGGTTCAAAAACCAGTCATCAGGTGACTTGCAGTCAAGAGTCATCCTGAATGGTGACGTTTCTGTTATCTTTCAATTAAAGAGTATGTGCTGCTCCTTTATTTCCTACTAAACTCTGTTCTCTTCCTCTTGGCAGAATTTGCGGAGAATGACTCCATCAGAGCTTGCAAATATGGAACATTTGTATGAATTTCATCCTCCAGTTTGGATAACCGACACCACACTTCGAAGGTCTCCTTTTGTTCCGCAAATGGGTGATGAGGTGAGAGTAATAATAACATTTGAAAACTTGAATATGGAATATAAAATTAATGTTACTCTTATGTTTTTATTTTTATTTATTATATTTCAATTATCCTTTTGTAGGTAATATATTTTCGACAGGGTCATGAAGCTTATATTGAGGCTGTGAGAAGAAATAACATTTATGAACTGAACTGTAACAAAGAGCCATGGAGAAAAATGGATCTTAGGGTAAGATGATGGTATTATTAAACATTTAGCAAATATAGAATTGAATTACTTATAAATCATTTAAAAAACCTGGAGGCATATTTCATTGCTATCTTTACATTAATTTCCTATTTAAAAACATTCCTGTTATTAATCTAAGGTTTAAGATCCAGTAGGAAAACTAATGTTTATCAGTGGGTAATCTTCATATTGCTGATTAACATGTAAAATTCTAAGTGTGTTTGAGTTTCTTAGGGAGGCAGCTTTGCAGTATGTATCAGTAATCTTAAAATGTGCATACCCAGGATAGATTTTAGAAAGCAGTGCAAATTTTCAAAAAAAGAAATACAAATTGGAAAAAAGGTTCAACCTCATGCATAGTATACAAAAGCTTTAGCTCCCCTGTACTGAAACAGTTGTCAGTCTGATAACTCAGAAGGCCCCTAAGTAACTAATGGGTGAGTGGTTTATAAGGTGTGGATACGCTGGACAAAGGGATGATTCATGTCTCAGGTGGGGCAGAGTGGCGAGTTGCATGAAGCTTTATCATGCTATTCAGTATGGGCACGATTTAAAACATGAATTGCTTATCTCTGGAATTTTTTATTTAATATTTTTGGACTTTGCATATAGTTGACCACAAGTAACTGAAACAGCAGAAATCGAAACCATGGATGAGGGAGCATTATTGTATTTTCCAAAGTGAATATATTTCTTACATTAGAAACAGTGTTAAATGTCTGTCTTCAAAAAGATGCAAAGGTAAACGTCAGCAAAAATGATTGTAATTAATAGTCACCTAAATTTATCTGCTAGTTTGGAAGTCTAAATTGTGAGTTAGCTAATTTTTCCAATATGTAGAGAATTGGAGTCTTGAGGAATTGCTTTATTTTAACTGTTTATTCTTTAAAAAAATCTGTTGAAGGATCAAGAATTGGTCAAAATTGTTGGAATACGCTATGAGGTTGGGCCCCCTACACTCTGTTGCCTCAAACTGGCATTTATAGATCCTGCATCTGGGAAACTTATGGACAAGTCTTTCTCTATTAGGTATGTGTTATTTTTTATGGAGTTATGTAAATTTAGGTTTCCTCGCTTGCTGGGTAGCATGTTATTTTTATTTAGCTGCAGGGTAAATAGCAGAGTACTGCAGACAGCCCACGATATGGGTTTAAGTTCTGATAGATGCGACCCCACTAGAGGTGAAGCTAAAGATGCTACAGCAGCCGCAGTTAGGCCACCGGCACTGGCCTTTTTTATACAGTTTTCCATGCCAGTTAAATGTGAGGAGAGTTCTGACCTGTAGGTGAAATGACTTCTGCTTTCGTTTTTGAGAAAATGTTAGAATTAATAATTTTTTAAACCTGTGCTGTCCAGATGGTAGCCATTAGCCATATGTGGCTTTTGAGCACTGGAAATGTGGCTGATCAGAATTGAGTGTGATGTAAGTATATACACTGAATTTTGAAAACTTGGTGTGAAGAAAACGAATGTAAAATACCATTATTTTGAATTCATTACATGGTGAAACGATGCGAGGACATGTTGAATTAAATATGATACACTATTAAGATGAAGCTCACTGGTTTCTCTTTATAAAAATTATATATACAGTTCCCATTGTATTTCATTTGCACAGTGTTGCTCTGGAGTATAACCTGCTATACAAGGAATTTAATAATCTTTTATTTTTGTTTAGATACCATGATATGCCAGATGTTATTGACTTTCTTGTGTTGCGTCAGTTTTATGATGAAGCAAGACAGAGGAATTGGCAGTCTAGTAAGTCTGTTTTTTACTGAGTTTTATGTATCCTTAGATATTAATTTCTCCTTTGGTTGGTAGGTACAAACATGTAAATTCTGGAAAGAAATACAAGGGACTGATAAGTATATTTTGCTTAGGGCTTGGTGTTTGCTACTTCTTAGTAGGTTTGTTAGCCAAACAGCATTTCTTCTTATGGTAGGTGACATTGTGAAGGGATGTTTCTCACTCATTGACTGTAGTGTAGACCTTTGATGTCCTTTCAGACTTCCCCGTACTGCATTATCTGTGATGACATTTAACGTGACCCTGGTCAATTCACAGAATTACCCTATGATGTAAAATAATCAGAAAGTTGAAAAATAATGCAAATTTTACACAGATAATGTCTGGCATAGCAGAAAACTTTACCTTTGTTATCATATCAGCTCAGACTTAAAGAGGCTGACTCGAGGATACCATTTCTTTAAAAAATAAAAAATATATGTAACATGCTTTATAATCATGACATATGTAGGTGGACAGAAAAAATAAATCACTTCAGCATGGGCACTGACTTGAATGTGGTTTTCTTGATGGCTGTAATTAATTTGTGCTGTAGGTCATTAACCCCTTCAGGTCATAATTGATGACTGATTAGGCCAGGTAATATCACTTAGCAATTGTAATGCCTGTTTCACAGGTGCACATAAAATATTCTCAGTATGCACTGTTTTCTTGGGGGGCTCATATCGTTAGTCACTTAGGATATATCATTCTATGATTATCAGTTTTGATAATATCTCTTATCAGATGTATTAAGTTTTACCCAGGCTGTGTCTTTTGGTATACACATTCATTCATAAATGATATTAGGACCTCATTCATTTTCCTAGTTTCTGCTGCTTTTTTCTACAGATACTATAAACAGGTACGTTTCAGATAAATTCCTTGAGCCATCTCAAGTCAAACAAAAGATTGTCAAAGTGTTGCTGTTCTTAGTAAACTATTTTTACCAGTATATGAGAACAAATAATCAAGATTATTTTGGGACTAGAGGTAAAGTAATTGTTTCTGAAGAAAAGCATCTAGCCATTTACACACAAAAAGAGACAGCTAGAATAAGTGAGTGCTAACAAGTCATACAGCCAAGTCCCAAATAACTTAGTTTCTTATCTGTTAATATTTTTTCAACCTTTTATGACATGTAAGTCAGAAGCTCTTATTTTGCTCTGCTAGCATGTCCATTCAAAAATGTTTTTAAACTTAATTTTCTATAGCTAGACTCTAGATACGGATTCCCAGTTGCCTCTTACAATATAGTGATTTTTGTTTTATTTTTGTGGCTGAGAAATTATTGTACTAGATCTTCTATACTACTGTTCAATAATTAATTCATTTTTGCTTCCCCACAAAATCTTACCTATTCTCCCGAAGTTTGAGCTGTGCTATTAGAGGAATTTGCCTGTTTCTGTTTATACTATGTTGAGAACTTACCAGAAGTTTACTCTACTTGTGAATAGCAAAATAGGTTTATTTGAAATTCTTAATGGAAATTCAGGATGGCAGCAGAGTAGGTGGAAGTTCTACTTACTCATCACCTCCCAGGAGCAAATTGGAATTACAACTAAATTATAGAACAGTCAACTTGAATAACCAAGAAAAGAATTAATGGAATAGAAAAACCAATTTTTACGAGGAGAAAAGTAATATTTATAGCTCCCTTTAAAATGTTAGCGTTAACTAAAGAAATATTTTTGTCTAAACTGAGTGAATCTTCTAGTATTAGGTAAATAGAGAAGAAAAATATTATAAAGTAAATTTTTGTTCTCTGAGACTGGCACTCTAGCCCATACTGGTGTGGCTCGGTTGGGTGTCATCCTGCAAACCAAAAGATCACTGGTTCGATTCCTGGTTGGGGCACATGTCTGGGTTGCGAGTTTGAGTCCTGGTTTGGGGTGTGTATGAGGGACAACCAATTGATGGTTCTCTCCTTCTAGTTCTCCCTCCCTTCTCTCTCTCTCAAAAGAAATTAAAAAAAAAAAAAAGACTGGTTCTCTTATAACCATGTTTACAGGCATCTCAAAATGAAGCCATTGGATTTGTTATTATAATATTTCTTATAGTAAATATGTAATTGATATCCATGTTACATTAGGTTATTTACATTATAGGATTGGACAAAAACCGTGGTTATTACATCAGATTTGTAGTACATGCCTTAAATTTAAAAAGTTAGAAAAAATTTATTAAGGTTTATTTTTAAAGTTGAAGTTTCAGAATATCTGTATATTAATGAAATACTTTCAAAAGTGGAATTTTACTAAAGGTAGAGAAGGTGGGTGGAAGGAATGATGGAAAATATATGTAGAAGTCATCTTTACATGAGTTTGAAAATACACTAAGAATATTAAAACATGTAACACTGATAGTTGTGATATTGCTGTTTTTACAGGATTCACTATAAGCATACTCTTTTTAATCAAGACTATGTGTATATTTTATTACGTAAATATTCTTTTTTTTAGGGGTGAAACATAGCTTTGATTTTGATTGGTATTGTTTCTGCAAAACTTTCATTGAAGAAGGAATTGTTAATCTACTAAATAATTATTTTATTTTTTTAAATGACAGTATCTAAAGAATTATTAATGCTAGATGGACTTTTTTCTCATTTACTTTGTTTTGAAAATGGTAGGATTGATGGGAAGGAGAGATAGAGTTCTTAGAGCAGTCTGTGTTTCTTTTGGAATATATGTAATACAAAGGTCAAATGCAGTTTATTTTCCCTGGAAGTGTTATAATTGCAGGATACATTTAGAAATGGGTGTGACCTAAAATCCTTGAAGTCATTGAAGTATTTGTTCCACAGTTGGTTTGTACAGAGGCCTTCCTAGGACCTGCTTGCCTGCTTTTATATTATGCTGAGATAATAGGATATGTGGATGTTTAACATTTCAAAACAGTAAATATGTATTATTGAAGATAGATGTACACCTGATTTTTATTATGAGATCTTAAGAATTAGAACACTGTTTGATGTGAAGATACTTATACAGGAACAACTTTAAAATAATCATGGATTAAATCTAATCATAGTTTTATAATTTGTTTTATTTTTCAGGAAATGTTTTTTTAAACATTCCATTTATTTATTTTTAGAGGGAACGGGAGGGAATAAGAGAGGGAAGAGGGAGGGAAACGATGTGCCAAGAGATACATCGTTCGGTTGCCTCTCCTAGGCCCCGAACTGGGGGCCTGGCCCTCAACCCAGGCGTGTGCCCTGACTGGGAATTGAACTAGGTCGGAACTCAATCCACTGAGCCACACCAGCCAGGGCAGGAAATGTTATATTTTATAAGTATGTATTTAATGTAGTTATTATACAAGTATTTAGTGATAGTGTACATTGTTATAAAAGATTTTTGTTAAATTTTTTCTTTATTATAAAATATAATAGAACTTATTTTGGAGTGGGCATTTCAATTCACTAAACAATGGAACCTAGTCATAAACCATTTTCGTCAATTATGTTGTATGGTTGTATACTTTCAGTGAATCGCTGAGTGTAACATTACATATTTTTTACATCTGTTTGATCACTGAAGATTGCTGGAAAGTGGGGAGGAATGGCTAATTTTGATATAGAAAAATGCTTTGATTACTTTACTGAAATCTTTATCATATGATGTAAATTAAAAATATTACTGTTTCAAACTGGTGTCTCAGACTGGGTCATATCTCTTCTAGGTGACAGATTCCGTTCTATCATTGACGATGCCTGGTGGTTTGGAACGGTGCTAAGTCAAGAGCCCTATCAGCCACAGTACCCTGATAGTCATTTCCAGTGTTACATTGTTAGGTCTGTATGCAGATGGAAACGAATCATCTACAAACATTTGTTCATTATGGCAGGTTGTTGTATGAACAACTAACACATTTCAGGTTAAAAAATCCCCACGATTTAATCTGTCATTAAGTCACATTAGTCTCACTTCTACAGTGCCTGTTAAAGATCTTAACAAGTCCCTGCCATTTCTTGTACACTAGTACCCCTAAGGGTGCAATCTCCACTTCCTTCCCCAGGGCCTTTCCTGTAGCTTCTTGATACTTCTCTATCTAACACTGCAGGATTATCTCCTTTGTACAAAAAAAAATCTTTGCTGCCTTTCCATTGGCTGTGGGATAAAATCCACATGCTGAAGCGTCACATTCGAGGTCTTCACAATATGTGTGAGGTTTTCTTCGCTTACCCTAGTGCAGACTACAAAAGGTTTCTGGTTTTGTCCTGAACGCGCCATACATTTTACACCTATTTCTTATATCTTTCTAAAAAAATTTTACTGTTGATATTTAAACTTTTACTGCTATAGTCAGGTTAATTTTCACATTTTCTCTCTTCCTCTTTCCTCTTGTAGTGGATCCTAGGTATTAGCCACAGGTTGTCTTTATGAAAGACTAACCAAACTTTCCTTTTGCTTTTAACAGGTGGGACAACACTGAAATTGAAAAGCTTAGCCCATGGGATATGGAACCAATTCCTGATAATGGTATGTAATTGCTAATTAAAGTATTTTATTTTGATATTTTTCGTTTTCTTATCTCACTAAAGTACATAGAAGAAATTGTATTCTTTGAGAAATGTTTTTAAATTACTACGGTAACTGTGAGCTTTACTAAAAGAAGTCAGCAGAATTATGTGTATCTGGTTTCTTTTTTTTTTATCCTGAGCTTCCAGCGTGATGCTGGATGTATTGTAGTAGACCACTGTCATTTCTCATGTAAACCTGCTTAAACTCACATGGCCTGCAGTTCCTGTTCCTCATCCTTACTCTGTTATCCGTGTTCTTCCTTCAAAGGACAGCTCTCACTGGACTACTTCTGTCTTTTGCTTTGCCTCAACCTGTCTGTCCACTGTGGATTGTCCGTGCCTTCCCTGTGAGAGAGGCGTGTCTGTGCTACATCCAGCCTCTCCCTTCAGTGCTTCCGGTCCCGCTGCTTTTAACTGCTGCTGGTCCTGACACTTACACTTAACTTACTCCTCGCAACAGTTTCAGTGTCCTCCTCTTTTTCTTCTTTTGAGTTTGCATTTGTCTCTTGTACCTGAAAATGCCTTTCGTTTGACATTCTTGAATGTTTTATCTACTGAATTATTTTCCTCTTACAAATTTTTTGGAGGAGTGCTCTGTGTCTCTTGCCTCCATTTCTTCACTCTCAAGCTTTCTTTTATATTAGTGTTTATTCAATGTAAAAACATACAGAAACTTTTGTCCTTCCACCCTCACCTTTTTTTTTTGACGTATGAAATTGTTGCTTCGCAAGTTTTACCTGTTTCTATTTTAGTTGAGCCCTTTGTGTTTACTCTCTGGTAGATCTTCATCAATCATGGTCTTGGTTTACTTTGGGAATAAAGATGTTTATGGAAATGAGAATTTTTTTTCAAAAAATGTTTTTCTAATAACTGCATTCTTTAGAGTCACTAGTGACCTCCCTTTGTTAGATTTTTATTTGAGCTTTTATCTTACAAATAGTAGGAGATGATATTTTTGCAATGTAGAAAGCATATCAAAAGTAAGTAAAAACCAACATTTGTTGAGGTCTTACTTTGTTTCTAAGAACTGTGTGTATCAGTCAGTCAGTTCATCCCTCCTCTGGGGTTGGTGCTCTGTTACTGAGTTTGCAGATGAAGGAGCTAAGCTCAGGGAGTTGGCAGTAGCTTGTTTAAGGTAATACACACATCTAGAAAAACGGACAGGAGCTGGGATTCTAACCCAAGCTGTGTGCTCCAACCAGTGCCTTTACTACTGACTATAGCTGCTCTTTTGTAAAGGATGCTGCAAATCGGTGAAAGCATTTATATGAAGAGATTTTTCATGTTAATGAGGTCAGTAAGTCTTTAGAAGAATTGTCAAAAGACATCAGTAGGCAGAAAAATAAACGTAGGAAGAGAGACTCACTTGCATTAATACTCTTGGAAATATATATTAAAATAACAACACTATGGTTTTATTTATTAGATTGTTAGATAGGTAAGTGTATTTTCTAGTCCTGTTAACATCTTTCTCCTTTTATTTATGATTTTCAAGAAAATGTCCTCTGAATATTAACAGTGCCCCTTGTTCCTTTTTAAAATGTGCACTTTTATTATCAATTTTTATTACACTTTTTAAATAATTTGTTTTGAAATAATTTCAGACTTATAAAATTATACAAAAGTAGTACATAAAATTTATGAATATCCAACTTTCTCAAACATTAACATCTTAGATAACTATAGTGCAGCTATCAAAATCAGGAAATTATCATTGATACAATTCTAATCTGTAGACCTTCAAATTTGGACTGTTGTCCTAATGTCCTTTCATGTACTGGATTTCACTGCCATGCCTTCTTAATCTCTTCCAGTCTGGGGTCCCTGGGTCTTTCCACTATTTTTCATGACCGTGACACTTTTTGAAAAGTACCAGCCAGTTATTTTGTAGAATTTCTTTTAGTTTGGGTTTGTCTGATGTTTTGTCATGATTAAATGCAGGGTTTGCATTTGGGGTGAGAGTGGCAGAGCAGTGATGTTGTGTTTTCAGGCCTCACGTGGGGGGCGCGGGATACCAGTCTGTCCTGTTAGTGGGAATGCCAGCTTCAGTCATTTGGTCGTGGTGTCTGCCAGGTTTCTCTGCTGTTTAGTAACTATTTTGTCCTTTGTAATTAGTGTCTTGTATATGACCTTCGACAGTTGAATGTATAGTGTATATTTGGTTTTCAGTTTGTTTTACCCTTTTTGTTCTTTTTTAATGAAATTCTTAGTTGATCCACCTGAAGAATTAGGAGCTAGTATTTCTGTCACTTCAGATGAACTAGAGAAATTGCTCTACAAACCACAAGATGGTGAATGGGGTCATAAATCGAGAGATGAAGAATGTGAACGAATTATTAGTGGTATAGATCAACTTTTGAATCTTGGTGAGTACTTTTAGTATGAAAAGTTTCACGTTCAAGCTCTCTTTTCCACACAGTATTTAAAAAAAATCATAATTGTGGTTGTGTTTATTATTACAATTTCTATTTGTTACCTTTCAGTTAAGCCTGAAGTATAAAATGTAGCTGTAGCATATTTTATGAATGATTTGTAGAGAAATACCAGTTACAGGTCATGAATTATTGATGAAAACTCTTCTGTCTGCCCTGACAGATATAGCGGCAGCGTTTGCAGGTCCAGTGGATCTGTGTACGTACCCGAAGTACTGTACTGTCGTGGCTTACCCGACTGACCTTTACACAATTCGAATGAGACTTGTTAATCGATTTTACAGGTTAGTAGAAACCTACTTTAAAAACAGCTTGAAAAGATATTTGGCCACACCAACTAGAGCAGATAGAGGTAATGGTAGTTGATTGTGGCAGCGGTAGACTGGGGAGGGTCTAACATCATTTTCTGTGTTTTTTTTTTTTGTTTTTTTTTAATTATAATTCTTGGTCCTGTAAGACAGTGGTGTCCAACCTTTTTGGTACCAGGGACTGGTTTAGTGAGCTGGGGTGGGGGGGTTGGGGGGTGGCTTGTGAGGGACTCACAGGAAGTGGAGCTCAGAGCTCAGGTGAGCTTGGTTTGCTCATGCTCACCTGCTGTGGCTGAGGGGGGTGGGTTACAGGAGGAGGGTTTTCTCAGGTGGGCTTGTTTTGCTGCTCTCACCTGCTCACCTGCCTGCTATGTGGAAGGGGTGAGAAGGAGACAGCAGGTTGGTGGCCTGGTTCCTGACCCACAGGGGTCCTCAGCTCAGGGGTGGGGATCCCTCCTGTAAGACATGGTGTTAGGTGCTTGTGGGTCGGTGTGGATAGAATCTGGGTAAGAAAAATTTCCAGATTTCATTCTTCAAGTAGTCTGTTCTTCTTACAAATTATTGTTAAGTAGTAGTTAGAAACGGTATTTTTTATTTGTATGTTTTACATTCCTATTTAGCTATAACATTTAAAAATAAAATTTAATTTTGTTAATAATTGGCCTTTGACCTTTGAAAAATTAATTCCCTAGAGTCATGTACTTTTTATGTCTGGCTTCTAGAGCATTCTATTCTCAGTGATTTTTTTTAAAAGCAGTTGATGGTATCTAATTTTTAATAATTCAACTACTTCAAAAAATTGTTATAAAAATTGACTTTTTGAGTTTAATTACATTGTTGGCATAATTTATCTCAAACATGGAAATGTGCATTTGATCAGAAACCCCTTTGCAAATTTACAGTGAGACTGACTCCCAGGATTGATGGTATTGAACACATTTTCTTCACTGAGTCTCAGCAGCTTCAAATGTACCCATAGGCAGCGTGAAAAGGGAGAGTTGTCCCTCTGTTGGTTTTCTGGATGTGAATAAGTGGTCTGTTAGGATTTTTATCCTTGAATGTATTCTCTGTAGTTCAGCATCCAGTATAATTGCGTATGACTACGATCAAGTTGACAGCATGAGAAGGTTATTCATTGTTACTTTGCAGTTATGATTTAAGTAATATTATCATGCTGCCTTAACATGTTGGATTTTTTTACTAGGTTTCTTTTTGTTGTCCAAACCCTAAATTGCCTTTTTGTTTTGAAGGAGGCTATCTGCATTGATTTGGGAAGTCAGATACATAGAACATAATGCCAGGACATTTAACGAACCTGAGAGTGTAATTGCACGATCAGCTAAGAAGATAACTGACCAACTTTTAAAATTTATCAAGTAAGTGACTTCATATGTAGGTGTTGTGGAAAAGTGAATGACTTTGCGTTTTGCGTTCTTGCTATCCACTGCTTAATTTAAGCTCTCCAGTGCTTAGTTTTTACTCTCTGAATTCTATATCCTTTCAATATGTTATTTAAATGCTATTTCTTTACATACTTAACTATGATTGTAATTTCTGTAAAGGAATAAAGAAATAATTTTTGTACTTCCAAAAATTTTGAAATAATTTTATACTAGACAGATGTTACACACACACACACATATATATATATATATATATCTTTCACCTGTTCACCGTGATTAACATTTTTTTTTCACTTATTTATGGTGTCCCGATAAAATGCAACAGAATTATTCTTGGTACAATACTATTGACTAAGCTGTAGCACTTACTTGGGTTTATTCGATTTTATATCAGTGTCCTTTTTCTGTTTCAGGGTCCTCTCCAGTATCTCCATCTTACTTACTATTTTGTTTTCTTAATTTTCTTTAACCCACTTCCCCAGTCTTTCCTTCGTGATCTCTTCATTTTTTACAAGTCTTAGACAATTTGTTGCGGGTACTTAATTTGGGTTTGTCTAGTGTTTTCTCATGATTAGATTGAATTTTAATTTTTGGATTGTGTCCTATGAGAGTGTTTGTACATGCATGAATGTACCACATGCTTTTGTGCATCAGGAAATCAGGTTTGGAATAGTATGGTGAAAATTGACCTGGAAGTTGAAATCCAAGGTCTAGCCCAATCTGTTCTAGTGAGTATGTTTTGTGTGGTTTGGACAATTTTTCAACCTGTTATCTTTTAAAATTAGTGATTTCTGCTATGTGAACTTATATGTCTCTTCCCCATAGCTCTAAATTCTGTGAAAGAATATATTAGAGAACACAGTTTATAAACTGTGCCATTATTTTCAATAGGTAGCAATACACTGAGGAGTAACTGATTATAGTCTGTCTCACCTTCCAGGAACACGTGGACTTTCCCAGAACTGTCTTCTTTTTTTCTTTAGGAAGATCACATACCCGTTTTCATCTTCTTTATGCTTATTTCTACTTCAGGCGTCTTTCTGTGTTTACAGTTGAGGTTAAGGTGTAATTTGCTTTATTCTTTCCTTTTTCTTGTATCCACTTTTATCTCAAATCAGCCATTTTTCTGGTACTCAAACTCTATGACTATTACTATTGATGATACTTAGAAAAACTCATCTGTGTAGTCATTACCTGTTATTTCTGGATTACCAGCTAAATTTGCATATGTACTTAACTGGGGATAGGGGATACACTTTTACTTTCCGTATTCTCAGTTGGTCAGTTGTTTCCATAGAGGATGGAATAAAAACCTGATATTTCTCTGCTTGAAATTCAGTATGCACAGTTGGGCAGCTGTTTATATCTAACCAGTAGTTCGTTTGAATCTTTGGCAACAATAATGACCATCTGTATACTGTTAAAAGAAAGAATTATTATTATTTTTTTTTTTTTAGGAATCAAGACTGTACAGATATCTCAGAACTTTCTATCACTTCTGAAAATGATGAGCAAAATGCCAAATCTTTGGTATGAAGTTTGTCAGTTTTACAATGACTTTTGTTAATTTCAAATGGTAACTTGAAAATAGTGAAATAGAAAAATGTTGATTTCCTATATCAGTTCTTGCTATATTCCAATGAACTATGAAAATAGGGCACTTGATAAATGTATATATTTTTATTATCTAGATGGTCAGTGATGGGATTTGCTTTAGCCAATATCAATATAGCAAACAAAATATGTCTAAGTGAGTTTCTTAGGTGTGGAATATGTTCTCTTTCCAAATTTAGTTTAAGAAAGGTGTGTTAAAGAAGTACCTTGGGAATATTTTTTTGTAAAACCAATGTCTGAGAATTGAATCTATTTGTAATTAAAAATTAATGAACTTTACCATGCTCAAAGTACCCTAAAGTTCTTCACTCAGGATGGTCTTGAAGTGTCAGAAAGGTGAATATCAGAGATGTTGAATTACAGAATCAGGCTGTTCAATTTGGTGGCAGGGCAGATACTCTTAAAAAACAATAGAGTGTGATTTCTACACAAACTTTTATTGTAGTATACCCATTTCATTTTCATGCTGATTTATATTGGAATAAAAATAGGTACAAATTTAGGGAATAAGAAAATGTGGAGAGTATGGATTATAGGCATTGTAGGGGACTCCGTATGAATAGATATAAAATGTAAATTAAAAGTTGCATTTTATAGCTATATTTTGGAGTTAGTACATGTTGTTAGGGATTGAAAAAGGTTATTAAGGTTGCTTGGTTTGTTGGAGTCTGCCTGCCACAAAGATCATATGATACAGTTTGTCTTTTGAGATTTTAACAAGTTATAACCTTGTCTTTCATATGCTTTTAAAATTAAGATTATTACTTTTCTAATGAGAATATTGATACTTAAAGTGCTCTGATTTTTGTTCCTAGGATGATAGTGATCTCCCTAAAACATCTTCTGGAAGGAGAGTAAGTTATCTGCCTGATTGACATTTGTGGTTTAGTTATTCTTTATTTAAAATCAACCTCAGATCTTAAGTGTCGCCTTGGGAAAGCCAGGGGATATAGATAGGGAATATTTTGTTAGAGAAAGAGGAGCAAACACTGAAAGCTGGATAGCTAAGGTTTAGTGGAAGAGCTGGTATTTGAAGTATGTTCTCAGAATGAGACGGAGTTCAGACAGCCAGAAAGTAGGGGATATTGTGATCCAAGCTGGAAAAGGAGGGAAAAGTGGCATGTCATTGGACTACCAAGGGCACTGGCCTGCCTGGTATCAAGGTTGAATGTCGGCATGAGCAAAGTGGCTGTGTCTGGTTATAATTTGGGAGCAGATTATGGTAATATTAACGACCAAGGTTTTTCTTTAAAGTAGAGAATCAATTGCATAGCCAAAATAGATAGATTTTGAGGGATAAGAAGATAGGTAGTAGCCCTGACTGGTGGGGCTTAGTGGGTTGGGTATTGTTCTGCAAACTGAAAGGTTGCTGGTTTGATTCCAGGTCAGGGCACATGCCTGGGTTGCGAGCCATGCCACTGGTTGGAGGCCCGTATGAGAGAGACAACCAGTGGATGTTTTCTCTGGCACATTGATGTTTCTCTCCTTTCCTTTTTCCCTCTCTGCCTTCTCTCTAAAAATAAAAAATAAAATCTTAAAAAGAAAAGGTAGTGAAGGATGTGAATCAGGGGTCTTGCAAGAATCTAGGAGTAAAGCATGGGAACCTAGTCAAGGATAGTGTTTACTTGGAATGCGGGAGAAGGGAAAAAGATAAGACCTTTGGAGGGAAAAATTAACTAGCATTTGGTGACTGAAACTTTTTTCAAAAATGAGGATTAGTTGGGGGAATGTATGGAAATGTTTTGGATATTGTATAGTTAGAATTGTGGTATGACTAGCAGAACTCTTAAAGTTCTAATGTAATATGTTAGTTAAAAGTTAAGGTTATTAATCTGAAAATGATAAAAAATGTTAACATTTTAAGTTTTATCTAAATGGTGCTTATACTGAAGCTTTTTACAACAGTTTTCATAATACGCTCGCCCCAGATAACATTGAAAAGTTAGACTTGAAGTACTGTCAGCTGATTTGTCATCTTCATACAGTTCTCCCAAGTGCTTAGTACTCGTTTAGAATTTATTTGCTATGACTGCTCTAGCAAATTACAAATCTAGCAGCGTAAACAACAAAAACACTGGGTTCCAGTTCTGTAAATTAGAAGTGTGACATGGGTTTCACTGGGCTGAAATCAAGGCGTCAGCATGGCTGTGCTCCTCTCTGGAAGCTCTAGGGTGGAAGTTGTTTCTTCACTTTTTTCCACTGCTGGAGGCCCATGGCCCCTTCCTCCCACCTTCAGGGTAACCTCTCCCAGTCTCCTCCTCTGACCCTCTGCCTCCCTCTTGTACGGACCCTGGTGGTTACATTGTGCCCACCCAGATGATCCAGGACAGTCTCCCCATCGCAAGGTCATATCTGTAGTCACAGATTCAGTTTGCTTCCTGCCATGTAAAATCACGTCCAATGTAGTATTTCAAAATCTGTGATAACATTGTCTAAACATGAGAGAGAAGTGCTGGAGTGAAAGGTGTTTCTAGAGAAATGTATGTGACATCACTGGATTTTTACAGAAGAGTGGATGTTTTTCAAGTAGATAGAAAAACAAATATCATAGAGTCACTTTCCAACACTGAAAATACTTTTAATATTGTGAATATATTTTTAGGTCCATGTTTGGAAAAAAAGGAGTGGCAAAGCAAGCAACTATGTTGAAAGCAACTGGAAGAAACAGTGTAAGGAACTAGTGAACTTAATTTTTCAGTGTGAAGATTCTGAACCATTTAGACAACCTGTTGATTTGGTTGAATATCCAGTAAGTTGCCATTGTTTGACTGTTTGGGGCTTTTCTTATTTGTGTAGAGGAGATGGGGGGTGGAGGTATTTAAATTAAACTTTTAAAGAATAAGATGTCGAGTTGTCATATTAGCTTTTTTCTCTTACTCGAGTCAGTTACAGGATGATGGAAGGCCTGTACATGGTGCCCATTGTCTAAGAAGGCCCAGCTCCAGGGAGACGATGAGATAAAAAGTGCCTATCATGGCTCTGGTGGGGTTGCTCAGTTAGTTGGAATATCGTCCCATGCACCGAAAGGTTGTGGGTTTGATTCCTGGTCAGGGCACATACCTAGGTTGCAGGTTTGATCCCCAGTTGGGGCGCATGTGGGAGGCAGTCAGTCAGTGTTTTTCTGTTACATTGACATGTCTCTCTGTCTGCCGCCTGTCTCTCTGTCTCTCTTTCTCTCGCCCTCCCTACTGTGCACCCACCTTCTCTAAAATCAATAAACATATCCTCAAGTGAAGATTTTAAAAAAAAGTGTCTCCACTCCAGTAATAGGGGAATGGAAAATGACCCTCTAGGGGGCATGCTCACAGTTCTCCGTGCCCCCGCCCCTCAGACCCTCAGGCATGCTACCTTTGCCTTTTCTTCTGCTAAACTCCAAGAGCCCTTCTTTTGCTTCTGTAATTTGTTTCCTGAGCCTACACAGCCCAGCTGGCTCACTTCTACCTTTGTAACTTTCCAAGTAAACTTTCTCTTATAATTTGGGGAGTAGGGGGAAGAAAATAACCAGTCCATGTCTTACTATCAAGTATAACTTTTTAGTATATTTCTTACCTTGTCTCTGTGTGTGGGTCTTTTTAAAAAAAATTAATGATTTTTAATCTTCTATTTGTGTTCTCTTCTATAGTTTGGAATATCTTAGAGATCTGATGTATTTACATTTCTAAAATCAGGAATGAAATCTTTGAACTAATTATTGTTTTTAAAACCTAGGACTACAGAGATATTATAGATACTCCAATGGATTTTGGAACAGTAAGGGAAACTTTAGAAGCGGAAAATTATGACAGCCCTTTGGAATTTTGCAAAGACATCCGGTTGATATTTAGCAATGCAAAAGCATACACGCCAAATAAAAGATCAAAGGTAATTTAAAGCTGGTTTATAAGAAAAAAGAGGATGATCTGTGTAGATGATTTTCTGCTGTCTGGTAGAGGTTGGAACATTAAAAATAAGTGAGTAGAGTAGGACTACTATTGAAAATAGAGTTTATGCCACTGACCAAATATCTGCTGTTGCTACCTCACAACAATTAATGTTTATCTTTCCTAAAGTTTTATAAACAAATGAGGATTGGTGGGTGAAGGCCTCACTGAAAAATTTACAAATTTAAATTTGATATGTGGAATGGGGAAAATCTATATTTTCATACATATGGAAATCTTGAAAAGTGGGTTGAAAACTTGTGATAGAGCTGGGAGAACATTAAAAGGAAGAAAAGGAAAGTCTGAAGGTGGGAGTGGGATTACTGATGTAAACTAGTATTTTGGATCCCAGGAAGAAGCACATGAGCTATTATTTAAGAATACAAGTATGGAGTACATTCCTAAATCTTTGTTTAAAAAGTTACACATCGGATAAATTTTGAGAACTTGTTGAAGCGTAATAAATGTACAAAGGAGCACATATACTGTCAGGGAATTTTTACAAACAACACAAACCCGTGTGGCCAAGGTGCTAGGTAATTTTAAAAAACAGCATTAATTTGAGAAGATTTTAAAGTAAAGCACTTGCTTGATACAGTACTTCCTCTGTCATCAGTGACTGTCATTATTAAGTAATCATTTTGTCTTAATTTCACTTTCCTCCTTATACTTACTATCAGACTTCCCTTACATTATCGGTGCTTGTCTCAATTTGAGAACTCATCATTGCATTTAGCACCCAGATTGCTTATCGGATCAGTTTAACACTCAAGTCTAAATTTTTCAGGCTTCTGTCATTGTCAGTATTCACCATTTTTGAGACTGTTCCTTTCTAGAAAGAAAATAAATTTCCTTCATGTCTTTTTTTCCTTTTATTTTAAACACATTTGAGGATTTATACCATAAAATTCACCATTTACAGTGTAGAATGTAATGGTTTTTAGTATATTATCAAATTTTCAAATTGTTCAATCTATGTAACATAAAATGTATGATTATGACCATTTAAGTGTATAACTTAGTGGCATTAATTACATTTACAATATTGTTTAACTACCACTGCTGTCTGTTTCCAAAACTCTTTCATCATGCCTAACAGAATCTCAGTAACCATTAAGCAATAACTCCACACTCTGCCCTTCCCTTAGCCTTTGGTAGCCTCTGATCTATTTTCTATTTCTAAGAATTTGCCTGTTCTAGATATTTCATATAAGTTGAATAATATAATTTGTCCCTTTGTGTCTAGCTTATTTCACTTTTTCATAATGTCTTAAAGGTTCATCCATGTTGTAGCATGTATCAACTATTTTTTTTACTGTAGTTGTCCATTGTATGGGGCATTTTGACATTTTGTTTATCCATTTATTTCTTATAGACAATGGAGCTATTTTTACTTTTTGTCTATTGTGATTAATGTTGCAGTGAATATTGTAGTAAAGGTATCTGTAAGAGTTCTTGCCCTCAATTTCCTTGGGTATATACCTAAGTGTGGAATTGCTGGTTCATAGGGTCATTGAATGTTTAGCTTTTTAAGGAACCAGCAAACTGTGTTCCATCATGGCTGAATTTTACATTCCCACCAGCCATGTGTGAGGATTCCAGTTTCTCCACATCTTTGCCAACAGTGGTCATCTTCTTAGTTGTAGCCATCCTAGTGAATGTGAAATATTATCTCAAATTGTGTGTGTGTGTGTTGTTTTTTCTTTTTTAAGAAAAAAGAAAAATTTTTATTCAAATGAGTTTTTTAAATATTTATTTTTTAGAGGGGAAGGGAGAGAGACAGAGAGGTAGAGAAAGAAACATCGATGTGAGAGAAACATCGATTGGGTTGGCTCTCACAGGCCCACAGCCTTGGACCTGGCCCTCAGTCTAGGCATGTGCCCTGACTGGGAATTGAACCAGTGACTTTTTGGTTTGTAGGCTAGCGCTTAATCCACTGAGCCACACCAGCCAGGCCTCTCATTGTGGTTTTGATCTGCATTACTCTTGTGACTTACTACAAATCGTACCTGGGATATATTTTAATCAGGTATGGCAGGACATGCGGATGAAATGACTGCCATGAAGGGGTAAGTTTATACTGACAGATTCCAAAAACAAGGAGGCATGACTCCACATGTAGGGCCACGTTGGGATGGACCAGCATTGGTCAGTAGGCAGAGGAGAGGAAGGGGAAGATTATAGCACAGAGCCTATAGTATTGAGGTTTTTGCAGGAAGGCAAGGCAGGGCAAAGTAAAGAGTTTTTAGGATTGGCTATCTTGAATATTCCCTGGAGCTCTGAGTTACAGGGGTGGTCTCCAGATGTCTGGTTCCTGGCTCTGGGGTGATTTAGGATGGGAGGAATGGAATAGTGGCTTGATATGTGAGAATTTGATAAAGAAGTTAGGGGTGGGGGCTCTGCATTGTTTTGTATATCAAAGGCATGCTTTTAAGAGAATCCTTTGCTTGCTCTAGGAATTAGCTAGCTACGTGAGGGGCAGTTTCTCCAGAATCAAGTTTCCAGCTGGTTGCAAACCAAAAGTTCACTGGTTTGCTTCCCAGTCAGGTCACATAACTGGGCTTCAGGCCAGGTCCCTGGCTGGGGGGCATGCGAGAGGCAGCTGATTGATGTTTCTCCTGCACATCAATGTTTCTCTCTCTCTCTGTCCCTCTCTTCCCCACTCCCTGTAAAATCTTAAAAAAAAAAACAAAACACAGAAAATATAGTTAATATACTCATGTTGACATCTTTTCATGTGCTTATTAGCCACTTGTATATCTTCTTTGGAGAAATATCTATCTAAATGCTGTGCCCATTTTCTTTTGTTTTAAGATTTTATTTATTTATTTTCAGGGAGAGGGGAAGGGAGGGAGAAAGAGAAACATCAGTGTGTGGTTGCCTCTCATGTGCCCCGCACTGGGGACCTGGCCTGCAACCCAGGCAGGTGCTCTGACTGGGAATTGAAACAGCGACCCTTTGGTTTGCAGGACAGCATTCAATCCATTGAGCCACACCAGCCAGGTGCTCTGTCCATTTTCTAATTGGATTTTTTTTTGTCTTTTTGTTGAGTTGTAGGAATTTGTTACTATATTCTGGATATTAAACCCTTGTCACATAAATGTTTTCCAGATATTTTCTCTCATTCTGTAGTTTGGCTTTTTTTTTCTGATCTTTAAAAAATATATTTTATTGATTATGCTATTACAGTTGTCCCATTTCTCCCCTTCACTCCCCTCCCTCTTTACATCCCTTCACACCCAAATTTCCTCCTTTAGTTCATGTCCATGTGTCGTAAGTTCTTCAGTTCCTGCATTTCCCATACCATTCTTGCCCTCCCCCTATCTGTTTTCTACCTACCATCTATGCTACTTATTCTCTGTACCTTTTTCCCCTCTCTCCTCCTCCCACTCCCCTGTTGCTGTCCCTCCATGTGATCTCCATTTCTGTGGTTCCATTCCTATTCTAGTTGTTTGCTTTTATTTTAGGTGTGGTTGTTAATAACTGTGAGTTTGCTGTCCTTTTACTGTTCATATTTTCTATCTTCTTTTTCTTAGATAAGTCCCTTTAACATTTCATAAAATAAGGGCTTGGTAATGATGAATTCCTTTAACTTGACCTTATCTGAGAAGCACTTTATCTGCCCTTCCGTTCTAAATGAAAGCTTTGCTGGATAGAGCAATCTTGGATGGAAGTCCTCGCCTTTCATGACTTGGAATACTCCTTTCCAGCCCCTTCTTGCCTGCAAGGTCTCTTTTGAGAAATCAGCTGACAGTCTGATGGCAACTCCTTTGTAGGTTACTGTCTCCTTCTCTCTTGCTGCTTCTAGAATTCTCTCCTTCATTTTAATCTTGGGTAATGTAATTATGATGTGCCTTGGGGTGTTCCTCCTTGGGTCCAACTTCTTTGGGACTCTCTGAGCTTCCTGGACTTCCTGGAAGTCTATTTCCTTTGCCAGATTGAGGAAGTTCTCCTTTATTATTTTTTCAAATAAGTTTTCCACTTGTTGCTCTTCCTCTGCTTCTGGTACCCCTATAATTTGGATGTTGGAACGTTTCAAGATGTCTTGGAGGTTTCTAAGCCTCTCCTCATTTTTTTGAATTCTTACTTCTTCATTCTTTTCTGATTGTATGTTGTTTTCTTCCTTCTGGTCCACTCCATTGATTTGAGACCCAGTTTTCTTTCCATCACTATTGGTTTCCTGTTCATTTTTCTTCATTTCACTTAGTGTAGCCTTCATTTTTTCATCTAATTTGTGACCAAAATCAACCAATTCTGCGGGCATCCTGATCATCAGTGCTTTGAACTGTGCATTTGATAGGTTGGCTATCTCTTGGTCACTTAAAAGTACTGGCTCTAGGGCTTTGATTTTTTTCTTCCGTTTGAGCCTTGGGGGGGGGTCTGGTTGTGCCTGTTACATATGAGGGGTGGAGCCTTAGGTGTTCTCCAGGGTGGGGCAACCCAGTTGCTGGGTTGTGATGCTGTATGTGGGGGCGAGGTCAGAGAGGGAACAGTGGTACTTGCTCTGCTCTCTGTTGGCTTTCAGTCCCTTTTGCTGCTTTCCCCAAGCAAACTGGACCTTTCTGGTGCTGGTTCCTGGGTGGGTGGGTTTGTGTACGTTCTTGGACCCTGTGGGTCTCTCCAACGAACTCTCCTATGAGGCTGGGAGTCTCTCCTGGTACCTCCACAAGTGTTTTCAATCAGTGCTTTTAGGCTTTATTTCCTGGCATTGGGGCCCTGGGTTGCACAGTCTGTCTTGCTGCCCGTTTTCATCTGGTTTATCTGTGCTCGAATATGTGACTGTGGACAGCCAGCTGCCGTTCACACTGCATTGGGTCTGCTAGTTGCCTCCCCGAGCTTGGAGTCTGCCAGCCACCATTTTTTCCTGCTGCGACCCCTCCCTGCTGGGCACCGACTCCACCCCTCTTACCAGTCTGGATGAATGGTTGTTGGGACTTCTGTACAGTTCAGTTTTCTGTCTGTTCTGGTGGTTTTTTTGGTTTCTAAATTTTTGTTGTCCTTAATTTTGATGGTACAAGGAGGCTCGGTGTGTCCACCTGGGCCTCCATCTTGGCCAGAAGTCTGTAGTTTGTCTTTTACCTTGTTCATAATGTCCTTTGATGTATAAAAGTTTCTCATTTAGATGATATCCATTTAATCTTTTTTTTATTTGGTGTTTTTGCTTTTGTTTTTATGTCTGACTCCTTTGTCAAATCCAGTGTCATAAAGATTCACCCATGTGTTCTTCTAAGAGTTTTGTGGTCTAGCTCTTATGTTTAAGTTGTTGATCCGTATTCAGTTAATATTTATGTATGGTGTAAGGTGGAAATACCTTTGTCCCAGCACCATCTATTGAAGATACTATTCTGTTCCCATTGAATAAACTGGGCACCATCTGAACTCAGTTCTGTTCATTGCATGTGGATATATGTGTTTGTATGTCTGCCTGTCTGTGTCTATGTCAGTACCATAATGTTTTATTTACTGTAGCTTTGTAGTAAGTTTTAAAATCAGGAAGCGTGAGTCCTCACACTTCTTCTTTTTCAAGATTTGGCTACTCAGGGTCAGGGTCCCTTGTAATTCATTGTGAATTTGAGGAATGGCTTTTGCCATTCCGAAAAAGTCCTTTGCATTTTTTATAGAGTTTGCACTGAATGTGTATATTGCTTTGCACAGTAGTGACATCTTGATAATATTACGCCTTCCTCTTTCTTAACAGGGGATGTCTTTTCATTTATTTAGGTCTAATGTCTTCAGCAGTGTGTTGGAATTTTTGGTGACAAGTCTTCACACTTCCTCGGTTAAACTAATTCCCAGTTTATTGTTTTAGATGGTAGTGAAATGCGGTTGCTTTCTGAATTTCTTTTTTTGATTGTTCATTGTTGGTGTATAGAAACACAACTGATTCTTGTGTGTTGTTGTCCCCTATAATTTTGCTGAGTTCTTTATTAGCACTGATAACTTCTTGTGGATTCTTTGAGAATTATATATAGAATCATGTCATCTGTGAATAGAGATAGTTTTACTTGTACCATTCCATTTTGAATGATTTTTATTTCTTTCTTATTGTTTAATTGTTCTGGCTAGAATTTAAAGTATGGTGTTGAATAGCAGTCATGAAAGCAGGCATCTTTGTCTTATTTCTGACCAATTTCAGTCCTTGGGGAAGGATTTTTCAGTTTTTCACCATTGTGTATGATGCTAACTGGGTTTTTCATACATGCCCTTCTTCATGACAATTTTAGCATCCATTTTTGTTAATGCTTATTTTCAATTCAAATGTATTCTTGAATTTTACATGAAAGCTAATGAGAAAACATGAAAAATGATAAGATAATTAGAGGTTTCAAACAGAATGAGAAAAAATCACTCTTGTTAAAATTGGTGACTTCTTTTAGACTTCAGGTTTGAATGAAAAGAATTTAGTGTATGCACAAAATATTGGAAATAATTGTTAAAGATTATATCAAAGATATCAGGGATCACAAATTTCACATATTTTATACTTAATATGGTATGCATATGACACATATAAGAAACTGAGTTATCTCACATGCTTTTTTATTAAAGCTTCTGTAGTGTTAGAGTCTCTCCACTCACCTCTCCCGTGCATCAGAGTGATTTATAATTACCTTTTGAACATAAGACTTTTATACTTATTTTCAGGAGTGGTTGTGGACGAATAAAGAGTACTTCCTAGAAATACATAGCTGTACCAAATGTTCCTTATAGTAGCACTTAACACCACATTACTGTTCTTTTAAAGATTTGATGTTATTTAATTATAAAAATGGTTAAAACTCGATCTTTCATATCAAAGTTTTAGGGCATATTTTCATCCTTCTACAAGGATGCAAGTAATTCTATCTGTAATTCATAGTTAGATCTGTATCAAAGGGAGTCAAATTTCAAGTAGACACTGGTGTAAAAGTTCCCTTATGTCAAGGAGATACTACTCTTTTGCTGCCTAAGTAGCACCCTGAAAACCAAGTTCCCATCTAACTTTCGGAAAAGGGGGCTTTATTAGGTTTGTACATGTAGATGTGAAAATGGGAAAAACCAAATACTTTCTCTTTCTTGCAGACTCTTGCAGATGTCATTGAAGGGAAGGGATGGGAAATAAAGTCAGTAACAGCTATTGTCTATGACAGTAATATAATACAATAGATGGCAAGTAGCCTCAATGATTACAATCTTATTTAGAAAAGTATTTTTAAAGACATTTTGTGGTTATAGTTTTGCTTTCATATTCTTACAGATTTACAGTATGACTTTGAGACTATCTGCCTTATTTGAAGAAAAAATGAAGAAAATATCCTCTGATTTTAAAATTGGTCAAAAATTCAATGAAAAACTTCGAAGAAGCCAGAGGTTCAGGAGACAGCAAAACTGTAACCGTGTCAATCAGGCTAACAGAAGTATCAGGTGATTTACCAGCTTTGTATGCAATATTGTAAAATTTCAGGTTGTAAGACCATCTTTAATTTTATTATGATAAAATTTCTCAATCATTGTATAGTATATTCAGAGTAGTCCGTTTTTGGCTGGAAAGCATTCCATGTGTATATAGAACTGGTGCATTGATTTGTAATTACATAAATTTATAAGCATTTAAATTTATCTGGCAACTAAATATAATGCACTTAGGTGTGGATTTCCTTGAGTTTATTCATCTTAGAATTTGTCCAGCTTTGTGGATGCATAATATTTTTCATGAAATTTGGGTGGTTGTCAGCTGTATTTCTTCCAATATTTTTTTTTGCCTTTTTCTTCTCTTTCTAGTGTTGCAGTTATACGTATATTGGTGGATGTATAACTCTGATGCTCTCTTCATTTTTCCCCCCCGTATTTTTCCTTTATGTTTTTCAGATTGGATCATCTTTATTGACTGACCTAACTTTGCATTCACTGTTTCTTGTACCAGCTCAAATCTGCCCTTGGGTCCATATTGGTGTATTTGTTTTCAGTTGTAATTTTTAACTCCAGAATTTCCATTTGGTTTATTTTCCATAACTCATCCCTCTTTACTGATATTCTGTCATCATATTTTCCTTTGATTCTGTATACAAGAATTTATTTCATTTTCAGATATTTATAATTGTTGACTTATTTGGTCAAAAAGCTCAGAAACAGCTGAAGTAAAATCAATGAATTTAGAAGTAATAATTAGTAAGTTTATTGTGCATTAACCAAAAAGACTTCGTAAAACAAGAGCACTCAAACGAAAACATGGAATGAGACTCGGTGTATTGTTAAAAAGCAGTTTATAGAGAGAACTGTGACTGTTTCTTCTTCATGGTGATTGATTATAATACTTGAATTTTCAGTGTTTACCCAACGATAGCTTTGGGAAATAGTGCAAGTTTTGCTTAGGATTTCCAGAGGCATAAGTAAGAAGTGATGTAGGTCAAGTTAGTTGTGCAAAATAAGCTAAATTAAGCTTTATTTGTATGGCTAAATTGCCTTTGCTCAGAATTTTCAAGGCTTGTTGCTGTTTTTCATCTGGGTCCTATCAGACAGTTTCTGTTGATGGTATCTTTTTCCTGTAGATGGACAAACACTCCTGTTTCTTCATATGTCATGTAATTATTTTTTTGTTGAAAACAGCATATTTATTTATTTTTATTGATTTTCAGAGAGAGAGAAACACCCATTTGTTGTCCCACTTATTTATGCACTTATTGGTTGCTTCTTGTATGTGCCCTGATCAGGGATCAGACCCGTAACTTGGCGTTATCAGGATCAGGCTCTAGCTAACTGAGCTACCTAGCCAGGGCCCAAACTGGGCATATTTAATTATATAATCTGGCAATTCTGGAAATCACATCTGTCCCAGGTTTTATTATTGCTGTTTGTAGAAATGCAGGATTCTGATCCTTCTCCCTTAGTGATAGGAGCTGGCAACCTTTCGGCTCGCAGGCTGACACACAGCCCACTGAGCCACACCAGCCTCAGCACAGTTATTACTTTAAAAAATTGTGGTCATCTTTTAGCCGAAATGCTTGAGATACTCCAGGAAAGCCCTTACCCAGATCTGTAATAGAAATGCAACAATTAACTTGTTTTACATTTCTACTATTTTCCCCATGGCTCAGGGGCCAAACATGGTGAATTGGCACATAGATGTAAGCAGTTTGGCCTTAGAAAAAGCCTTTTTGTTCATTTTTTTTTAGTTGAATTCACTAGGGTGACATTGGTTAATAAAATTACAGGCCTAAGGGGTACAGTTCAGTAATACAGCAGGTGTGTACTGTGTGTTCATCACCCCGAGTCAGGTCTCCTTCCGTCACCGTGTCACTCCCCACCTTGACTTTTTCCTGCCATCCCCACTCACCTGTTTGCCTCTGTTCTTTCTGCTCAGGTTTTGTTGATTTCTCTTCTTAATTTTATAGTGTGTTTAGAAACATAAATAGGAGACTAGAGAGAAAGTTGGGTCATACTGAGATGCAGATTCATAATGTGGAAAATGCCTATATTACATAAATCCTGGCTCACCTAAGTGTTTAATTCAAAGAACTTGAGATATTCAGTGTGATTTTCTCTAATTGTTACTTGGATCAGTTGTTCATTACTTCAGTTTGTAATAAAATGATGTCAAATTTAGAGTAAGAGTATTAATAGTAATTCATGCCAGAATAAGATGTTATTAATGAATGTTTTGATCTAAAATTATTTTTTGATTAAATAAGACACTTTTATTTAAGCATTTTGTTTTGTTAAATATTGTTTCCTTTGTTCATCTCTTTGACCAGAAATATGAAGCAGAAGCGTTTAAAATCTCAGACAAGAGTAGTTACTGAGTCGGTGGGCTCTCCTACCCAGTCTACCTCCAGTCAGGCAGCTTACTCTGCAAGCCACAAGACAAGCGCTAGTGTCTCTTCAGGCGTTACTTCTGGCGACTCTTCAGATTCAACAGGATCATCAGAAAGAATAAGAAGAAATAGAACTGTCACTCTAACAAATGGTTCTGCCTTATCTGGTGAGAAGTGGAACATTATGTTACTCAACTGCTGAGCGCTTAGATGTTTAATACTGCTAGTTACTGTGGGTTTGTAGGAAGGAATAAATATGACATGGCCTTCACAACTCAGGGAACTTAAAATTCAGTGGGAGACAAAAGTAACAAACATAGAGCAATTAGATTATGTTTGATAAGTATTGTCCTTTGCAAATGGTACTGCCCCATTTTATGCAAATTTGAATCCTCCACATTTTAAATAATGTGATATCACACATACGCAAACTTTGGCATTTAAGTTAAAAAAAACTTTGACATTTAAATAAAAAGAGGCATCGTAATTACAGCTGATGACCTAGTAAATTCTAAGTTATGTTACTGTTATTTGGTAGTATAACCAGCTGATGCTAATCCTTTGCTGGCATTGTGTGGGTAAGGCTGTAGTGTTTATGTGCTTCAGTGTTGCTCTGAGTGATTTTGGTGAATTGTGATGATAATATAATTGTTGTAATTAAAATAATAGGATCAAGCAGGTAGAATGTACTCATGTTTAAGAGACTGGCAAGCCTTGCAGAAGAGTCCCTTAATTGGGTCTGTTGTTGAGTAAGGGAGTCACATGAAGAATCCTGTTTTAAGAAGATAGATCATTTTGGAAGTGATATGCAGGGAAGAGGAAGAATCTGGAAACAGTCCACGTAGCAGGTAGTGGAATAGAGTGGGAGCAGTCAAAGTGGACAAACGGCAGAGCAATTTCAAAGGAAGGAACACAGTTTGGTGACCAGCATTTTTCTAACATATTCACTTTTTTCTAACAGAGAGTTGGGTCACGTAAGGTGTAAAATTTGTCTTTTAACAGTGTTCCCATTCATTTTGATGTTTTCATTCTGTGATAGGCATGTAAGAAGTAAGTCTGGATGAAGGAACAGGAAATTTGAGTTTCCTGTCTTGTGCTCCCACTGGGGCATACACTTTTTTATTGGGAATATAAGGGCGAAATGACCTGTATTATTGAAATTATTTCTTTCTTTTTCCATTTTTTTAAAGCATGTAAAAATGACCATTATTGAGCTGAAAGGTACAATTATACTGTTAGGAAGGGCTATTAGGGAGAATTCCTAGATTTGAAATGTTGGATTTGAAATGATAGGTCTTTTCTGTTGGAAATGCCTGTTTCATAACAGAAGGAAGTGGATAGCAAGGCTAATTAAATGTTTAAATGCAAGTTTGTTTATTAAATATATAAATTGAATTTTCTGAAACCAGGAGAAATATGTTACTTTCAGAAATAAGAAAACAGATTTGATTTGGTATAATGATTATGTACCTTTGATACCAAAATTTTACCAGCTGTTTTTTCAAATAATTTTTAAGAATATACTCTTAAGTATTTTAAGAATCTGCTCCAAGTCTTCTGTTGTGAAGTAACTGCTTATGTGTGTAAAGATAGAATATGTATAATGAACTGTTGATGGCTTTATTTTTTTTAGAAAGTGAAATGGAAGATTCCTTAGGTACCTCTTCATCATCTTCAGCTTCAAGTAGTTCTGAGGAAAGCAAAGAGAGTTCAAGAGCTCGTGAACCCTCCTTACGTGGAAGGCTGGCCAGAAGCAGCAGTCTCAGAGTGACCAGAACCAGAGCTGCCCAGAGAAAAACTGGTAAGAGACTCTCAGTGGTGCTTTGGAGGAATGTATATCAGGAGAATTCAAAAGTTAAACATTAAATGGCTTATTGATTTAATGCATCTACATATGATTATATGTTTTTTAGGCTTTTTAAAAAATTGAGGTGTAACTGACACATAACATTATATTAGTTTCAGGTGTACAACATAATGATTTGATATTTGTATACACTGTGAAATGACCACAAGTCTAGCTCCCATGCATCACAATATATAGTTACAGAAGTTCCTTTTTCATTTTTCTCTTGAGATGAGGACTTTTAAGATTTACTCTTTTAGAACTTTTAAACATGCAATACAATACTAACTCTAGTCACCATGCTGTACATTAAATCCCCATGATTTAGATTTATTTATTTTACTCGAAGTTTGGACCCTTTGACCCCTTTCACCTATTTCAGTGTTGTCTGTATTCATGAGCTTGGTTTTGTTTGTTTTTTAGATTCCACATACAAGTGAGATCATATGGTATTTGTTTTCCTCTAACTTATTTCACTTAGCATAATGCTCTTAAGGTCCCTGTGTGTTGTTGCAAATATGAGGAATCCATTCTTCTTATGGCTGAATAGTATTCCATTGTATCTGTATATCACATCATCTTTATCCATTCATCTATTGATGGACACTGCTTGTTTCCATATCTTGACTATTGCAAATAATGCTACAATGAACATGTAGGTTCATAGAACTTCTGGAATTGTTTTTGTTTTCTTTGGATAAATACCCAAAAGTGGAGTAGCTGGATGATATGGTAGTTGTAGTTTTAATTTTTTGAGGACCCTCTGTGCTGTTTTCCATAGCAGCTGCACTGATTGACATTCCCACCGACAGTAGGCAAGGGTTCCCTTTTCTTCACACCTTGCAAACACTTGTTATTTCTTATTGATTTATTTTTTTTGATACTAGCCACTCTGATACCTCACTGTGTTTTGATTCGTATTGCCCTGATGATGAGTGGTGTCGAGCATCTTTTCATGAGCACGCTGGCCATCTGTATCTTTTTTGGAAAATGTCTATTCAGGTTCTTTGCCTGTTTTGATTTCGATTTTTTTTTTTTTTGAGTTGTAGAAGTTCATGATTTCCTTTGCTCTGCAGAAGCTTTTAGTTTGATGATTTAGTCCCACCTGTTTGTTTTTGCTTCTGTTGCCTTTGTTGGTCAAACAAATGGGTCTCCTAAGAGTCAAAGAGTCATCAAGGCCAATGTCAAGAGTTTATTGCCTATGATTTCTCTAGGAGTTTTATAGTTTCAGGTTTACATTTAGGTCTTAAATCTATTTTGAGTTAATTTTTGTGTGTGGTGGTGTAAGATAGTAGTCTAGTTTCTTTTACATGTAGCTGTCCAGTTTTTTCTATACCATTTATTTATTTTTAAGCATTTTTTAAATTGTTGTTCAAGTACAGTTTTCTGCTCTCCCCACTACCACAGGCCCCCCCGTTTCTGTCCCTCCTTGTTATTGTCCATGTGTCCTTCATACTTGTTCTGCAGACCCTTTGCCCTTCCCCCTATAATCCCCTCCCCTCTCCGCTCTGGTCACAGTCAGCCTGTTCTCAGTATCAGTGTCTGGTTATATTTTGCTTGTTTGTTCATTTTGTTCATTAGATTCCTCTTAAAGGTGAGAGCATATGGTATTTGTCTTTCATCGCCTGGCTTATTTCACTTAGCATAATGTTCTCCAGTTCCATCCATGCTGTTGAGAAGGGTAGAAGCTCCTTCTTTCTTTCTGCTGCATAGAATTCCATTGTGTCAATGTACCATAGTTTTTTGATCCACTCATTTACTGATGGGCACCTGGGTTGCTTCCAACACTTGGCTATTGTAAATTGTGCTGCCATGAACATTGGGGTGCATAGGCTCTTTTGGATTGGTGTTTCAGGGTTCTTAGGATATAATCCTAGCAGTGGAATTCCTGGGTCAAAAGGCAGTTCATTTTTAGTTTTTTTGAGAAAATTCCATACTGTTTTCCATAGTGGTTGCACCAGTCTGCATTTCCACCAGCAGTGCACTAGGGTTCCCTTTTCTCCTCACCCTCTCCAGCACTTGTTTGTTACTCTGTTTATGATGGCCATTCTCAGCGGTCCTACACCATTTATTGAAGAGTCTGTCCTTTCCCCATTGTATATTTTTGGCTCCATTGTAGTAAATTTATTGACCATGTACGTGTGGGTTTATTTCTAGATTGTCTATTCTTTTCCCTCCTTCAGGCCTTTTAGATTTAGAAAGAAAAATCTGGTTTGGGTAGTAAAATGTAAGCAGTATCAGTACTAAAATAATAAGAGTCATTTTAAAAATGTTGAAATAAGGAAGACCTTTCTAATCTTATTGTTACTTTATTTCTAGGTCCAGTTTCTTTAGAAAATGGATGTGGCAGAAAAGCCACTAGAAAGAGGGTCTATTTAAGTGACTCTGATAACAATTCAGCGGAGACTGGTGAAAGTCTAAAAGCTCGAGGTGGAAATAACCGGAAAGTGCTACGAAAGTGTGCTGCTGTGGCTGCCAATAAGATAAAGCTGATGAGTGATGTAGAGGAAAATTCTAGCTCTGAAAGTGTCTGTTCTGGCCGTAAGCTGCCTCACCGCAACGCTTCTGCTGTAGCTAGAAAAAAGTTATTATATAATTCTGAAGATGATCAGAGCTTAAAGTCAGAAACTGAAGAAGAGGAGCCGAAAGAAAAAAATCAACCATCACCAGTGTCCAGCTCTCATGCTGCCCAGAATAATGTGAGTGAATCTGAAAATGGAGATTCGGAGTCAGAAAGCGACTTGCAGGTAGTCCGGAAAAGTTGGCACACTAATGGTTACAAGTCACACACTCCAACAACCTCTAAAACAAAATTTCTTAAAATAGAGTCCTCTGAGGAAGACTCTAAAAGTCATGGTTCGGATAACGGACGTAACAGAACTACTGGCCCGTCAACTTCTGGGCAGAAACTTAAGGCAAGAAGCATCTCAGGGGAGGAGGAGGAAGCAGATTCTGAACCAAGAAAATATGATGGTAGGAAATACAACACAGGTTGCAAGAATGCTGCTTTCCTTAAAAAAGCAAAGATCTTCAGTGATTCAGAGGACTCTGAATCTGAAGAAGATAAAAAAGATGGTAGATGTCACAAGATGGCAACAAACCCGATGTCAGGAAATCTGAAGTGCGAACCTATTGCTGGGTCCCACTGTTTCTCAGATCATGTATCTGAAACTGATTTGGAGTCAGATGATGACAAAACAAAAGAAAAACCAAACAATTTTATGAAAGGTAATTGAAAACATTTCACCGATTTATTCTTACTGTCCTTTTCTCATAGCATACGTTGCTGTGTGCTCACATAACTGTTTGTTGAGCACATTTAGTTTAATTCCCGTAACAGGCAATCTTGGCCTTAAGTATTTCTGTAAAGATTTCATTTCTTGTATTGGTAATGGGGGTATTGTATTGGCTAATAAGGGTTTAAGAAAAGCAGAGGCAAGCACATTTATGACCTGTTGGTAGTGTGAGAAGAGGAAAGAAGAGGGTAGGACTGGTTGAATGTGGTAAGTAATAATAATAATAGCAGCTAACAGAACAGTTACTGAGATGTTCTGTGTGTCATGATATTTTTCTGAATGCTTTGTTGATTAATCAGTTTAGCATTCTTATCTTTTATGAGAGAGGAACTATTACCATTATTGTCAGTTTTACTGATAACTCTGGAGCATGGAGAGGTGACCTAAGTTGCTGAATTGAGATTGCACTCCTGGTAAATGGGGATTGATGAGAAATATTAATGAGCAGGGGGCAGCTAAAGCTGGGATGAAAGGTTGTCAGTGTGATAGGAACTTCTAAAGTTAAGAAGAGTTTCAGGAAGGCTGAGAGTAAGTGGTTTGTGTGCATATGCTAGTGTGGTGGTAAAGAGAGTTTAGTCTGTATTCATGTAAAATGTTTCAGTGTCACGTGTTTTGTTGGAGTAGCTGGAAAGGCATGGGATTTTACTGATGAGAGTATGTAGTACCTGTGAATGAATGGTGCTGAGGCTAACAAGTTACTTCTTTCCACCATGCTGTCATCCTCCTTCCAAGTTAATAAGAATGAAGAATTCTGGACTGAAGTTGTTTAAATGTTCTATTAAAGATTAAAGGAATACTTTTAATTTTTAGATTCTGCATCACAAGACCATGGACAAAGAAGAAAAGTTTCCAGGAAAAGGGTCTGTTCCAGTGACTCAGAGAGCAATTCGAAGGTGGTTAAGAAATCCTCCAAAGCCAAAACGGGTCTCCTAAGGATTCCTCGAAGGTGTGCAACCACCGCTGCCAGTAAGATTAAACTTATGAGTGATGTGGAAGATGTTAGTTTAGGAACTATGTGTACTAGAAGCAAAAGTGGAAGGAAAAAGCCCCTCCATTTTGCATGTGCCACAGCTAAGACCACAGGGAGCGATTCCGACGTAGATGTAAACTGTGAAGTGCCAAACGACCAGGATGCCTGTGAAGGAGAGTCACCTGAAGTCGACTCAGAAGGGAGTACAAAGAGCATCCATCAGTCTTCAAATGGAGACTCAGGTTCTGAAGGTATGTCAGACTCGGAACATAGGAACAGGCCTGTGAGGCATACCAATAATCACAACACAAAAGCTGCACCTTCTAGAACCAAGAATTCATTGATTGCGTCTTCAGAGGAAGATTCAAAAAGCCATATTCCAGGGGGTGAGATTGGTAGAAAATTTTCTTCCGAGTCAGCTTTGGAGCAGAAAGATACTGCAGAGACTAACTTTGAAGAGGAACTGAACTACGGGCTGCGCAGGTGGAACGGCAGAAGACTCAGGACCTATGGGAAGGCTCCTTTCAGTAAGACAGAAGTGATCCAGGACTCGCAGGAAGCAGCCAAGACAGAAATAAAAAGAAAGAGACTACATCCTGAGTTGGGGAATGTGAAAACTTCAGAAACAACAGGGAATTCTGAGTGTGGGCCCGACACTAGCCCCAGATCTGATTCAGAGTTGGGGTCTGTAACTGAATCGGATGTTGACTGTGCCGATGAGACAAAAACCAAAAAGAGGAAAATGAGAGGAAAAGCAAAAGTAGTTAGAAAAGGTAAAACTTTTACAGCTAACGTATCTAAAACTGTGAGGCGACAAAGACAGAGCAAGCGCCCTAGGTTGAGTGTGGATGATAATGACTGGGAGGGTTTGGACTATGCAAGATCTAAGCGAGTTCTTCGGCGTTCAAAAATAAAAACGAGAAATCAGGGTAGAAGGACCGTGAGATACCATGATGGGGATGATGACAGAAACTTAGAAAATGTGTTAGATTTTGATGATTGCACCTTATGACCTTGAGGGAAGACCAGTTCATTTAAACAGAAAATGGACTGGAGTTTATGTGAAACCTGGCTGTTGAAATTATTTTTTGTCCTAAAATTCAGGGAATATATTTATATTTTTCTATGAAAAGTTATGAATGTGACTAAATCATGACTGTTATTTTTATTTGCACTTGCTTGCCTTTGTAGCAGCATTCAGCACAGGTGCCAAAATATGCTTCATTTTGGGGGCAGATCTACTTAAACAGTATGTGACTACATACATGTAGCAGGAGTTCGAGATATGTTAAACACTAGACATCTTGGTTATCATAACCAATGAGCATTACTTTCATGGTAGCAAGTGCCATGCAGATGTTTTCTAAATTCGTGAAGAGGTGGTCGTTTCTAACCCGTGTCCCATTGTAGTAGAACAATTTCACATGACCTATGTTTACGGATTTTTCATGAATATTACGTGCATACCGACATTACAATCATGGGGGGTGTTGACCATGATTAGTAGTAGGGAAAGTACCTACCACTTTTTTTTCTTTCCCTGGCTACTTTAGAATGCATTATCCCAGATTTGGTCATTTTCATTGAAATGGTTTTCAGTTTTCTTTCCAAATATTGTTGAGTCTCTTTATTTTAAAGTAAAATATCATTTTTATTTTATAAACTTGAATTTATAAAGTGCTGGTAAATTATTTTTAATGTTTTGATTGTATATTTCAAACCTCTAAGGCCAGACCTTCGTCCTAGCATTTTCTTTTAAATTGTGCACTAACAAATGCCATGTCATTTTCTTTCCAAGACCTCCTGGTCTCCATGTAAGGGATTTAACCAAACTCTTGGTCTTCCATAGTCTTACTCTGTGAATTAGAGGAATTTGTGTGCCTTAGATTTAGGAAAAGTTTGTTCTTTAATAGAGTGTACAGGACTAAAAGTGTTTAAATTATATGTAGTTTCCCCCATTTTTACTGAAATCGTAGGGTTGAGTGAAGTGTGCAATTACAGATCTCATCTATCCAGGAAACCAGTTCAATGTTACTCTCCATCTCTTTGTTTTAGCTTTGCTGCCTTGTGCAATCTCAAGCATTCTTCGCTGGGCAACTAAGTGTATCTTTACTAGTGACCTCTAGTTACAATCGAAGAAAGTCATGTTTTGTGGGAAAATAATTTTGGAATCCATTTAAAGTGAAACTTATATCATCAAATACCATAGTACACTTATTTTTTTCGAGCCAAATAATTTCTTACTTGATAGGTTGTGCTACTCCAAACAGTGTAGGTAGCCATTCCTAGCTTGTTGTGCCTGAAGATGGACTTGATTCAAATGGTTTACATATTTTGTTGTGAAGGGGTATGTTACAGTACTTCCACCTTTGCTGTTTATTGGCCCTAACTATTTGGTTTCAGACAAAATTAACCTTTTTTTCTCCTGTGTATCCTTAAGATGGCAGATATGGAAAAGCACCAGACTCTGGTATTAGTGTTAGAAAATGTTCTTAAGTGCTGTTACGTCGTTGTTACCTATTCTGTTGGACATGGTAGGAGCTATTTTCTCTTCCTACGTTAATGTAAGGGGAAGGATATTTTTGGACATTGCCAGCGGAGATAGGTGGTATACCGCCTTCCCTTTGGTGGTTTAGAGAGCTGTCACCACTGTAGAACTAGGACGTGCTTCTTCTCAAAGCTTGTGTTAAGTTTGTAGTAGACAGTTTGATGCAGGGTAATTGTCCTTGGTTTTTGACCTGAAAAAATTAATGGAATGCTCTTTCCTTCCTGAATTTTAAGAAGTGGTGACAGATGTCATATCCATTTATTTATTTAAACTCTTCTTTAAGTTTAATGTCTCTTCTCAGGGTTTTAACTCCATGTTTACCATCATTTGCAAAAAGGTACCAAAAACCCAAAAATAAATACGGAACACATTCATAAACACACATTCTTTTGGTAAAATGATACTTTGACCATTTAGCTTTCACCAATAGAACTATTCTTATCTCTTAGACTGAATTAATGATTTAGTTAATGATTGGCTAGTCAACTAATTACTAATTTTTCATTTTGTCCAAAATGGTTAGAGCCTTGTTTACAGAAGAAGTATTCTGGTTTCATCTGAAAAAAACAAAACAAGAATTGACCTGGTGACTTTGAAGGCATGATTGACAATGGTAGCTTCTCAAGTGCTGAAGTAAAACTAAGGGATTACAGAGAGAATAATTTTTATGGTGTTTTTTGGTCATGGTGCTATTCTTAAGTTGAACTTGGAATATGTGACACACACTCCTAAATACCTTTCAGGAAAATTAATAAATAATGGTTCAAAATGTTTACATTGAGCACTAGAAGGCTTGACTTTTTTCTGCTTGTCTTTCTGCGATAGTGCACAAGGATTTAATGCACAGATGTACTTGACTGTGTTTGGGATCAGCCTGAATGTGGACTGATCCAGGAGTGCTGAAGCTTCCCATTGCACTTGAAATAACTTAATGGTATATGATAAAAAAAGACTACTGTGGTTGTGTATATCCAAAGTCCTATGATTTTATTCATTTATGGTTTAAACAAAAAGGTTTGAGCTAACTTAGATTTGATTTTTGATTTCTTTGAAAGGCTAATTTTACCAAGCGTATTAAGAAAAAAAGTTTTCATTTAGAAAGTAGGTGAGATTTTAAAAGCATTTTTTCCATATCCTACTTATTTAAAAAAGGGTATGCTGACAATGTATAGTAATTTCTGAATAAAAGGAAAGTTTATTCCTAGATTTCTAGGGTGGTCATTCTCCCTTTTTTATTTTAGGGTAAAATCTCTGATTAAATCCTTTCTCAATTTGGTAATCCATAGAAAAGAATAACGCAGTTACGGCTTCTAAGTTAGAAAACAAAAGTTTCTTTTAAATAGTAGAGAGTTGTACCTGAAAAGGGAAATAGTTTTTTAATAACGAAGTGGGAGGAAAGACCTTCTGTTTTAGGAAAATGCACTTCAAAACCTGGAAGTGCAACTGGGAAAAGGAGACACAAACCAATAAAAATGCTGTCCGAGGGGTACTCCTGTCCAAAACCACCACCGCACATCACCAGTCTTCCCACTCCACTGGTTGATGACATTGTAAGTAAAAACTCAAATTTAGGATCACATTGGGTCCATACTACATTTCCTGTCCCTCTGCTAGTTTTTGTTTACTTTAGAATAATTAGAACACAAAATTTATTAACCTCATTGTATAGTATTAAAAACTAAGCTGAAAGGATTTAATGTCTTCTGTCAGTACAAATTGGATTTGCTTGTGCCACTTGAACAAAATGAAGGTTTTGTATATCAGAACGCAAGAACATCGTTAAAGGTGCCTAACATATATTTTTGGTTTTCTTTTCTACTAAATTGCATTGCTTTTTCGAGTGACTTATAAATGGCCAGGTAAGGGCTTTTTGTCTTGTCCTTTACTGTAGCTGAAATACCAGCCCCATTTTTTCATTGATAAATCAGCGTATCTACTTTGGCAGGTATCTTGTACCTGTTACCAAATACAGTTACTGTAGTTTTCTTACATTGTATGGAAATTATAGCTCAATTCTAGTATGATGGGGTACAGCAAAGTGTCTTCAATGTAGAAGAAATTTTTGTTTGTAAATTACTTAAGTATACCTCACACTCTGCTGTGGAGATCAGGGGATAATAAAGCAGAGAGCCTAAGAACTTGGCAGCTTCACAGCTTAAAGACTGTCTCTTATCTAGTATTTGGGAACAGAAAGACCAAATAAATATGTCAAAGCTAGGAAGGAAATGGAGTGTTGTGGAAAAAATACAGTCCAAAATATAGATTAGTAAATGTTAATCCTACTTGTAGCTCAATTGTGAGTTAATGGCAAGGAATGAAGTTTACATAGTATAATGATGAGACCCGTGTTATGTCTTCTCACATTTAAAGAGTATTTTTATAGCTGTTTTCTTATAGATGTTACCTAAGGATACACGGGAATTCTCAAAGTTCAGGGGGATTTTTAACAGTAACTCAACCTGCCAAGCTTGTTCCTACTGTATTGTTAATATGGTAGAAAAATATGTAGACTTCTCCTAGTCTCTTCAAGGACTGCTCTTACGGATTTGATGGGGGGAGGTCGGCTCCTGTATGTGGCAGCATGTCCTAGAGGGGTCCAGCCTTCTGGCATCTCTGGGCCACACTGGGAGAAAAAGAGTTGTCTTGGGCCACCCATTAAATACACAAACACTAACAAAAACTGACGAGCAAAAAAAAAAAAAAAAGTTCTAAGTAAATTTACAGTTTTGTGTTGGGCTGCATTCATAGCCATCCTGGGCCGTGGGTTCGACACCCTAACGAGTCAAGACTAAAAGTTTCACTCAAAATAATAATCAGTGTTACAATATATTTTCTGGTCACACTTTAGTTGTGAAGTTAATTTTAAGGTAAGTTTTATCATTTACTAAAAACTTTAGTGGGGATCTGGACTGCTGAAGAAGAAGGGGCATTCTGACTGACCCGCCCGACAGGGGCTGACCGGCTACGTGCAGCAGCTGGCCCTGCCCCTGTTGGTGCCGCCAGAACACACTCAGAAATTAGTACCCTTCTCAGTGGTTAAATGTTAAAGGGTTCTCATTTTTTAATATATTGAAGTTAGTTTTGTAAGTGTTGATGCATATTTTGTCCCTGGACTGCACACATTCAGTAAAATTCTCACTCACCATTTTACTGGTTGGGAAAGAGCTAGATCTTTTAATTTTCCTCTCCCACACAAGATCTCTAACTCTCTTAACTCTCTAACTCATTAGCACATCTGAGTCGTAGCATTTTCATTTAGGAACCAGTTTTTTAGTCCAGTATTATAATAAATTTAGTAAGGCCCTTTTCTAAAAAATTACTTCAGTCCTCCTCGCTGATTCAGGAAGGTCTGCAATACGGGGTCATTTGTCTGCACAGCTCACCTCTACCTCCTGTCTTCTGCAGCTCCCTCCCCTCTGCCCGGTTGTGACTCCTGGGGCAGGCAGAGCACGGGCTACAAGTTGGGGGAGCAGGGGGTGCGGAAGGGAGGCCCGAGGTGTGCCCGAGTCCCTTGTCACTGGGCTGTCTGTGTGCCTGCTGCTTTTCATTAGGGAAGCAGGAAAGTCGATGGGAAATGCAGCATTTACCTCTGGCACCTTGTCCTGTCTACGCTAGTTTAAAATGTCCTGAGATAACCTCTTAAAAGTTCATTAAGCAGATAAGGATCAGATTCCTTTCATACTTCCTCGAGCTTTCATCAGACTTTTAGAAAAAAGTTGGAAGAGCCATCACCAGTCTTGTGAGAATCCTAAGAATGTTACCAGTTAACTTTTCTAGAGATGAGAGAGAGCTGTAGATCAGCTGTAGGTGCACAATAAAACAAGGTTTTGTGGGGCCTTCACTAGATGTATGGAAGACTTCCTAAGTTCATCTATTCAACCATAAAGGTGACCAAACTCGTGGAGAATGGCTCTAGATGAGGTAATTATTTTTGACAGTCTCTTCACCTGACACTGCCATACAGTAGGAGCTGACTTCTCAACATTAGCAACTCCCCTAGGAAAGAAAACGTTAAACCCACAGAATTACAGAGAACATGTTATTCTATATTCTCTAAAGAGACACTTCAGTTTGTGGGATTCTTTTGGGAACTTCAGGGCAGGGGTGAACATCGGTGACATGCTGTTGGCCTCCTGAGCTTTGGTTAACAGTGAAGGAAAACAATGAAGAAAGGACATCTCAAGCCAGTTCTGATGAAGGCTTGAGAGAGGTCAGGATTTGCCACTAAAAGGTTTACCCTGTGCATGGAATTGATGTATCCACCACCCACACCCAGCCGTAGTGTCAGTACTTGAGAAGCGTGTGAGATAGGCCCGTGTATTGTTTTCAGTTCTGATTCAGGCATTCCCTTTCCATCTTAAGTTTGTTTTTAATATTCCAATTACAATGCTGGTCACATTAAAATTTTTTGTACTTCTACAGCAATGATGCGTAGTTTGGATTTAGGAAGACAATTTAGTATGAAGTATAATTGGAATATGAATCCTTAAAATATAGAACCTGGAGATTACTGCTTTCAGTCACAGCTGTACTGTACTATACCCATTTCTGTGCACTATGGACCCTCTTACAATACACAGGGACAAGAGTTATGACTTAAAGTGGTCACTTAGGTAACCTGATCAAACACTACTACAGGTGTAAGTTTTTATTCTACTTACGGGGTTCTTGCCATTCCCAGACAGGGATTTATTTGTAGGAGAGCAACAATGCGTCAAGGCAGTCGGTGACGTTCCAGCACACTCCACTGACCCAAGACCATCTGAGACAGAAGGACTTTGAATTATACTGTTCGCATTAAATGACACTCTAACAAGTGAATTGTGAGAGTAGCATCCTCCAAAATTGTGAAGCTTGTACACTAACATAAATTGGACTTCTCTAACTGCATTATCTGTATATATTTCTAAAAACGAGTTTTCCGAGGAAAAGAAAGTACTTCATAATTTACCAAATTCTCAGTAATAAAATTAACAGACTTACATGTATGTATTACTTTTTAGTTCCACACATTACTCATGTCTTACATTGTATGTTCTAAGACTTCGGAGATACAGCTTTATCAAGTTTGAGTTGCTATATGCAATATAACTTATTCCCCATATTATTCTCCACTCTGGATAGTTACTTGAAGTCAAATTTCCTTATTTTTTAAAGCTACTTGTAGTTTCTTCCGTAGAATCTTAACTTTCCCCTTATTTTGGATTACAAATAAGCATTTACTAAAATGCCTTACAGTTAGTTTACTGGGTTCCTAAATTGTTAGTATAGGGTACTTGCATCCCTCTGTCACAAAGGAATTAATCATTGCAATTTAAGTCATTTTGTCCCACAAAACTTTTTAGTTGTAATAGGACTTTGTATGTGCTTGTCAACGGGGTATATTGCTGGGAATGAACCAGTTGCCTGTTTTTATTGATGTTTCAATATGCAAGTGGATGCACTTAGTTGAATGATGCTAGTATATTTTTAAGTCTAAGTTCAAATTCCACCTTAATTTTGCTGTATATTTTTATTCATTTTATCTGTTGTAGCATGCTAACATACAGGTGGGCCAAAAGGTTTACAATTGTAATACAAACGAATAATGCAATAATTGATACAAGAACAAACCTCTGTGGGTTCACAACTGTAAGCCTGATTCTGCCCACCCCTGTATGTTGTAGCGTTTGCCTGACACTGATCACATGCTCAGGACTGGCTTTGGACTGAGGGTTGGTTTGCAGAGGCTAATGTTCACAATGTGAAAATTGTTAAAACTCTTTGAAGTGGTAGAAAAGCTGCACTTTGAACCACTTCCCACTTCAGTCCCCCAGCCCCACAGGCATCTCCGACCTCACCGAGCCCAAAGGAGGGAGGGGGAGGGCGCTGTGTGGGGCGCCGCTGTGCTCATGGTCGTCGGCTAGAACACCCTGTTTGCAGTGCCTGGCGACTTGTATTTAACCAAACGTGACATCTTTAGAAATAGAACGTCATCGGAAAGGCACGTCAAACACCTGGCAAAAGGGACTAAGGTGTGTGTGGGAGGTTTCTTTTATTCAAGTAGTTCCTAACCTATTTGGGGAGAACTCTTACGGGTGTTGGAGAAAGCACAGGCACATCTTTGAAACGAGTTTCATAGACTTAAGGTAAAATGTAAAGGACTTTCAAGGGCAGAAGACTTTCCTCATGATCCTCCCTGTTAACGTGTCAATTCAAAGGAGCCACTTTCACGTGTGCTCTTGTTCTCGGCCGTGGGAGGGCAGACACCTTCATTCACGAGAGAAAACTAACAGGATTGGTGGTTGGCACTTGCACTGATAGAGAACACTGCTTGACAGCCAGCAGACCCCGAAGCCTTATTTCTAGTCCTTCGTAGTGCAAAGGCTGTTGTGGGCATCAGTTCTCCAAGATGTTAATAAGCATGATGGTTTCTTGACCTACAGCCCGTCTTGGTGGACTGCTGAATCTGTGGGGGCCAGGCGGGGACCCACAAACTCATCCCCAGCCAGACTTGTCTGCTTCTAAGACGGTTTTAGTTAGTTTCCTTCTTAGTTACGTCAAGACTGGGCTGCCCAGAGATAAGGCCTCACACTCCGGGGCTACTTCAGGGGCGTTTTCGTCAAGCAGTACTCCGGCCCCAGAAGAGGGCTAACTCAGCTTGTTCTGCAATTTGAAAATCTGGCTCTGGGTCCACCTCAATCGCTAACACCCGGTGGCTCCTCAGCACAGCTCCAGGGGGGACAGATCTCAAGCTGCCCCTGAAAGTTGCTGCCTCAGTGGGCCCGGAGGAGCTGCTTCCCCGAACGCTCTCTGTTCTACCTTTATCGGGGGGCTCTCTTCCCCTCCTAGCTCCTGGCTGCAAGGACACTTCCGCGGAGGCAGCCTTCCCTGCCCCTCGCCGGAGGTTCAGTTTCTAGAATATGTCCTCACAGCACTCGGCACTGCTTAGCTCTTTCTGGCAGCTGTGCTTACACAGGTAGAATTAGTTCTTGAACCTTTATGCGGATCCTCCCTGTGCCTGGCGCATCCCTAGCTCAGAAACTGTTTGAATAATGACGCTAGGGTTCAACAATTCCAGTTATGTAAAATGCGCAAATATTTGGAAAAAGTGAATCTGGGATTAAAACTACATTTCAATATACAATTCCTTTCTATCTACTAGTTAACCAATTTAATTTTTTTGTGGGGGGGTGGGGGAACCAAAGGAAGTACTGGTCCACATTCCAGTTAAAACCTTAACAAGGATCCTGGAAGACAGCTGCTGCTGTGTCGTCATGCCGTGATGGCCTCTCCTCCTCGTTTAGGTTCTAGGAAAATCACAGAACTATTGAGTATGTTAAAGTAGTTCAACCCAGAGCACTGGAAATGATACCAAAACTGTAAAACCTGTAAGTGGTCCTATTTTAAAATTGAGATTTCTGGTAAATGGCTTCATGACGTTTTATGATACTTAACACCATTCTTACAAGTCTGCTACTGTTTTTAGTGCCTGTTGTCCTTACAGATTATAAAATATGCTAGGTGAAGGGAACTTAGCTTCTTGAATAGACTTCCTTTTGTAGATAATGAAATGAAAGGTTATATCAATGTCAAAAACATATTGATCACTTACGTATTTTATTTAGCAGTGTGACTGGTTTTACAGTTTATTGTTTAGGAATGTATTGTTGTGGAATGTAAATAGTAAAATCTTGTGTTACAAGATTTTTGCATTTACACGAACTTTCACTCATTTTTCAGAATCTGTTCCTAGAGACAGAAAACCCAATACAAAAATGAGAACATGTTTGCATAATCAGAAGGATGCAGTGCAGATGCCTAGTGACACTCTGAAAGCAAAAATGGTGCCTGAGAGAGTTCCCCGCAGATGTGCTACTGTTGCTGCAAATAAAATAAAGATAATGAGTAATCTAAAGGAAGCGATTTCAGGACCAGAAAATGTCTGGATTAGGAAGAGTAGCAGAAAACTGCCCCATCGAAATGCTTCTGCTGCGGCTAAGAAAAAGTTACTGAATGTTTATAAAGAGGATGATACAAGTATAAATTCTGAAAGTGAAAAAGAGCTAGAAGATACTAATAGCAGAATGCTTTTGTTTTAGATCAGATCCTGGAAAGCAAAAGCACAGTAGTTAGTGTGTATGAAAACGTAGAAATGGAACAGAAAAACCATCCGGGGCCACAAGTAAACCGGCAGTTGCATTTTACTCTTAGCTCTAAAGTTAATCCCTTGTTGGTACCTTTTGAGGAATTTTCTGAAAGCCATAATCCAGAGAGTCAAGGTGGGTCCTGGGAAGGCTCCTTCCTCCCAGCAAGCCTCGTACAGACTCAAACTACAAAGGATTCTGGGGAGCAAATAGATTTGTGAAGCTGGTAGTTGCAGAGGTGCAAAGAAAAGACTAATGGCCTCTCCTAAGATTATTCCTCTTCCGAAAGGAAGGACCTTGGAGAAATTTCTTGACTCCTTAGAAGGAGAAAATACAGTCATCCCTCTGTATCCCAGGGGCGGAGTTAGTTCCAGGACCCCCCAAAATCTACACATGCTCAAGTTCCTTCTATAAAACGGGGAAGTCTTTGCTATAACCTCTTTGCATATAACGTACATTTGCTATAACCTCTTTGCATATAACGTACATCCTCCCATATATTTTAAATCATCTCTACGTTACTTACAGTATCTAATACAGTGCAAATGCTATGTAAATAGTTGTCACACTGTATTGTTTAAGGACTAATGACAAAAAAAGTATATTCAGTACAAAGCAACTACAGTTGGCCTAACCACATAGTACATGTCAGCACCAATGTGACTTCCCCACAAATAGTGCATGTGGAACCCTTGGAGATGGAGGGCCCACTCTAATGGGAAGTGTAGAGGGACTATAGGAAAAACCTAAAGGAATGAAAGACACTCAAAATCTCAACCTGCTAATTTTAAGGGTTTTGCATTAGAGAATAAAAACTCAGCCCACTACGACTATGGATGGTGTCATTATTAAATAAAAGGTAGGCACATTTCAAGCAGTGCCATTGAGCCTATTTGACTTTTGAGTGAAACAAATAATTCAGCAAGGTGTAGTCTGGGTAAGGCACAACTCCAACATCAAAACAACTTTAGGACATGAGGGTTCAGTGATGTGGGCTTTAATAATCGAGTTCTGAAGTAGTGTTGGAAACAGAAAATCCATTAATGTCTTATTTTGTTCATAATATTGGAATTCATATTGAATGATGACCACTTGGTATGACTATTCAGGGAATATATATTTTTCTACGAAAGCCATGAATGTGACTATCACAACTTCGTGTCTTCATTTTTACTTTCAGGCAGCAGCATTTACAGAGATGCCAAAATGTGTCTCATGATGAGGCCGGTCTTAGTTTTAATCAGTTAGAAAATAAAGTATAGATTAAGATCAAAACAGGCATATTTTTAGATGATTCAGTGATGTCCTCTTATGTTTCTCTACAGCAGCTTAAAAGTTAGAACTTTATGGAAACTTGGAGAGAATTTATTAGAATCTTATCACAACAAACTTGAAAGGCAGTGTGTCTGGGCTATTTCATGGTGGCCTTCACTAGGATTAGAAAATCTGGTTTTGTTACTATAAAGAATTTTTTTGAAATGATGTTTAATTTGTTCATAGGTAGTTGTTGAAATTAAAGTCACCAGATTAAACGAATGCACTGTCAAATCTTAATATAGAACATAATACTGGAAAGCTGAATTGTTGTTTTCCTACTTAAACATCGATGAATATTAATATATGATTTGCATGTTTAAATCTGAAAAAGTAAAACATGGAAACCTAAGGGTTTCTACTCCTTTTTCATTAAAAGACTAACACAATGCGTATTTTATGGCTATACAGATTGGCCAAGTGTCTAGATTATTTGAGAAATTTGTTTGTGGTTGCATGTCTGCTTAAAAAAAGGCTTTTTTGTTTTTTCTTAGTGTAAGACAGAATACTTCTACCCTACAGTTCATGTCCTTTGCTCTGTTCATAGTATATTTTCATGTGAAATACTGCTACTAGTATCTTGTTAACTAGTGCAGTTGAGGAAGGGGAGAATTCCTAACAAATGATATTTTTAGGTGCATGGGGTTTGATTTTTGATCTCTAATTAAATCTATTTCCAGTCCTACATTTATATTTATTGGGTATATCATCAACAAATACCACAAAATGAAAATATCTGAATCTCAGTTAAGATTCTATTTATTTATTCTTAGTAAGGGAGGGAAACGTTGATCATTTGGCTCTCAAATGGTGGGCCAAATGGGGACCTGGCCTGAAACCCAGGCATGTGCCCTGACTGGGAATCTTACCTGCAACCATTCAGTTCACAGGCCCGCAGGCAGTCCAGTGAGCCACACCAGCTAGAGCTCAGTTAAGATTATTTTATGCAGAATTTTTTGACAATTTCAGTGTCATGAAAGAATTTCACTTTTGAATTTGTAATTTGCTCTGTTGGGGTTAAATTCTGTCAGTATTTGAGATTGTATCATCAGCCTTCTTTCATAATGGAACTCCTCTGGTTTAGTATTTAATTTGAACATATATTTGCCTTTTTTTAAGTGCTTGGCTTAAACTTATTGTAACTGTATGAAATAAGCTTTTGTTTAAAACTTAACATTTTTGTAAAACGCTCTTGCTAAAATGTGTGCAGAATCTTAATCATGGCCAAATGTATTATTACTCTATAATTATAATCAGCTTTCCAGAAATGATTTCTTCATCATTGTGAAATCAAGTTGAGGATCTTAATGGTAAAAAAAATGACATTATTTTGTTCAGCAAAAGGACTAAGACAAACTAATACCCAAAGTTTTTTATTCTGCAATTCAGTCATTCCATAAAACCAATTAACCCAGGAATCTTAGTGCAATTTTAAAACATATTGGTAATCTTGTATATTCTAGCTCTCTAACTTCCCCTAAAGTTTCCTAAGCTCTTACAGGATAGCAATTTGGGTCTTAATGTTTCTACTTAAGGGTTCAAATTTTGCTTCTAAGCCCAGTCTTAAATTTTGCAGTAATGTGTAAAATTGCTAAATGTCGGTTTTATGTAAATGGTTTTGTTGATCATTGTTTCTCCACATCTTAAAACGAGATGTTTCTAGCACCTTTCTGGGATTTTTTTTTTTTTTTTATTAAGAGGCTTTACGAAACCCCAAATTAGTACTTAACTTCGTGGTGACCTATTGACAGGGTTACAAAATGTAAGCAACGCCATCTAGTTTCAGTGCCGCTAAATTTAGGTAATTTCTTTAATTTTCCATTGCAATTCCGGATATTTTCATTTGTATTTGAACTATGTGGTACAGTTGTCCTTTTTTCCCCTCCTGTTTGGAATAGTGCTCTGTGAACTTTGTCTTCCAGCACATTTTAAAGAGAACCAATGGAACACTTACTTTGCTTACTAGTGAAAGGCTATTTAAAGCGGAAGTAAACTTTGTATTAGAAATGGCCAAGTTTTAAAAAAGCTAATATTTTTGCAGTCTCATAAAGTCTTTTCGATCAGCTTGACGACCATCATGTTTTGAAATGTGAATTCCTACTGCCAGAGTAAAGGCCTCATTTTTACAACACCACGAAGCACTGTGTTTCTTCCTGCCCTGCCATCCGCCCACTGCCTCCCGTCCCTTGGACGCGCCGGGCCCGGGCCGACACCTACCTGGGATCGATCGCGGTTTGGAGCAGGGTGACTAATAAACTAAAGCTCAACCAGTTTCTCTCCTAACGGAGCAGGAAAACGGAAACCGAGCGCGGGAGGGAAAGGTACAGGGGTCCGCTTCTTCGGAGCACTACAGAAGGGAGAGGGGACGGCCGAGCCCTTCCCTTTCCCGGCCAGTTACCTGTCGGGACAGGAGGCGCAGCCCCGCGTCCGCCTCTGGACTCCTCCTCTCCAGCCCGCAGTCATCCGATCTTTCGGTCTCCCCGCAAGGGTCCTGAGGGGGGACAAGACGCCCCGATTTTGCTTGACCCTAGAGTCCCGCGGCGCGTGCGCGGTAGGTGTTGGAAGGGGGTGGGGCGCGTGCGCGGAGGCAGCGTAGGGGGCGTGGCAGTGAACAAGGGCAGGGCTCAGGGGCGTGGCGATACTCTGGGCTGCTCTCAGGGTTGGTTGGCGGGAAGGGGCGGGGCGCGGGGGGCGCCTGCGCGGTCCGTGACACCGCTGTTAGGCGGGGCGGGTGGGAGGGGGATGATGGCGGCCACGTTCTTCGGTGAGGTGGTTAAGGCGCCATGCCGAACCAGGACGGAGGACGAGGAGGAAGAAGACGAGGAGAGAACGGAGACGCCCGAAGACAGGGAGGTCCGGCGGCAGTTGGCACGGAAGAGGTGAGGTCCTGGGCGCGGGGACCTAGCGGCGCCTTTGGGACCGCGGTCCCGGGCTGTCGCGGGAGCGGGATAGGTTCGCGGGACGCTGGCTGCGGCCGCTGATTCCCGGCCCTGCTCTGCCCTCGGGCGCGGGAAGTCGTCGGAGGGTCTGGCAAAACCAGCTCCTGGGGCGTTGGGTGGAGGTGGGCTCGGGGTGGCCTGCTGCAGTTTCGCTGGGCTGGTTGGACTCACGTGTTGTTCAAAGGGGCGGTCTGCAAGACTTCCGTTAGCTTTGATTTAGGGGGTTTCTTGCCGCCTTGAACTTTTTCCAGGGCTGCAGTGCTATATATCTCTTCGTGCCCCATATACGTTGTCGTGTATTTGGTTCATTAAACATGAGACAACGCTCTTAGAACTTTTATTCTCCGCCCCACATTTCAGTTAGCATTGTGTGTCAGTGGCAGGTGGTGTTTTTTTTTTTTAAAGTATTATTTCCAAACGCACGAAAATTAGAGGAAAGAACGAAATGAAGATTTTGGCACCCTTGTCTCCCGTGAGTTCCAGAACCATGGGCTTTCCCCGACCTGAACCTTTTCCAGAATTCATCGCAAATGCTATGGGCATTCTCTTCCACAAGATATTGTCAACCCTAACAATATTAGTATTTTTTTTTTAGTTTTTATTTATTTATTTTTAGAGAGGGAAGGGAGGGAGATAGAGAGAGAAACACCAATGTGCAGTTGCTGGGTGTCATGGCCTGCAACCCAGGCATGTACCCTGGCTGGGAATCGAACCTGCGACACTACAATATTAATAATTTTTTATACTGTTTAATAGCCAGTCCATGGTCAAATCTGGCTGGCTGCCTCTGATATGACATTTGACGGTGCATTTGTATAAATCAGAGTCCCAACAAGGCCCACATGTTACATGTAGATGTTTTGTCTTCTCAGCTTGTTTTCATTCGGAGCAGCGCCCCTCCTTTTTCTCCCTTGCTGAGAGCCTGGCTGTCCTGTGGGATGACCCACACAGTCTGGATTTGTCTGATTGCTTCCTCTTGGTGCCCTTGAACGTGTTTCCCTCACCTGCATTTCCTGTAAATGGAAGTTCCTTCTAGAGGCTTGTCCTGATTCAGGTTCAATATTTTGCTGGCGAGAATGCTTCAAAGGTGGTGGCCGGTGTTCCTTACGGCTTGCTGTGTCCCGTTGGGTCATCCCGCTTTGGGGGAAGCTAAGGTTGATTGGTTGGTGGGTTAGGTGGCAGCCTGATCTCTGTTGTGGAATTCTCTGGGAACTTTGTATCGAATGGTTTTTTCTGTTAGTTATCATCACCTGGTTCTGTTGTTTCCTGAAGATTATAATTATGTTCTTGATAAAATCAAAGTTTATATTTTACTTAATACAAAATTATAGTAAGTATTCTTTTTATCATAGTAAGGTACCATTTATATTTAAATTAATTTTGTCTTTCGTGTCTTGTGTTAGGGAGGTGCGGCTCCATCGAAGACAAACAAAAACATCCTTGGAAGTCTCTCTGCTGGAAAAATATCCTTGCTCCAGGTTTATCCTTGCGGTGGGAAATAATGCAGTAGGTGAGTGGAAGTGCATTAGACTAGACGTTTGTTGAAAGAATAAAATCTCAAGTTACTTCTTTCCATCATAAAAGATTTTAATTTTTTTTTTTTAAGAATAAGCTATAGTAGAGTAACTTTGTATTGGGTAAATCTGCCATTGTTCACGTAGCACTTTTTCATAAACTTAAAAAAATAAGATTTAAAGGAAACATTCTTGGCTTTAGGAACTTACAAACTCAAGGAATTGGTTCTGTTGTGTCCGGTGTCCAGAATTCCTTAAGTTCGAGGGCCTGTTTTGGCCAGACTTGGAGGAGCAGAGGTAGTACACGTACATGGCCCCCTTGTAGCAAAGGTTCTTACCTGTGTTTGAACTTTTCTTAAATGTTTCTTTAAGAACATAACGGTAACTCTAAAAACAACTAATCACTATCTTTGAGTACTTAAGTTCTAAAGTCTTTATGTAAATGAATCCGTTTGAGAAGTTGGAGTGAGAACGGTGCAGGATTTGGCTAGAACGGTGTACACGTGCAAGAGCACAAACCCGTGTGATTTTAGGGACTCCAGGAGGACCCTTTGTTCTGTCAGGTAGCCTCAGTGCTTGCAAAACCAGTGCAGGCTAAGTAAGTACTGAGTCGTGTATGTAAGGTTCTCCTGGCCTACGCTTTTCCAGGTAAGTATTGCATCGTGAGAGCATCGCAGAGTGTGTCAGTAAACCTTGTCACCTGCTGGGTCTGTGATACTGTCTGTACTCGGCGTGGCCTTTGACTCCTTAAGGCCTCAGTTTCCTTTTCTGCAGAATGGTGGTGTGAGGTCAGTGGCCTGGAGTGGCTCCTTCAGCTCTAGAATTCTGCAGTAACTTGAGTGACCTTATTTTTTATCAAATAGAGAATGCCGCTTGCAGAACTGAACACTAACTTGCGTCAATTGTTTTTACAGCATTTTTGTCATCATTTGTCATGAATTCGGGAGCCTGGGAAGAAGTTGGCTGTGCTAAACTCTGGAATGAGTGGTGTAGAACAACAGGCACTGCACATCTCTCCCCCTCAGAGGCTTTCTGTGTGTTTTATCACCTGAAATCAAACCCCTCGGTATGTGGGACCTGTCTCGTCTGTTTAAGAAGCAGTTGTGTGGGCCTCATTCATGTCGTGGTCCTTGGAATGCCACGTTCCTCTGTGTGTGCTTTTGGCCTGAGGAATTCTGCCTGTAGGCAGTGGGAGTTATATAAACCACTTCGTTGTTTGTATAAATATTCACGGGGGCATATACATTGTGTCGGTAAAGTTGTTAGGAAATTCTGATGTAACTTTGTTAGAAAGAAACCATAAACACTAGATATTTAAAATGTTGCCCTTATTCAAAAAAGCATTTTGGTCGGTGACTCCGAACGTGCAAAAATGTATTCATTCTGGGAAAGCAGGGATCCTGCTTCACCTCTGTATAACGCGGTGTCTGGCCAGCACCTGGTGCACGCCAGAAACGCAGTTAATGCGTGCCGGGCACACGAACGCCGTGCGCATTCTCAGTGCAGTCCCGCTGACGTCAGACTTGCATCCTACCCCAGCGTGTCCCGATTTCTTACGTCGGACAGGCGCTGTGCAGCGGATGCTGCGCGACTTCTTGGGCTTGTGTTTGTCCTCCTCCTCCTCCTCCTCCTCCTCTTGGGCTCATTCGGAGACCGCGGTGTGCTGGGCAGTGTGGGCGGCAGGTTAGGCAGGGGGCTGGCCCCGCAGGCGAGGTGTCTCCCCGTCTGCGGCCCGACAGAGTTCCGTCCCACACCCGCTGGACACGCGCACAAGGCCGCAAGGGGAGTCACAGCGGGGGCCGTCAGTCATTCCCTAATGCACAGTGTTGCTTATTTTGGAAGGTCAGGAGCCAGTGTTAGCCCGAAAAACCAGCCGTAGAGTTTGATTTTATAGTACTTAGAGTTTGTTTCTGTAGCACGTACTCTGAAGTTACTGAAGTTTCATGAGGATTTTTATAAAATATCCAGTGTTTATAAGGAGTGAAGCAGGAAACTAAGCATGTTCTGTATCTGATCCTTAGTGCAGGGGTTTCACTTTAGATAGTGAGAGGCGAGTAGGAGAAATTTCTGTTCCTGTGTCTAGGTGTGCCATTTTGGTTAGATATCTTGAGTAAGCAGAACCCTCTGCGTGCAGCTAAATATCTGTGCAGTCTTCCTGTTCCCCCCTGTCCTGTGGCCCCTTTCCCCCTCGGGCTTGCCTTGTGCAGGCGGTGCACCTGGCAGAGCTTACCAGGAGACACGGCCGCCTTCTGTGGGTAGTACCGTGGGAGAGCATCCATATAGTCATCCTTTTGTGGCCTCGTGGCACTGCCGGTTATTTCACCTGAGCGTGCGGCCTGGGACTTGGTTCCTAAACTAACACCGTCTTCACAGGCATCGGCGGCGCTGCAGGGTGCCACTGGGGTGGGGTCCCTCCGGCCTCCCCGTCACCGCGCCAGCACCTGCGGTGCCCGCAGGCTCCTGGCGGTGGGTCTGGTCTTCTGAGGGCGTGTGGCCCTCAGAGGGCAGCAGGGCTGAAGTGGATCCTGGCGGACGTGTCTTCAGCGTCTCGTGTGCCAGCTCTGGCCGTGGGCACTTTATTCTGGCCATTAAAATTGCCAGTAGTGGCTTGATTCTTAAACGTTAAAAAAAACAGGCCAGTGGCAAGTTCAGGAGAATAAGTGTTAGCTAGGTGTTGTATCAGGACATACATGATGTGTATCTGGTGACAGTCTGGGCTGCGTATAAAATTGGTTTGACCATACAGAAACTCGGACTTTGGTTTTTCAGGTTTTCCTTTGTCAGTGCAGTTGCTACGTGGCTGAGGACCAGCAGTACCAGTGGCTGGAGAAGGTGAGAGGGACGTGGGCGGCGGGCGGGGAGGGCCTGGGTGGCAGGGGGCGGGTAGTTCTGCGTCAGTGTCTCTGCACTTAAACCTTCATGGTCAGACAGTGCAGTGGGGCAAGTACTTGTTTTTGTTTTTTTCCTTAAAAATATTGTTGAAATTTGTTAGAGCATATAAAGAATAGAAGGACTTATTTAACAAACAGAATTAGCATTGTGCTAATTGTAGGGCGGAGAGGCATAAAACGGGAGTTGAATTAGTCCTTCCCTTCCGCTTTATTACTTTATTTGAAAGAAGTACAAGCTGCGCGCGTGAAGCAGAGCAGGGTCACGGCCAGGGTGGAAACCGCGGACCTGAAGCTGTGTGGGGATGGGGGCCGGGGATTGGCTCTCGGCCAGCCCGGCTCCAACGTACTGTTGCACCGTTTTCCTCAGCGTTATGGTGCATCCGCGGGGCTTCCTGTCGTGGGAGATTACGCACATGGCGTGTGCCGAATAATACAGATTTCTCAGTGCAGAAATTAGCTAGGAATTTTAGAGAATAATCATAATCTTGGCAGTTATGGGCAATATTATTTTTAAATGAAGTAGACCTATTATGTGCATCTTAGCAGCATTTCAGCTTAAATCTTAGGTATATTTTCTATAGGTATTACAGTTAATTAGAAATAAGAAATGTGATGTAGTCTCATTTTAAACTAGATTGGCATACTTAGAAACACTCATTAAAAGTTATTAAATGCATTTTATTAATTGAAGGATTGTTTAAGAAGGTCTGAATCTTTTGATAATTATATACGTTTTATATTCATGTACCTATTTGTATTTCCGAGGGATATCACAGCTGTAATAATTTTTATTTTAAGTTTATGTACAATGCTTAGTAAGAAGAAATATCTTTTTATTTTTGTACCATGTAAGTACTTTTCTAGACTTTAAAAAATGTGCAATTACACATTTCTAAAACAACAATTTTTAGTTAATATTTTTTTCCCTGGGGACAATCGTTGGGCCCCTTTACCGTTTGGTTCACGTGGGCCCCACAGCGCTGAGACCCCGCACAGCCCGGCGGCGCCGCGTTGTGGGTCCGGACCGCGAGTGTCACAGGGCAGGTGTGAATTAGGCCCGTGAACGTGTTGCGTCTCAAACGGGACGGGCACCGTAGCAGGGGTGCACAGTGGCAGCTGTCCTGGTGTTTATTTACAAAGCTGTACGAGGAAATGAGTCCTGCAAATCATTTATGATATACCATAAAATCTTCGCTGCTTTCGTTATTTGAAATAGCCATTTCTTTCTCTTCACAAAATATTTTCAAACAAGGTGCAATGGCCTAAAATCTGTTTTCTTTAAAAAATAGCTGCTTTTTTTTTGCTGACACTGTCATAGATTTTTAAGAGCTGGCAGCACCCTTGGAAGGCCGTCAGGCGCACACTTGGGAGGACAGTGTTGTCAGAGCTCTGGAAGCGCGCCTGCCTGCAGTCGCGGCGTGCAGTGGCCCTCCTGCAGGCGGGGTTTCCGGCCTGCGAGGACGTTTACCTTGCAAACAGAGAGAGTAACCGCTAGTGACAAAACAGAACAACTGCAGCGAAATGGAGCAGCGGTGCCCCAGCAGTGGGTCTGGGAAGGGAGACGGCTGCTCGGCCACAGGTGCCGGGCACGGCGCCGTTGCCCGGGCGACAGGGCAACTCACGTTCGGGGTGGGATGGCGTGGGGTTTCATCACACCCCACGGAACGGCGTGACTTTGAAACGTATGATTTGCTTATTTCTGGGATTTTTCATATATTTTCAAAACATGGTTGACCACGGGTAACCGAAACCACGGAAAGCAAAACCTCAGAGAGCAAAACTCCGGATGAGGGGGGACTGCTTTAAATTCTTCAAAATTTCATTTAAATTTGATTTTTAGGAAGACTCGTTTGCAGGCACTGGTGGTGGGGGAGGGAGTGGACGGGCCGGCTGATGGGGCCCGCAGTCGGGGACGCGTCACTCACTCGGGATGGCGCTGCTGGCTGCTGGCTGCTGGGACGGCCGCCCCGGCCGTCTTTGCTCCGGATTCACTGCCCGAGCCTGCAGCGCCCCTGGGTGGGCGGCGCTGGCCCTAGTTCGCCGGCAGGGAGTTGGCCTGGGGGTCCCTCAGCCAGAGTCACGTGTGCCTGTTGTAACCTGCTCTCGATTTCGTGTCAGGTGTTTGGCTCTTGCCCGAAGAAGAACATGGAAGTCACTGTCCTCACGAGTCGGCACGTCACCGACTATAAGGCCTCGGAGTCTCCCAGCAGCCTCCGCTGTCCCTTCCTGAGGGCCCTGAAGACGCAGGCGCTCAAGGAGCCCCCGTGCTGCCCGCTGCTGGAGCAGCCGAACATCGTGCACGACCTCCCTGCGGCAGGTGGCGCCCGCTTGTCACGCTCTCGTCAGGGCCTGTCACTGCTTCGTGGCAGTGGTCACCTGGATGCCAGAGATCTTTCCTTTTCTCTTTCCTACTGGGTTTAGTGGGGTGACATCCGTTAACAAAATCATGTAGGCTTCCGAGCGACCGGTAGAGCTCTGTTTAAGGGCGTTTGCTAGTGGTTGCTAGTGCGTTGCGGTTTACATGCACTCCCTGCCGTTGCCGGCCCGCCCTCTCTGGTCTGAGTTTAAAAACTCCCAGACGCAGTCATGTGAGGTCCGCTCAGGCTTCCTGACTGCTGCCCTTCAGAGTTGCCGCTCTGTTCCTTCTCGGTCTCGGTAACTCCCGTGAGCCGGCGTCAGATGTGAATCGCATAAAGAGGTGGTGAGGTAGGTTTTAATACTCAGAATGGCAGGTTTCAGATACTGAATCTCCGTAGTAATATGTTTTGTTTCTGTTATTCATATCACATCAAAATTAGATTGTCACTTTTCAGTAGTTCCTGTTACTATGTATAATAAGTTCTTATTTGTTAATAAACAAAAGGGTTTTTCCCTTTAAATGTTAAGTTTAATAGAGTAAGTAGTTCAGTAGTTTGTATTATGCTTCATATGTTATTTATGTTTAATTTACTTTTTTTATTATAGTCAGGAAAATTTTAATCCTGTAGCTCCTCAAGGTATATCTCAGTGTGTTCAGGAAGTGCAAAATAAACAATATTTGCCTATTTCGTATACCTGAAACTAATATAAAATACTGTTGAATGTAAACTGAAATTGCAAACCAAATTTAAAAAGCCCAGTACTCGCAAAGTCAGGGGAATACCTAAGAAAATAATTGGCTTGGAAAGAAAATGTGCGTTAGAATTAATGCAAAATGGCAGTAAATGCTTTGATTAAAGGAGGCCACGGAGACAACTGTTTTTTAAAAGCAGCCTTCACTTCAGGTGTTTAAGTTGAAATTCTGCAATGGAAAACTGAAACGCTTTTTCTCACGTATTCAGTTTTGAGTTACTGTCAAGTGTGGAAGCTCCCTGCCGTCCTGTACCTGTGTTACACGGACGTGATGAAGTTAGACCTGGTCACGATGGAAGCTTTTAAGCCCGTACTTTCTTCCCGAAGCTTCAAAGGTTTGGTTAAGGTAAGGTTTTATTTAACTCATGAACTTAATAGCTGAGTTGTTATAGTGAGCACACATAAGAACAGCCATAAATGTATGGTGTCAGTTTAAAACCTAAGTACTACTTAGAGATTCTTTTGCCACACAACGAAGCTTCCTCACCTGGCGGTTGGACTTGCTCCGGCACCTGTCTTGTAGATGTCCCCGCAACCCGGGTTTCGGTGCTGTGGTAGGTCAGCTGGGGCCTTCGGGGCGCAGGTGACTGTCCCGCCGACAGAGGGCGCTGTTGCGCGGCAGCCTAGGGAGGGCGAGGTCCCTTGGGGACAGTGGCACTGCAGCTGGATTTGAAAGATGGGTGGATGGATCCCAGTGGGTGGCTGTGTGCCGAGGGCAGCACTGGGAGCCCGGGAGTGGGTGAGTCTGGGAGCCCCGAGGAGGGTGATGAGCGAGGCCCTGGGCTGCAGAGGGAAGTCAGCGCTCACGAGGAGAGGGGGGCCGGGCTAGTGCGTGGTGTCTGCCTAAAGGCTTTCGACGGCCAGTCCGCAGCCAGGGTTGGACGACGGAAGGACACGCGTAGGTGTGTGGCCTGCTTGTCTGTGTGCTGGGAAGCAGGGGCGAGCCACGGCGCCTGTCCAGCCGGCCATCGGCTGCCTGGGGTCTCGCTGAACTTGCAGTCTCACTGTGTTAACGCCGTTCCTCTCTCCTTTCAGAACATTCCCCAGAGCACGGAGATCCTGAAGGGACTGGTGACGTCAGACGAGATCCAGAGTAACATTTACACGTGACCCCAGACACGTGACCCCACCGGTGTCACCTGTCCCTTCCTTGGGGCCAGCTGCACTGTTCCATTAGGTTCCTTTTCCTCCAGGGGGCGTTTGGAGGGTGTTAATAACAGAATAAATTGATATTAAAGTCATTGTAGTTACAGTTCCTTTTTTATGGTGGTGCTGTCCACGGCTGCAGTAAGCAGACTTTTTCTTTATCCACTAGGTGGGAGTATTGTTCTCTCTGAATATTTTGAGGTAATACAGCTAAAATTTCCAAAAGCTACCGGTCGTGCTAACGTGGCAGAGCATAGTTAATCTGGCGTGGAAGTTCTCTGTGCCACCTGAAGGTTGGTGAGCTGCTGGAGACCCTAGTGAAGGGAGGGTTCCTGGCCAGGAGTTCGCCAGTGTGTTGGCTTTGTGGATGAACATGGACGGCGAGGTAGCCGTTACACGTGTCTCCTACTGAAAGAGGAGGAACGTGGCGCCGTCACTTCGGGATCACCTGCCAGCGAGCCTCTCCCCCCAGCCCTGCCCGGGGCTCTCTGCGGCCTCCTGGGCGCAGCCGCAGCGAGGGCCCTGTCGTCAGGACGAGACCTAGTCAGGCCCTGCGGTCACCCCGCCGCTTCCCCGAACCACAGGCTGACGTGCGTCTGTGAAAATGAGTTTCACAGTCGGGCCGTTGATGAATGCTGCCTATCCTTCTTATCCTTCTTATCCTTCTAGTTATGGAATCACAGATCTACACATCTTACCCACGCACGCAGTCCGCATTTTAGCGGGTTGACTGGTTGGTTGGAGTGGGAGACACTGTGTGCTGACTCCTTGGCCTCCTTCCAGGAGTGGAGTGTGAGCATGGTATGAGTGTGTCTTGGTGATAGAAAGTGAGGTGTTTTCCTTGTTGCAGAAAAAAAAAGCACGTATCCGTTTGGAAACGTGTTTGCAGCCCCCCTGGAGGTGACGTCAGTTTGTGAAAACGAAAAGACGTAAAGCTCGAGACACAGTGATTTTTAAGGCCAAAGTCTCCAGGCAGGTGAGAACAAAACGGTGACCTACCTTGTCCGTCAGCTGTTACTGCCCGGTGCCCACACTTGACCTTGGAGGCTGAAAGCAGCCGCCGCCATTTCTCGCGAGCCTGTAGGTTGGAGGGGCGCCCCTGCCAGTCCACGCCACGCGCAGCAGTCTCTGCCCCCGAGCTTGCAGTCACGTCTCGGACGCGAGTTGGCTGTGGCCTGGCTGGTCTAGGGTGGCCCGGCCCGGCGATATCCAGCCGTCTTCCCCGAGTGGCTCTTGTCCGCCCAGCAGGCCTGCCCAGGCGTTTCTGCTGGTTGCTGAGGAGCAGAAGAGGGGGCGGGAGTGTGCAAGCGCCCCTTCAAGCCTTGTCTCGAGGTTGCTGTAGTCTCCATACTGTCACGTGTAGAGGCGGCACGGGGGGCGGCACCACCAGAAGGTTTGAATTGGGGGGGGTGGCGTGACAAATCGGGGCTGGCCATTAACACAACCAGTCTGCCTGCATCTGCCCCCCCCACCACAGTCACTGCGCTCCCCTATCCCTGCCAGGTGCGCACACACGCGTCCCAGGCCCCCGGAGTCGTACCTGGTTACCTCAGACGTGCAGTGCAGGGGCCGGTCATCTAGGTGCCTCTCCTGCAGAGGCTTCTGCAAAGTACACAGACAAGTCGAGCTCGACACACGAGTGCACGGTGGTGAGGCCGGCACAGGCCGTCTGCGAGCACTACTTCCACGTGAGAGGCAAAGACCAGGACACACGGTCTGCCAGCTCTGAGACGCCCCTGGACACGTGGGGCCGGGCCCGCGGTCTGCTCTGGGAGCGAGCAGTGTTCCTCGCTGGGGTCCAGCCCGTGTCCTCGGGCAGAGCCCCGCCAGTCTAGGCCTTGTTCATCGCGTGCCACGCCTAGTTCTTGATCTTGAGTAGCAGCTAAGTAGCTTTCTTATCCACGGATAGATGAGTGCCTGTGATATAATATCCTTAAAAACTGTGGGCTTCCTATGTATCGAATTACAGCCTACTCCGTGTTCTTTTTTTTTTTTAAATTGATTTGAGAGGGAGAGACATCGTTCAGTTGCCTCTCGTATGTGCCCTAACTGGGGATCAACCCCACAACCTAGGTATGAGCCCTTGATTGGGGATCAAACCTGCAACCTTTTGGTGCACAGGGTGCCACTCCCACCAACCAAGCCACCCAGGACCACCGCCACCATTTCTGAATATGAAAAATGTCACCCGCCCCTATCTGGTGGCCTGTTTAAGAACTATCTGCTGCCACTCACACTATTACAACCGGGAACAGAAGTCTCTTCTCGGCATTCTCTCTGCAAATTACATCTGATCTCCAGCGAGAGCCCAGGCAGAGCTGCTCCTTGTCCATGCCTTTGGGAAGGAGAGGAGCGGAGGTGGAAGTCACGTCACTTTGCTCCTCGATCACCGGCCCCACCAAGGCAATCCTGAGTTCCCTGCCGGTGCGCCTGTGCTGTCTGGGTTCGCTGCCACACACCCACGGGAGACAGGGGACGGGAGAGATTTTCTGAGAAGCTGGTTCAGTGTAGGTACTTGTGTGAAGGATAACTGAAGAAGCCAGGGGTGTCTGCGTTGCCCACTCAGAAGGATGAACAGTGCGCTAAACAGACCCCCTCTCCCTGCATCCTCATTGCCACGGTGGTCGCCGCATTTCGTCCCCTCCCGCCCGAGTTCCCCAGTGCGCTCGACGTTGCCCGGACAAGTTTGTGTTTGTCACTTCATGTCATTTTTTAAAAAGTGGTAGTTTCCGTTCTAATTGTTAGTACTAATTTTTAGCACGTTTAGTACAGTGTACAAATCAAGCTTTCATAGTACCAACAGGTATATCATTCACATCACTTGAGGTTGGGGATGCAAACTGGTACAAAGCTAGTCTGACACGCAGCAAAGGCACAAAACACACTAACGTCAGTCGTTCAATAGTTTTGGCCCCACTGTCCTTGACGCAGGCCTAGGCAGAGCCTGTCTGTCTTACACACGACAGCCAGCAGGGGGCCCCAGGGAGCCCCGCGGGGCGCTGGCCTGGCCCGCCCTGCCCTGCCCGAGGGGCGGTGCCCGCTTCCGGGCCTCACCGCCGGAACCACCCAGAGGACCGGACACCCGGCGGCCACCACGGGGGTGGGCTCGGCCAGGCAGGGAGGGAGTCGGCCCAGGAGAACCAGGGGCCTGGCCGCAGCAGCTCTGCATCCCGAGAGGACCTGTGGGCGGAGCCGCAGCCCGCGGCCGGGCCAGACAGACGCTGGGCCAAGGCGTTGAGCTGTGGCGTCTCCCAGCTCCGCCCACGTGTCCCCGTCCCAGGCTCCTGTGCAGGGTGTGCTTGCTCCAGCTCCGGGCCTGGCTCTCCTGGCGCTCACTCCCTCCTCTGGATTCAAAAGTCTCCGTCGGGAACCGGTGTCCTCCAGTGCCAGTTTGAGAGCCGTGGGCAGGAGGCCCGGCGGAGCCAGGGCCCAGGTCCTGGACGCCAGTCCTGCCGCGAAGGCAGTCGGAGGTCGTGCGGGCCCTGGCTCAAAGCAGGTCAGGCTGCACACCTGTGCAGGTGTCTGCTGAGGGGAAGGTGCCCTGGAAACAGCAGCGCTGGCCTCAGCACTGGGCTCACGCAGCAAAGCCGTGTTTGCAGGCCTGTCTTGGGGGAACGCCAGCTCCTGCGCCCGCGCCTACGCCTGGTGACGCCCTGCCAGCGGCAGCCACGTGCCAGGCCGGCCGTCCCAGGGCACGCACCCCGCGGCCTCGGGGCGGCATCCAGACGGCGTGGCCCGCAAGGCCTGGGTCCACAGGCCCCGTGGCCCTTCTTGGTGCCAGCCGGCTCAGCCAACGCGAACCCCACCCTCAGGCCTGGCGGTCCAGGCCGGTTTCAGGGCTCACCTCAGAAGAGGTTGGGTTTCTCTCTGATTCCAGAAAGCTGCCAACTTCAAGAGGTGCTGGGCCTGGGCCGAGGCCCCTGAGGCCCGGCCTGTCCTGTCCACGAGGCGCAGGCCCGTCACAGGGTCCCCGGGCCAGGCCAGGCTCTGGGCACCTCCGGTCCTTGTCTCGACTGGACACTGAGTTCTGCACAGTGGTCTTGTCCTATGAGTGCTCTCAGCAGTGGGGGTCTCCGCAGGGTCACGTGAGGGCCTTTGATGTTTACAACCACACAGCCCTCGTCGCGGCTGCCATGTGGCCGCCAGACTGCTGAGCTCGCCTGGCGGTGACTCAGAAATTCCGCTGCGTGTGCTCCGACGGCTGGAACGCTGGGCTTCAACCACATGCTAATAACTTGGCCGCCTGCTCAATCTCTTAATATTAAAATGTGAGATTGCTCATATATTCATGTCTATACGTTGTAAACCCAGCATTAAACATGACCGATACCAAAATAGCTCCGAGTGTATTTATTTCAAAGGAAATGGAGTGATTTACATCTGAGTCCCCATGGCCGCAGGGAACTTGAAAGGCGCCCAGAGAAATGGGTAAAAAAACACCATGTGATTATTACTGCAAGTTCACAGAAGTGTTTGGCCTTTTAAGAGACGAAGTCCGTTCTGTTTAAAAACTTTTAAATGTTATTTATGACTGCAGAAGCATGTCTGCTTTTAGACTAATGATCTGCTTAGAGTTCTGACTGAGTCTTCATCCCGTTTTTCTCCCTGAAATTCTGTATTTCCATCCTCGGACATGCTGTAACTCTCCCCAGTTGTAAAACTCCCAACCTCCCTTCAGTCCTGAAGCTGTCTGATGTGGCCGCACCGTCCCTGCGCCCCTGGCCCTCCTGGAATCCTCCGCGTGGGAACAGGATGCAAGCTCTGTCTCCCAGCTCACTGGCCCAGCTCCTCCTAAATAAACCCTCTGCCGCCTTTTCTCAGAGGAGCCTCGAGCTCTGCTCCTTGGAGACCATCAGGTCTCGGGTAAGCAGAAGGCTCACTTCATCGCCACCTCGGTCTTTCCACCAGTCCCGGTGCCTCTGCTTCCTCCAGCCCACTTCTCTTCAGGCTGCACAGGACACTCACCAGGTGAGCTTGCGACTTCTCCCTCGACTCCTCCCTGTCGCTCATCAGATAAACTCCAAATACCTGACCCCCACCCGGGCTCCTGCATGGTCCGCATCTCACTGATCTTGCTCACCTTAGCTCCCCTTTC